ATGTTGTATTTTTATTCAACTTCACCAAAGAGGACAACCCCGGCGTGTGAACATGTCGGCACTGAATGCGTACGAGTGCTCCTGAGGACTCGTAGGATTTGTACTTGCCCAAGTGAAATTCTGGTTACGAGAAATATTCGTGAATGCCACTTTCTTCGTAAAAACCGCGTAAGTAGGATTTACGTACAAATCTGTTCCTAAGAACCGTTCGTGAATGAGGCCCATTGTGCTTTGTATAAACCACGGATTTTTTTTCGGGATGAGCCCTTCTGCAGCCGGCCCAATGTGGCTGTCAGAGGGGGAAACATAAAGATCTAGAACAAGAGACAAACTTCAAGACACTTTTCAACATTAGGTTTTTGAGTTTGATCAAAGGACAGCAGATTTAAGAGTAAGAAATCCTTTATTGGTCCCACAGTGGGGAAATGTCAGTGTTGCATCAATAGTTACAGAACAGTAGGAATGAGGAACACACAACACAAGATAAGTGAACAAAAACTAAAATAATGAACAATCTCTAACTTTAGCATCAAAACGAAGCAAGTAGAACATCTGTACCTCTGACAGAGTAAAGAAGCAACCATAAAACACTTTAATCTGGTAAAATAAATATATACAGTAGTTGTTTGTACAGATCTGAGAGAAACTACAGGATTACAGGAGCCAGAGCCGGAGACAGCTGGCTCCACAGGGTCCCACCTGATTCCACAGGGTCCCACCTGGCTCCACAGGGTCCCACCTGGCTCCACAGGGTCCCACCTGGCTCCACAGGGTCCCACCTGGTTCTGGTTCTACAAGGTCCCACCTGGTTCTACAGGGTCCCACCTGGCTGCACAGGGTTCCATCTTCAGGGTCCAGAAGCTCTTTCCTTCTGCTTCGGTCTGTCTGTGCCTTTCATCTGCAATAATAATGTGAAATATTGTAGAAATAATTAAGTACAGAGTCAGGACTAAACATGGGGAGGCAGCGTTTCAGATTCATGGAGCCAAAATCTGGAACAGTCTTCCTGAAAATGTTCAAATCCAGGTTAAAAACAGTTCTATTTAGCTGTGTATATTGTATACAATAATAGTGTATAACTGTGATTATTTAGGATTTGAACCTTGTGTGACTGTCTGTCTTGCTCTGTTCAGCACTTTGAGTTGTGAATGACTGTGCTATAAAAATAAACTGTACTTAACCGTAGAACAACCATATGATTCTGGAACCCTGTCATTAATAACATACTGTACTCGCTTTAAGCTTAATTATAGTAGTTTTATGAGAACATAATGTGTGTGAGCGTGTGGGTGTGCGCGTCTATGTGTGCACGTCTGTGTGTGCATGTGTGTGTGAGCGTGTGGGTGCGTGTGTGTGTGAGCGTGTGGGTGCGTGTGTGTGTGAGCGTGTGTGTCTTTCATAATGTGATAATTGCTCAGGTACAAATGATACGTCTAATGTTCCACTGAGTCTATTTTAATACTTTGATGAATGAACATTTACCGTACATTATGTTGCTGTAGAATCATCAAAGGATCAGAAAGTCCTGGAGCAGATTATAAACCAGTTTAACTCCTGAACATTTAGGGACATTTATGGACATTTATGGACATTTATGGACATTGGTCATCTGTGTCCTTCATCATTGTATTTCTTGTGTTTGAACGGTGAATGAATGGTTTGTGCTCAGAGGTGCATGTGCCGGCACGGTCGCCATATCGCTTGCTATATTTGGGCATCGTCTGGTACTCCCGGTTCTGCGCAGTGGATGAACTCCCATGATGCGTTGCACCATGGGAGCACGCACGTGCACAGAGGGGCTCGGCCGCGCTCTGACCAATCAGAGCGGGAGTTAGAGCGGGAGCCAGACGAGCAGAGTTTGTGGCACTAAAGTGTGGATTTAAAGAAAACTAAAGGATTTAAGAAGAAACTTAGTTCAGGATAAGATAAGATATAAGATATATATATAAGAGAAATTTACATGTCACATCGGCATGGATAGAACACTCAAGATTGTGCAAAAAGAAAGAAATGTGCAATCATGTTAATGCAGGATATATTATGTACAACGAAAGTGTCAAGTCTCAATTTAAAGAGTGGCAATCAGAAACAGTGTCAATAGTAGTGCAGGTTCTTTGAGTCTTATACAGTGTCTTATACAGTGACTTAAAGTGACTTGTTGTACAGTCTGACAGCGGTGGGGATAAAGGCCCTGTGGTAGCGCTCCTTCTTGCACTGAGGGTGCCTCAGTCTTCCACTGAAGGAGCTCCTCAGCTCCTCTACAGTCCTGTGCAGTGGGTGGGAGGTATTGTTCATGATGGAGGTGGCTTTGACCAGCACCCTCCTGTCCCTCACCTCCTCCACAGAGTCCAGGGAGCAGCCCAGAGTGGAGCTGGCCCTCCTGACCAGCTTGTTCAGTCTGTTTTTGTCCTGCTCTGTGCTGCCCGGGGCCCAGCACACGGCAGCGTAGTAAATGGCTGAGGCTACCACAGAGTCATAAAAAGTCCTGAGCAGAGGCCTGCTCACTCCGAAGGACCTCGGCCTCCTCAGAAGGAAGAGGCGACTTTGGCCCTTCTTGTGCAGGGCGTTTGTATTATGGGACCAGTCCAGTTTATTGTTAATGTGAACACCCAGGTACTTGAAGCTGTCCACCAGCTCAATGTCCTCCCCCTGGATGTTCAGCAGCGTGTGGGAAAGTGGTTTTCTCCTGAAGTCGATGATCATCTCCTTGGTCTTACTGGTGTTCAAGCACAAGTGGTTGCGCTCACACCAGTCGACAAAGTCCTTGATAACCGACCGATATTCCAGTTTGTTCCCCTCAGACACACAGCCCACGATGGCGGAGTCATCAGAGAACTTCTGCAGGTGACAGCTGTGTGTGTCGTGTGTGAAGTCTGAAGTGTAGATGGTGAAGAGAAACGGTGAGAGGACAGTGCCCTGAGGGGCCCCGGTGCTGCAGACTACCACCTCAGACTCACAGCTGCGCAGCCGCACATACTGTGGTCGGTCAGAGAGGTAGTTGATGGTCCATGCAGTGAGGCTACTGTCCACTTCCGCGTCCTCCATCTTCCCCCGCAGCAGTGCCGGCCTGATGGTATTGAAAGCGTTGGAGAAGGATGACAAGGGACACTAAAATCCCCACAAAATCCGACCTTTATGAAAGCTGTAGGTTCTCTGTCAGGTTCTCTGTCAGCCGAGGTCGAGCTGTTTTTGTTTACATTGAGTTCTATGTCTGCAGTACAAGGGTCCTTCAGCTCCAAGCTAGTAATACCCGATCCAGTTATTATAATAGATCCATGGTTGAAACCCATTGATTTAAATAAAACTCTTTGTTCTTTTGTAACTGTTACTTGTGCAATCATTTGTATCGAAGCTACAACATGGGTGTGTTCTTTGTGTTTGTTTAAAGTTAGCTTAAAGGTCCTATATTTCACTTTTCTTAGAGAAGCAGTATGAAAAATCTGACCAAAAGTGGTACTGCGGCCTCTCCCACTCTCAATGACTCAGGTTGCCAGAAGACAAATCCTGCTGCTTCTATTGACAGAAGTGAGCGGGAGAGAAGTCTTTAAGAGTTAGCGCGTGGACGTAGTGCTCCTCGTATAATTACGCCTCACAATATAGTACCCCTTTTTAATCCGCTGAGAAAATCGACATGTTACATTTCTGTGTTACAATACTTTGTAGTGTAACACGTCACGTAACTGTATTTAAATAGGGAACACGTGGAAGAGTTTGGTAGCTTCTAAAGGGAGCTGATTTGGAACTATACAGTCTGTGGAAGAGGCTGCGTTTGTGCTCCGTTTGCATGACAGAGCGCACGGACAAAGACCAGACAGGTACATATCAACTAGTCTAAGGTAAGAACAAATGTCAGTATGAAAAAACGGTGGCCTATTCCTTTAAGAATGTGTACTGGATTATTGATCAGGAGGGTTGTAAACTAAATTCTTATCATTGACAGATTTTTGCTAAAAACATTTTGAGTTCATTGTTTACTGTTTCCTGAGAACATTTCTGTCCAACTTTCTAATAGATATCTTCAATCTCGGCCATGGACGCTCATATGAAGACCTATGTGTTCTGCAGGATCACTGCCGATCCTTTTATGCAAATACTCCACAGACTCTGGAGGGTCCAGGGTGTAGAGGGGAGTCTGGGTGTCTCTGTGGGGGCAGCCGGCACCAGATAAAGTGGAAGAAGATACACTGCTATAAATGATACAAGAACCTTGTGCCACAAAGCATAAGCTGTAAAACTGACTTTCTGGTATTTGACCCAAGAGAAATGGCTTTTCTCTCTTTGTCTCTCTCTCTCTACCTCTGTCTGTCTCTCTCTCCCTCTCCCTCTCTCCGTCTGTGTCGAATGATTAGGCAAGGCAAGTTTGTTTGTAGCACAATTCATACACAAGGCAAATCATTGTTGTTCTAGATTTTAGCAGCATGAATCGAAAACACAGCCTCTCCGTGTTTAGTCCTGACTCTGGGCACTAACAGGAGTCCAGTCCCCTTGCTCCTGAGAATCCGGCTCGGTTCATATGGGACTAACATGTCACTAAAATATTTTGGTGCGAGGCCATGGAGAGACTTGTACACAAGCAGAGCTGTTTTAAAGTCTATTCTCTGAGCCACAGGAAGCCAGTGCAGAGACCTGAGGACTGGACTAATGTGGTCGTACTTCCTGGTTCTAGTCAGGACTCGAGCTGCTGCATTTTGAATGTACTGCAGCTGTTTTACAGCCTGTTTGGACAGACCTGTGAGCAGGCCACTGCAGTAGTCTAACCTACTGGAGACAAATGCATGGATAAGAATCTCCAAGTCTGCTTTAGACACTATGTTTTTGATCCTGGCAATGTTTTTTAGGTGGTAAAAAGCTCCTGTAACTATAGTATAGAGACTGTAACACATTATTAAACACACAGTCGCTACATACTCTGGCTTTACCTCAGCACTCACCCATGTTGTCATTTCTCATCTTTAGTTTCGTCAGTTCTGAAGAGGACTCCGTTGCACCTGCAGTCATAAATGTCACTATGCCGGGTTTGTACACATATATTACACCTGTCTCAGTATGTGCTATTCCCTAAACCATTACCTCCTTTTTGCCTTTAGATCCCCCTTCCCACTAAGATGTACGCCCTGACGCTGCTGGTTCTACTGCAGGGCTTCGGCTTGGCATGGCCCAAAATCATAGAACCTCTGGGAATGACGGTCCATGTGGTTCCACAGGAGTCCACAAGTGGGAAAACAGTGAGTGAGATGTGAAAGATCAATGCATACTGCTGATATAGAGACATATACAGTAGATCTCTCTGATATAACATTCCATTCAATTCAGGACTCCAGCTGCAGTGTGTTGCAGCTGTAACAGTAGTCTACTTACTGGAGAGAAATACATGGATAAGAATCTCCAAGTCTGCTTTAGACACTTTAGATCCTGGCAAGGATTTTAAAAAGCTGCTGATGTTACAGATTTGATGTGTCTCCTAAAATTCAGGTCTGAGTATCACCCCTGGATATTTGACCTGATTTGAAGGCTTTAGGGAGAGGAACTGATGACGCTCTCAATTCGTTTCTGGGACCAAAAACAATCATTTCAGTTTTATCATTCAAGGAATTGTTTTGCATCCATTCACTGATCTGTTGGATACAGTGAAGGAGTGAGTCCACTGGTCCATGTTCTCCTGCAGTCAGTGAGACATAGATCTGAGTGTCGTCTGCATAGTTGTGATAGGACACTTCGTGTCTGCGTATTAACTGACCTAACGGCAGGATGTAGAGATTGAACAGAAGAGGTCCCAGGATCGACCCCTGTGGTACTCCACAGGTCAGGGCCATATGATCTGAGACACAGTTTCCAATCTCCACAAAGTATTTCCTGTCTTCAAGGTAAGACTTAAACCAACCAAGATATAGAGACACCAGCCCCTTCCTCTAGTCTCTGTGAGGACCACCCAGTCCTCTAGTGTCTGTGAGGACCACCCAGTCCTCTAGTGTCTGTGAGGACCAACCCAGTCCTCTTGTCTCTGTGAGGACCACCCAGTCCTCTTGTCTCTGTGAGGACCACCCAGTCCTCTTGTCTCTGTGAGGACCACCCAGTCCTCTAGTGTCTGTGAGGACCAACCCAGTCCTCTAGTGTCTGTGAGGACCAACCCAGTCCTCTTGTCTCTGTGAGGACCACCCAGTCCTCTTGTCTCTGTGAGGACCACCCAGTCCACTTGTCTCTGTGAGGACCACCCAGTCCTCTTGTCTCTGTGAGGACCACCCAGTCCTCTTGTCTCTGTGAGGACCACCCAGTCCTCTAGTCTCTGTGAGGACCACCCAGTCCTCTTGTCTCCTGTGAGGACCACCCAGTCCTCTAGTCTCTGTGAGGACCACCCAGTCCTTTTGTCTCTGTGAGGACAACCCAGTCCTCTAGTCTCTGTGAGGACCACCCAGTCCTCTTGTCTCCTGTAAGGACCACCCAGTCCTCTAGTCTCTGTGAGGACCACCCAGTCCTCTAGTCTCTGTGCGGATCACCTTGTCCTCTTGTCTCTGTATGAGGATCTCATGGTCTCCTTCCCAATCATGGAAATGTATCATGCGAATGAAATGAAATGAAATGACAGTGTCAAAAGCTGCACTCAGACAAAACTCTCTCTGAATCTTGCTGCTTCCACCTTAACCACCTCCCCCTGTGTGTGATGTGTCCGGGATCAGGTCCGGGCCCACTTCACCGCCATCATCTCCGGCGAGTGCTCGGACGTGAGTAGTCCGTGTGATGGTGTGGATAACTGTGTGGTGGAGGAGAACACAGTGCCGTTCACCGGGACTCTGGCGGGCTCCAGCTGGTGCTCCCATCACTGGCAACAGACCCTGGACTCGAACTATGAGGGAACCATCTCCTTTGGCCCAGGGTACGACACTCTGACTCTGTACAGGACTGTAACCCTGCAGGAGAAATGACAGAGATATGATAACGCTGCTTCAATATAAGAAAAATAAACAGATAAGAGTAGGATTTGGTTTAATGGTGGGAGCACAGAAAGACGCAAAATCATAGCTGTAAAATCATAGCAGCCAACATAAAAATAAACGACTAGACATGGGGAAAAGAAAAACAATGAAATGACAACACACACAGAGACACAGGGTCTAAATACACACTATACACATTGAAGTCCCCATATAAATACAGATAGTGACTTCCATTGCCCTCTATTTCAACAAGATAGAATTATGTGATGTGATTGTGTGATTGTGTGATTGCGTGATTGTATGATTGTTTGATTGTGTGATTGTTTGATGAGGCAGGGGACGTGCTGTTTCAGTCCGAGTACATTATGTTCCTCAGTGTCGCTGCTGTCACACCTGTTCAAGTATCTCGTATCTTCCCAAGTGAGCTCTGTGGGACCACGGTTATTTGAAATGACAGGAAACAGCCCTAGCCATAGCAGCTAGCATAACGAGTTTTAGTTTTTAGACAAAAGAGGTGGGGGTGTCACATGGTGAAATGATAGAGGACCTAAACATAGGAATGCAAAAATAATGATTTAATAAAGTTAATTCCAAAATGAAAACAAATCTCAAAAAATCCAAAGGAACCAGGAACAGAACTTGACAATACAGGACGTTGACAATACAATGGACCAGCACAAGCGGAGAGGAGCACAGGGTACAAATAGACACAGACACAGGTGAAACACATCAGGGCGGGGCAGACAATCAACTTAGGGGAACAGGAAGTCAAACTACACAGGGAAAATTAGTAAAAATAAAACCACACCATGACAGGGGGGGACATACTTTTACTATTACTCATTGGGATTATTGAAACGTGAAAACGCAAAAACCATTTCAGCATAGTATGTACCCTTTAAAGTAGCAGTATGTAATATTTGCATGTCAAGTCATCATTAAATGGCGTCCATATTTCAAAAGGCGTTATTAAATCATGCTCTTTTCGAATACATCTTTAACTGATAACAGTAGTTCATATTTGAATAGTATTTGAATATCAAAATTAGTTTTCCGACCCGTAAAAGTTGTTATTGTTTTGATTTTGATGTCCTACCCTCCGCCGTTTCGGCAATCAGGAAGTGTCATGTAAGTCCGTGATCGGGTTGCCAGAACTCCCCGCGGCTCATTAATCTCAGAGGTAAAATAACATGTGGCCGCAGAACTAAAAAAGGTCTTGTTATGACTCTCAAATAATTAATGACAAAACAAAGACTGAAACGAAGATTTATATCAGGACGCCTTTGAACAATTGAGACAGCAGATAAAAGTTTTCGTGTGATGCAAAATTTGTTGGTCTGAGTCCGTTCTTCATTTTGTCTTATATCGTGTGAATCTCAATGCAGTAACCCGGGTTCGAATCCGGACAGATTATTTTTGTATTTAATTGCATGTTATCACATTCTATAACAGATTGCTCTAAAAACGGTAAAAGACGAAGGTCAAGACGTTTTTTTGCAGATTATAGCTTAAGTGTAAAAATAATCATTTAAGACCACATGTACCCAATTAAAATAATGTTAGTCCTTTTTGATGTGGGACTTAAACTTGTTTGTCTAAAAAATAGGGAATAAATCAAATTGAAGGTGATATCCTTTGGAGCAAACCCTGATGTTGATACGCTGAAGAAATATATTCCAACATTCATTCTTCCCACTCCTATTTTGGACATCAATTGCTTATTTATTTTGCATAATCTATAATTACATTGATTTTATTCTGTTTTTTGTTTTTTATCTCAAATGTCCAAATAAAAAAAAAAATTAAACATTCATTCAACATTAGCATGCCTCATGGCAATGTGAAGGAGACAGACAAACAACCGATAAAATAATTCCCTGTGTTTGCTGCTGGATTTGGTGTGTATCTGGCAACCTGAGTCAGGGAGAGTGACTGCAGTACCACTTTTGGCCAGATTTTTACATATTGCTCCTTTAAGTTTTAAAAATAGGCTACGATCACGTGACATCACAGTATTCCAACGAGTTCAACAATGTGGCGGAAGCAGCTGAAAAATCAGTCCTAACAATGGATCTTGTCAAAAGTCAGATTTATTGTCAGATTTAATTTCTAGGTCTAATCACTTTCGGAACAGGGCCTTTCTGATTGGCGTTTTCATGTTCTCCCTGTATCTATGTAGGTTTCCTCCAGGTGCTCTGGTTTCTCCTACCATTAAAAACACTCAAATCCTCCAGCTCTGGTCCTGACCGAAGTCTACCATTAAATATTAAACTTATTATGAACTTAACCTTTTGTTATTAATGCATGGGTTTTATATAGTTATTTTTTGGACACTCAAACACACTTCACATGACATTATTCTTTCACTCGGTACATGGTGGTAAGAAACTACAACTGTAGCCACAGCTGCCCTGGGCACACTGACAGAAGCGAGACAACCAGTCTGTGCCATCGGCCCCTCCCACCGACACCAACCACTCACACACACACCAGACTAATTTTATTGATGAAATACCACTTCTCATTTGATAAGACTGCGAGCAAAGCATTCCAGCTGGAGGTTAAAACACACAATAGCTAATAACTCGTTTCCTGATTGTGACTTTGTTGGAACTTTCAGAGCTTCCAGAGATCTGTTCGTGAAACTGAAGGCGGACCCTGTGGTGCGCGCCAACTCCGGCAAACTCAACCATCCGGCGTTTGTGGCCCTCCCCCCTCCCCTCAGGTAAAATGCCAGTCTACAGAGACGTCCCTTGCCATTGGGCAAGGCAGGCAGCTGCCTGGGGCCCCCAAACCGGCAGGGGGCCCCGAGGGCCTACTGATTTGACTTGTACAGGCTACAACAGCTATCTGCAGTGAGGAGTTGGCGGATAAAAACTTTTCGTCTGATGCAAAACTTGCCACGTTCTTTCTTAACAGTTGAAAAGGCGGCCTGAGAACCTGTGTGTAATGTATACAATAATGGTTAAGTTGCAGCGCTTGCGTTGACGACCTGGGTTCAAGTCCGGATGAAGCATACATTTTGTAACTATATATATTACATTCTATATGTTTGAGTCTTATAAGGATCACACTCACACATGTAGATTTAGACTACAACAGGCGGTTCCATCTAGCAAACATTCGTGCACATGCCAATTCACCATTCATAGCATTACATCCATCTATCCTTTTTTGTCCAGCTTATCCATTTACGGGTCACAGGGTCAGCAGTCTGAGCAGAGACACAGACTTCCCTCTCCACACACCTCTTCCAGCTCATCTGGGGGAACCCTGAGACCTCCCCAGCTGAGAGACATAGTCAATCTGTGTCCTCAGTCTTCCCTCGGTCTCCTCCTGGTGGGACATATCCAGAACACCTCCCCAGAGAGGAGACCAGGAGGCCTCCCAAACAGATGAGCCACCTCCACTGGCTCCTCTCCACATAGAGAAGCAGCGTCTCTACTCTGAGCTCCTCCCATGTGTCTGAGCTCCTCCCCTATCACTAAGAGAGCGCCCAGCAACTCTGTGGTTAAGCTCATTTTATTTCAATTTCGTGCTTTCGGTCTTCACCCAAAGCTCATGGTCAGAGGTGAGGGAGGGAACGAAGATCAACCCGTTAATCAAGAGCTTTGTCTTCCGGCTCAGCTCACCGCAACAGTCTGATACAGCTTTGACTGCAGACGCTGCTCCCTCTTCACCACAACCTCTCACGCTCCTTCCCTCAATGAGAACCAGACCCTATGATACTAGAACTCATATTGTTATGTGTAGTTTAAAATGCCAGAAAGAGGATAAAAAATGTTAAAATGTCTGAATTCCCATTACATTGAAACAGAACACATGTGTGAGGGCACGGCTCCTTAAAGTACCTTCAATAACCATTTACCTTTGACTGTCAACAAAACAAAACAAAACACATAAACAAGAGGTTTCATTTCTGCAAAGATGACAAAACAAGAGAGCGACCATTTTGTTTTGGGGACTGAATAACATTTATTCAATTCAATGCGTTTTTGTACAACACTAAATCACAACAGTAGTTCTCTTGGAGGACTTGTCAATTCGCCAACACAGATCAGAAAATCCAACCGTTCATATACAGAAAAGGCAACAATAGAATAGATATAGAGCCATTGGTCCATAAATGTGAATAGATGTCCACAAATGTCCTGGATCAGCAACGCACAACTCAAACCATTAGACAAGAGCAAGGCAAGTTTTTTTTGTGTAGCACAGTTCATAAACACGCCAATGACAGTTTGAAGAGGGGTTGGACTAAGCAGACACACACACAAACACAAACACACACGGACTGCAACACTCTCTGATCCAACACCTCTGCTTATTTTGTCCCGCGTCGACCCGCCATTTCTACAGTGGAATATGTTTATTTTTACAGTCTAGTGTTTGATTGTAACTGTGTGTGTGTGTGTGTGTGTGTGTGTGTGTGTGTGCATGTGTCTATGTGTTTGTGTCTGTTTGTGTGTGTGTGTATTCCCGTGTGTTTGTCACTCTCTCTCATGGGTTTGTGTGTGTGTGTCTCTCTCACTGTGTCTGTCTTTCTCTTGTGTGTGTGTGGGTCTGTGTGTGTGTCATTCTCTCTCGTGGATTTGTGTGTGTGTGTGTGTGTGTGTGTCTCTCGTGTGCGTGTGTGTGTGTGTGTGTGTGTGTGTGTGTGTGTGTGTGTGTGTGTGTGTGAGTGTGAGTCTGTGTGTTTGTGTCTGTGTGTGTGTGTGTGTGTCACTCTCTCGTGGGTTTGTGTGTGTGTCTCTCTCTTGTGTGCGTGTGTGTGTGTGTCTGGACCAGGGCGCGTGAGAACTGCCCGCACCACTTCCCTCTCGCTGTCCGAGACCTGGACGGGGACAGAGTTCGCTGTCGTTTTGCTCTTGAAGATCAGGACGAGTGCAACAAGTGTGATCTGCTCTCATTTGTGGAACTGGACAGTGTGAGTTACACACACACACACACACACACACACACACGCACACACACAAACGCACTCACACAAAAAAAAACACACACAGACACAGACATACACACAGACCGACAGATACAAACAGACATGTTTTATAAAGGATTCTGGGAACTTATCTAAATTATGTTTCTGTTCAACTCAATTTAATCAAAGGAAATCCAACAAATGTTTTATATTTCACCACATTCAACATTCAGATTTTGTCTCTTTTGACTGAGCCGAGCCTGATCATCCTTTGTTTTGGTCCAACTGTGATAGGGTTGTAGGGGTATAGGGATTACAGAAGTATAGGGGTTTTAGAAGTGATGGAGATTTCAGTGACTTTGAACGTGGCACGGTTGTTGGTGCCAGAGAAGCTGGTCTGAGAATTTCAGAAACTTCTGATTCACTGAGATTTTCACACACAACCATCTCTAGGGTTTAAAGAGAACGGTCCAAAAAAGAGAAAATATCCAGAGAGCGGCAGTTTGGTGGGCAAAAATTCCTTGTTTGATGCCCGAGGTCAGAGAAAATCTCTGAACACAAAACATGTCAAACCTTGAGGCAGATGGGCAAAAGCAGCAGAAGACCACACCGGGTGTCACTCCTGTCAGCTAAAAACAGGAAAATGAGGCTTCAGTTCACAAAGGCTCACCGAAATTAAACAATAGAAGATTGGAAAAAGTTGCCTGGTCTGATGAGTCTCGATTTCTGCTGCAACATTCAGATGGTAGGGTCAGAATTTGGAGTCAATAACATGAAAGCATGGATCCATGCTGCCTTGTATCAACGGTTCAGGCTGGTAGTGGGGGGGTCATGGTGGTGGGGGTGTCAGGGTGTGGGGGGGTCATGGTGGTGGGGGATATTTTCTTGCCACTCTTTGAGTCCCTCAGCACCAATTGAGCATCATTGCCACAGCCCATCTGAGTATTGTTGCTGACTATGTCCATCCCTTTATGACCACAGTGTACCCATCTTCTGATGGCTACTTCCAGCAGATAAAACATCTTGTCATAAAGCCCAAATCATGACAGACTGTTTTTTTTTTTTTTTTTAAACTGTACTGGAATGGCCTCCACAGTTACAGATCTCTCAATCCAACAGAGACACTTTGGGATGTTGTGGAACAGAAGCATCATGGATGTGCAGCCGACAAATCTGCAGAAACTGCGTGTTACTTTCAAATATGGCCCAAACTCTCTGAGGAATGTGTCCAATACCTTGTTGAATTTGAAGGAATAAGACATTAGGTACTAGCAAGGTGTACCTAATAAAGTGGCCGGTTGATTGTAGAAGTGTAGGGGTTATAGATGAGCAGGGTTTTAAGCGGTGTAGGGGTTAGAGAAGTGTAGGGGTTATAGAAGTGTAGGGGTTATACAAGTGTAGGGGTTATAGAAGTGTAGGGGTTATAAAAGTGTAGGGGTTATAGAAGTGTAGGGGTTATACAAGTGTAGGGGTTATAGAAGTGTAGGGGTTGTAGAAGTGTAGGGGTTGTAGAAGTGTAGGAGTTGTAGAAGTGTAGGGGTTGTACAATACAATACAATACAATACAATTTATTCTTGTATAGCCCTAGGTCCCAACACAAGTCATCTCATAGGACTTAACAAAACCATTGAAATCACCAACACAGGTCAGAGAATCAACAATTAAAACACATGAAAAATATAAAGCACACACAGAAGAAAATGTCCATACATGTTGTAGAATAGGGGCGACAGTAGCTCAGTTGGTAGAGCATTGGCCTTAAGGCCAGAAGGTTGTGGGTTCAATTCCCACCTCTGCACCTTCTCCACCGACTCCCACTGATGACTGCTGTCGTTGTGTCCTTGGGCAAGACACTTAACCCCACTTTGCCCAAAGCCCCCTCTGAAAGATCAAGGCTATGCTCTCACTCAGCTGCAGCCGTCCTCCTGTGGACTCACCACCTGCAGAGGATCAGTGAGGGGCTGGTGCTATGAGACTTGGGTGGCATCTCTGACTGTCACCCCCCTGACCCAGAAATGGATTAAAGGGTAGAAAATGGATGGATGGAAATGGATGGATGGATGTTGTAGAATGCTAAAGTGTCCTGATCATCACCAATCCTTTCTGTTGGACACTAACTGTCCAACAAGACCCTCCTGCATCGACAAGGAAAAACTCTTAAAAAACCCAGTGGGAAAAAGTCAGAAACCTTCGGGAGAACTAGGGAAACCCACAGGGAGGGAGACCCATTTGAGAAAGGGATCCGCTCCTTCGGACGGACAGGCTAATGATCTAGGACCTAAGCTAGCTACAGAACGTGGACCAGCGGCCGCTGAATGTGGACAGGTCCGGTGCAGGAGTGTAGGAGTTAGAGAAGTGTAGGGGTTATAGAAGTGTAGGGGTTGTAGAAGTGTAGGGGTTGTAGAAGTGTAGGGGTTATAGAAGTGTAGTGTTATAGAAGTGTAGGGGTTAGAGAAGTGTAGGGGTTGTAGAGGTGTAGGGTTATAGAAGTGTAGGGGTTAGAGAAGTGTAGGGGTTATAGAAGTGTAGGGGTTATAGAAGTGTAGGGGTTATGGAAGTGTAGGGGTTATAGAAGTGTAGTGTTATAGAAGTGTAGGGGTTAGAGAAGTGGAGGGGTTGTAGAAGTGTAGGGTTATAGAAGTGTAGGGGTTAGAGAAGTGTAGGGGTTATAGAAGTGTAGGGGTTATAGAAGTGTAGGGGTTATAGAAGTGTAGTGTTATAGAAGTGTAGGGGTTAGAGAAGTGTAGGGGTTGTAGAAGTGTAGGGTTATAGAAGTATAGGGGTTAGAGAAGTGTAGGGGTTATAGAAGTGCAGTGTTATAGAAGTGTAGGGTTATAGAAGTGTAGGTTGTAAGGGTTAATGGGGTATAGACGAGGTCCATGGTCCCTGACGCTGCTGGTGTGTCCTGCAGGAGAAGTGCTCGCTCACATTTACTGGAGACGCTAAAGCTGGAGAGTACCACGTTTACCTGATGGCAGAGGACCGGGTCCCCTCTCCCAGCTCCATGCAGGCCCCCAGTGCTGCCATGAGTGCGGTCCCTGTGGTCCTGTCCCTGACCGGTCAGTACCTCTCACACATGAGTGCAGCTCCATATAATTTTGTGTCCCTTTACCCTCTGTCTCCCCTCTCCCTCCCCTGTCCCTCGCCTCTCTAGCCCCAGTTCCTCCTTTGTCCCTTGCGTCTCCCTCCCCTGAGCCTCACCCTCATCTCTCTCTCCCCTGACTATCTCCCTCACCTCTCTCTCGCCTCTCTCTCCCCTGTCCCTCCCCTCTCCCTCCCCTCTCCCTCCCCTCTCTCTCCCCTCTTCCTCCCTTGTCCCTCCCCTCTTCCTCACCTCTCTCTTCCCTCTCTCTCCACTGACTCTCTCCCTCACCTCTCCCTCCCCTGGCCCCTCCCTCTCCCCTGTCCCTTTCCTCTCCTTTCCCTGTCTCCCCCTTCTCCCTCCCCTCTCTCTCCCCTGTCCTCCTCCACTCCCTCCCCTCTCCATCAAACCCTTCACCTGTCCCTTTCCTCTCTCTCACCTCTCTCGCCTCTCTCTCCTCTCCCTCCCCTATCTGTCCCCTGTCCCTCTCCTTTCCCTCCCCTCTCTCTCACCTGCCCCCCCTCCCTCCCCGCTCTCTCCTCTTCTTCCCCTCTCTCCCTTCTCTCGCCTTTCTCCCCTCTCCCTCCCCTCACCCTCCCCTCTCTCTAACCTGCCCCCTGCTCCCTCCCCTGTCCCTCCCCTGTCCCTCCCCCTGTCCCTCCCCTTGTCCCTCCCCTTGTCCCTCCCCCTGTACCTCCCCTCTCTCCCTTCTCTCACCTGCCTCCCTCACCTCTCCCTCCCCCCTCCCTCCCCTCTCCCTCACCTGTCCTCTCTGGTGTGTGAGTGCAGTGGAAGCAGCAGTCCACAGCTGCAGTGTGGAGCCCGTGGCCTCAGAGGAAACCTTAAAGGAGAACTCAGTGATGGAGATCTTCCCGTACTCCATCAAAAACTTCAGTGTGGAATACGACTCTGCTGCTGAGAGGTGCCCTACGTCCCTACGTCCCTACTGTCCCTACTGTCCCTACAGTCCCTATTGTCCCTATGTCCCTTTGTCCCAACAGTCCCTCTTCTGTCTCCTCTGTCTCCGTGGGCTCCACTGTCTCCTCTCTCTCTTCTGTCTTTTCTGTCTCCTCTGTCTCCTCTCTCTCCTCTGTCTTTTCTGTTTCCTCTGTCTCCTCTCTCTCTTCTGTCTCTTCTGTCTCCTCTGTCTCCGTGGGCTCCACTGTCTCCTCTCTCTCTTTTCTGTCTTTTCTGTCTCCTCTCTTTCCTCTCTCTCCTCTGTCTCCTCTCTCTCCTCTCTCTCCTCCCTATCCTCTCTCTCCTCTCTCTAATAACCTCATGATGTGTTGTTCATTAATAACATGGCCTGGTTTTTCAGTGTACAGTTCTTAATCTATGGAATCATTTACAAACAGGTTGGTAAAAAAACAAACGCTCTATTTTTCTATGTTTCTTGCCCCAAAAAGATGATTACAATCATTTGCCATAATATACAATTACTCTGCAAAAAATTATGCAATTTGAAGTAATAATTGCAAATATTTGGTGTATTCTGACTGTGTTAAAACAAGATTCTCTAATGGGACAAAACCATCTAGTCTTAATTCAAGTACTGTGGCTTTATTTCCTCATTCCAAGGGAGACATTTCTGTATCTTTTTGAAACAAGATCATTTTGCTTTGTCCCATTGACAAATCTTGTTTTAAGGCAGTCAAAAAGTGCTCAAATTAAGATAAATTTAGACATTTATATTTTTTTACTTGTTTTTCATCACTTTTTACAGTGTAGAAAGAAAGTAACTTGAACTGAAACCAACCAAAATTCTCAAGTCTTTGGTTTTAGTTTTAATCCAATTCTTTTCCATCTGTATCACATCAATTTGATTAAAAAACAAATCCATAATCTCCACCACAATTTAGGACCAAAACTCATTTGTAATCATTCTTTTTTCATGTCAAGAAGCTTGTATCTACTCGGCTTATCAATTGTAATTTATGCAAATAACGGACTAGCAGCTAATCATCTTGTTTCTCCAATCGCCGGGATCTAAATCATGGGAACCAATCAGTGAAGTATGAATAAAAGATTGTATTTGTTTGGTGTTGACTTGTAAAGGTGTGACTTTTGTGATTGAGGGTCACGTCTCTGTGAATGTGTTATTACTGTGTCGTTACTTCCCGTTGGTTTGCGTCAAATCAAAGTTGCATGTGTGTGAGTGGGCTCGCCTCTTCACAGATCCGACCTGGTTAAGCTTGACACCACTCATTGACCAATCAGAGAATAGCAGCGGTGGCAGATCAGCAAAAACACTAAAAACATTCCTTCTGAGTTCAGTTCTTGTCCGACCAGTTTTGTTCAGGGAGCCAGAGTTGTATTTTTGTATCGCTCTAAATCACAGCAGTAGTTTTCTCTGAGGACTTTACAAAGCTGTCGATTCACCAACAACAGATCAGAGAATCAAACTGTTAAAACTCAAGAAAATAAGAAATTGGAGCCGGAGCAAGAGGAATGTTTAGCAAATGTGTGTCACTGTTGCAAAGATGTTGTGGCTCTACTCCCCTCGCGCTCTGTCTGGCTTAGGAGATGGCTAAAGCTAGGCTACATGCTAAAGCTAGGCTAAATGCTAAAGCCATGTTACTGTAAAGCTAAATGCCTCTCTCGGGCTCGTTACATACGCCACAATAAACTCAGATCCAATGGTTTCAATCTGCAAAAGGAGTTAACCCCTCCCACCTGTTAACGGCGCTCAATGGATCAAATATAGACCTTAGTACGAAATGAAATGAGTACAATGGTATGATAAGACCAGGCTATTGGAGGGATCCACTCCATAAAACCAGTTCATTCATTAGTATTTTATAAACAATTTTACAGTAATACAGTGTTGCTTCTAATAAGAAAGTGCAAAGGGAGAATATTAACCTCACCGACTAAAACAGAAAAGTCAGAACCATTTATTTGTATCTACACAAACAAAAGCCCAAATACAACACACCCCGAGAAACAAATCACGATACAGTCTGTATAAAACACAAACACAGATAAGTGACATTAGGAAAAGACATCCCTCCCTTTCTCCCTGTCTCTCTCTCCCCTCTCAGTCTTTGTCTCTCTCTCTCTCTCCACTCCCTTTCTCTTTCTCCCACCCTCTCCCCTCTCTCTCTCTCTCCCTTTCCCTCTCCCCTCTCTCTCTCTCTCTTCCTCTCCCTTTCTCTCTGTCTCTCCTCTCTCTTCCTCGCCCTTTCTATCTCTCCCATTCTCTCTCTCCCTCCCTTTCTCTCTCTCTTCCTCTCCCTTTCTCTCTCTCTCTCCACTCTCTCTTTCTCTCTCTTCCTCTCCCTTTCTCTCTCTCCCACCCTCTCCCCTCTCTCTCTCTCCCTTTCCCTCTCCCCTCTCTCTCTCTTCCTCTCCCTTTCTCTCTGTCTCTCCTCTCTCTTCCTCGCCCTTTCTATCTCTCCCACCACCCCCTCTCTCCCACCCTCCCCATCTCTCCCTTTTCCCTCTCTCTCCCCCCCTCTCTCCCTCCCCTCTCTCTCTCTCTTCCACCCTCTCCCCTCTTTGTCTCTTCCTCTCTCTCACTCTCCCTCCCTTTCTCTCTCTCTCTAATACTTGTTACTGTTTAGCATGATGGGTAAACAGAGTAACATCTCCATGGAGACGAGTGCGATTCAGATGAAGAAGTTTTGAGATCCTTTATTTGACCCAGCGGGGAAACTTCGTAGAAAATGCTCCAGTGAGAAGTTCATTTATGCAGATTTTCACAATGTGTGTGTGTGTGTTTGTGTGTGTGTGTGTGTGTGTGTTTGTGTGTGTGTAGCGTGACAGACATTGCAGTCATCGGTCCTCCAGGCCTCTACAGAGTTAGATTTGCCTCGATCGGATCCCTGTCCTCCTTGGACATAGCCTGGGTGCGCACCGAGAACAAGCTCCCTCTCCTGGTTCCCATCTGCTTCGTGGCCAACACTGCCAGGTATCGGCCTCTTCACACACAGACACCTGCCAACAGTCCACGTGTTTGAAGTGTAACCGAGTGCGTCCCTGTGTTCCCAGTTTGCAGTCGGAGCCCAGATGTGTGTGGCTGTACCAACGTATGTAACACATCTGAGCTTTGCTGTCGACACACAAACAAATATACACACAGTGAACGCAAAGAAAGCACAAAGTTGTTATTGTTTTGACGTCTGCTTCTGTCTATTTTCAGGAGAAACCCTTTCTCTTCCGACTGGAACTGGTGAGATAAATGTCACACACGCACACGCACACACACACACACACACACTTTTACAAATGAAGTTTGCAAATGGACTATATAAAAAGACAGACAGGAGAGAGAGAGAGAGAGGGGGGCAAACAGAGAGAGATGGGGAGAGAGAGGGGAAGGAGAGAAGGGGAGAGAGGTATAGAGACAGGGAGAGAGATAGAGAGCGAGACAGACAGAGAGAGGGGGAGAGGTAGAGAGAGAGGAAGGTATGTTTTTTCTAATGTCACTTATCTGTGTTTGTAAATGTTCTAATCCTTCTCTGTCTCCTCAGCGCTGAAGAGAGCGGGAGGGAGAGAGAGAGAGTGGGAGGGAGGGAGCGAGAGAGACAGAGAGAGAGAGAGGGGGAAATAAGAGAGGGGGAGACAGACAAAGAGGGGGAGATGGAGAGAGAGATAGAGAAAGAGAGAGAAAGGGAGAGGAAGAGAGAGAGAAAGAAAGGGAGAGAGATATATAGATATAGAGAGAGGGGAAGACAGACAGAGAGAGAGAGAGAGAGAGAGAGAAAGGGAGGGAGAGCTAGAGGGAAGGAGGGTTGTTTTTCTACTTACCTGTGTTTGTAAATGTTCTTTTCCTTGTCTGTCCTGAAGAGAGAGACAGGGAGAGAGAGAGAGAGAGAGAGAGGTAAACAGAGAGAGGGATGATTATTCTAACTTCTCTGTGTCTGTCTGTGCCTCAGTGCTGACCTGTGATAACTCCCAGATGACCCTGGCCCTGCCCACCAGCGCCCTGACTCAGATCAGGCTGTCCGACCTGAGGCTGAACGACCCCGACTGTACCCTCAGCTTCAACGACACCTTCCTGTTCGCCACCATCCCGCTGCTGGGCTGCGGCACTCTGCCTGTGGTAAACTAACCCTGTGTTCACCTCTGAAAGACGGGTCCAGACGCACATCAACAATCCTGATTCTTTTAATGGACAAAACAAAATCACTGAAGAAACTAAAATAATGTCACTTTACCTGTTGATATTATTTCTGATGTTTATTCTGCTCATATTCATATTCTCATATTCTCCGCTGCTAATGTATAATATAGACATCTGTAAATACTTCCGAACCAAGTGCAATTATAGCCCAGAGTTTATCTCTTTTATATTTTTTTTATCTTAATTTTATTGTCTCTTATCTTAAATAATATACTCAATTTGATGTGTGCAGTCTGAGTGCTCTTATTTCCTTTTTCTGCTGTAATGACACTGAAATACACGGTTTTATACAGTGCTTTTCTGGACTCTCAAAGACGCTTCACATGTCTTTTTTTTTTACTCCAAACACAGTGGTAATATAATGGTACTGTGGCCATTCCTACTAGTAGTTGCCCCTGCAACTACCACTAACATTTTGCACACACACCAGACTCAATCTAATGTGGGGGGAGTGTCTTACCTAAGGACACAACCAAAGTCTGGGACTTTACAGCCACAGCTGTGGCACCTAGTGTTCCCAGCGGATTCCCATCACAGTACTTACCAGGCCCTGCCCTGCTTAGCTTCAGAGGTCTGCTGGGTGCTGACCTTTGTCTAGAATGAGTCTGGTGTGTGTGTGTGAATGGTTGGTGGTGGTGGGAGGGGCCAATGGCAGAGACTGGTTGCCTCCCATCTGTCAGTGTGCCCCAGGGCAGCTATGGCTACAGAAGTAGTTTATCTGTATGAAGTGAATAAATAATGGCATGTGAAGCGTCTTTGTGTGTCCAAAAAAAACTATTTATTATTATTTTATTTTATAGCAGACCACTGTATGCTTTGAGCTCAATCTACCTTTTGTCATTTTAATTCAGTGTAAAATGTCCCTTGGGTCTTGTTTTGCAAGCACCAGAAACGACAACATAAGTATTTTAACCCAAAGTGCTTTACAATGTTTGGAAATCTGATGTTTTTCCTTTCAGCTCTCTGACTTATTATATTCAGACCTATTGTACATGTTCGCAGTTGTTTTGGGGATCATTAAACTCCACTCCCTGTTCTGGATTCGAACCCTTCCCACTCAGCCCCCTAAATAACATAAAATAACATCTAATTGTTTTCTTATTCTACAGCACTCTGGAGACGAACTGATCTACACCAACAAAATCTACACCGACATCAAGTCCACTCAGGTGATCCGCCGCTCCAACCGGCTGGTGTTGCCTCTGGCCTGCCGCATCCCCGGGGTCAAGGCCACAGGTCCCAACTACAAGAACATGGACACCCCAGAGACCAAGGTGTTCGGTCCGAAGCCCAAAGTGGCTCTGACCTTCCACTTCCCGGGACAAGGGCCTTTGAGCAAGTTCACTAAGAATCCAAACTTCCGGACAAACACCAGAAGAGTGCGACGAGAGGTGGGAGATGAGAGCAAAAACGCCACCTCCAACACGACCACAGCCGCCCCATCGGTCACTGAAGCCGCCACCACGGCCGCCATCGGGTCTCAGATCCAACAACTGGACATGTACGTGTCTTCCAACTCCTCGGCTCCGCGGGTTGAGATGATCGTGAACAGCTGCTGGGAGTCGGAAACGGAAGACTTTAAGAATCCACATTTGGTCATGGAGAGCGGGTCAGTGTTCAACTCGTCTGGTCCATCCGGACACCCAGACATATAGATACACACACATACATACCAACATACACACGCACCGAGACATACATATACACACACACACACACACACACGCATACACACACACTCACACACATATACACACACACATACACATACATACAGTACATACACACAAACACATTTACAGGTACACATACAGACACGTACACAGGCTACACATACACACACAAACATACACCCACACGCATAAATGGGCCACACACATACACACAAAATATTTGTGTAGTTTGACACTGGTGTGTGAGTATTTGCGACACAACTGGGTCTGACAAAACAATTTAACCAAAGCACAGTAGAAGCCATAGTAAGTTGGTGACATGGGGACTTAGCGGGAAATTTCAATGTTGCAGCGCACATACAGTACAGTCGTAAGAGCACACAGGGAGCACACATGATACACAATATAAGTAGCTGCTATGTTTCTTAGCTAACTGTAAATGCTTCAATATTAATGATGAAGAGGTGGCTAGCCAAGTGTTGCTTATTTTCATATTCTAGTGTGAAACCAGTATGCAATCACAACCATATGATGTGTTCACGGGTAATGCTTAATTTATCAGAAATAAGTATAAATGTCAATCAGAAATGCATTGTACTAGTTTCTCACTGTAGCTTATGTGGACGCTTGTATGTGGTAGTATGTATGGGTTTTCGCATTGACCAAAAATGCTCTCTCTCACTTTTTGACCTCGTCTTTTCAGCCGAGCCGTGTTCAGTGTAAACACAGTGTTAAGTATTGTGGTAATTTAGAATGCCAAGATTAAACACAGAGTTCTTTTACAGTATGTGTTTGTCTCCCAGGTGCACAGCCACCGCCAGCGTCACAGAAATCGTCACCAACGTCACAGGGACAAAAGTCTTCCGTATGAATTTACCCGGTCTCAACACTGCGGGCACTGTGGTACGTATGATTTTCCAGGCCTTTCTGTGTGGGGTTTGCATGTTCTACCTGTGTCTACGTTAGATTCCTCCAGGTTCTGTCATGCTGCAAAACCACTCAGGGCTGGTGGGGGTGTACCCAGAAAGAGAATTACCCAATGCTTTTGTATGGCATCTTCTTTCCTCTTGAAAATGTCTTTACAGCCTGGTCCAAAAGTGGCTCTTGGCCCAAAGCTACCTTCCAGATGCTATCAATGCGATGGGGGGGATTTTTGGCCTATATGGACCTCAGAATGCACTCGTTAAATAAATGGGGCTAGTTCAGGCTAACGAATTCGGAAATGCAGTTTTTTCACTTTTTGCCATTTTGAAAAACCCACAGAAGTCAAAAGTGGTGGCACATTAGTTTCAACAGCCACAATAGACGTCACAACGATAATATTTACAGCCTATGGTTCTGACCCACATTGTTACTAGTATCTATATCTTAAGCATCTACTTCATATATCTCAAGTGATGATGTCTCTGTTCTGATGCAAATCTATACACATCACATAAAAAGCATTGTCTTCTTTTGTTCCATCTGGAAGAACTGGAACAATTTTACTTTTGAATGCTTTTTTTCTTTCTGTAGATGTTACGACAGTAGAGTGTTCATGGTTTCACTCTGATCCTGACCAGAGCAGAGAGGATGGTCCCAGCCAAGCAGAGGAACGCTAACTAAAAATACTAACCAAGCATTCAGCATTTCACTCTGAACCAGAGCAGAGGAAATGGTCCAATTCTGCTGCTCGGACCCAAAGTGCTGTTGCATTTTTATACAATTGTTAGCTACTTTTAGAATGACGTATATTAATATGCTTTGTCTGTGTGGATAGATGTGTTTTTGCTGCTACCGAACACATCTATTAAAAAAAACGGGTTACCTACATTTCTCGACACTCTCTCCCTCTCTGTATCTCCTCTCTGTGTTTTTGAAAAGGAGATTTTAGCCCAGAAGAAGCCCTCTCAAAGCCCTCTCTCTGTGTGTTTTCTTTGTGCTTGCATGCAGATGTACATGAGGTGCACCGTGAACCTGTGTGTGGCTCTCCTGCCGTCGGGGTCCTGCCCTGACCTGTGCACCACCAAAATCTCCCGTGCCACGCTGGTCAACAGTGTGTTCAGTAGCTCCTACACAGTCACTTCAGACCCCATCAGTCTGGTCGTCACCAAAGCTCCACCTACCACTATCACCACCACCCCCACTACCACCACCCCCACCACCACCACCACCACTGCCCCTACAACCACCACCACTGCCCCTACAACCACCACCACTGCCCCCACCACTGCCAACGGTAACTTCTTTTACTCACCTTATATGTATTTTCTTTTAGGTCAACGTCATATCTGGCCTTTAACTGAATGTGTTCTTCCCTGGCAGCTCCAAATCCACAATGCTCTGAGAGATTTATACAATGCTTGTATGAAACTGTCTGTTTCTTGTGTCACGTTCCTCTGTACTTGTCACATTTTGCCTTTACGATCTCCATTTCATCACCATCCTGCTGCAATACATAAATGACATGAAAATGTTCTCGGCTTCAACGCAGCTCACCCGCACTTTCCCATCATCTTTGTCTAGTTTTGTGGCAATCCTGTATCGCTCTAGCCTAGTCTTACCATACCACTGTACTAGTTTCATTTCATAATAAGGTCTGGATTTGCTCCATTGAGCTTAATTAAAAGGTGGGAGGGGTTAACTCCTTATGCAGATTGAAACAGTTGGATCTGTGCCGTATGTAATGTGCCTGAGCGAGTGAGGCATTTAGCATTTAGCCTAGATTTAGCATTTAGCCTAGCTTTAGCCATGTCTTTTGCCCTTAACTGAGGCTGAGTGAACCACAACATTTTTGCTCTGGGACAATGTGCCTTCTGTCTATTTTATAATGTCTTACTCTGATTAATTTGCTTACAATTAAATACTTTTTTTCCTTTACATTCCAGCTCCAGAAAAGGCTCCCTCTATGGCCCTGGGTGTTCTCCTGGCTCTCATTATTCTGCAGCCCTTCCTCTGAAAGGCCTGTGAAGAAGGATGAAATATTGAAACTATACTATATATACTCAATATGTTTTTTATGTCAAAGTCTTTCCTCTGTTTTTGCTGAATGGCTAATACTTACTTCTTTCCATATTCCTTTCCTCCGTGTTTATGTCAAATACAAAGCAACACTGTGTAACTTTCTGATACTGGCACAATTCGACATTCTCCCCATCACCACAAAAGCCTCAATAGTTGAAATCAAATCCAAAAGAAGTTAGATACAAATACCAGAACAAACACACGCAGTGCTAGCTCCATAAGCGAAATTACCTAGCTCAGGGGTGCCCAAACTTTCTGATAAGAGAACCACTTAACTTACCACTTGACCATGGGCGACAACCTGGATTTACAGTTTTTCTCTGTCACTTTGCAGAGAATTGTATGAAAGTAACTGATACGAAGATGTCCAAAAGCATTTGTAATGTGCTCAGAGGAGAAACTGCTGCGATGATGTGCACCAATAGCGATGTAGAGGGCCACATGAATGGACACTGTGGGCCGCATTTGGCCCTCAAGCCATAGTTTGGTCACCACAGACCAAGCTGGAGCCGATAGATAGATAGATAGATGGCTAAGGCTAACTGGAGTTTAATGTGATTGGTCAATTGGTTTTTCCAAAATAATATCAAACACCATAATCATTCAAACTTACATGGAGAAGCACTTTTAACCCTGTAGCACCTTTGGTTACAAATGTGCCACATAAAGTCCAAAGGTTATGGCAAACTTTTAGTTTTGTTTAATTGGCTATTGCCTGTAGAACCCATGGAAGCTAATATCTTTGAATTGAATGCAGTTTTTTTTTTCTTACCCACCCCCATTGACAAAAAATATAGAACATGTTGGACAATGTTTTAGAGATTTGGCTTTTGATTATGCCCAAAGACTAGTGCTTTACAGGGGTTCTATATCTTATGTCAGTGCAACATGAAAGTTACACGGTAAGGCTTGCGTGCATATGTCACCATTTATTTAATGTGAGGAGGTAATACTGGTCACATGAAGGCAAATACAACCAACGTTTGAGGTTTTGTGAGAATAAAGCTCTCTACAATAAGCGTTGTTTTGGAAGTTTCTTGCTCAGTCTGACAATTTTCCCCCCTTTAACATCCTTTCTTAAATACAACTCCTGCACACTAGTGGTTCTATTGTCAGTTTTTGATGAGGAATAACCCAAAAAATAGTACAGTACATTTTCTCTACATTCATCGCAAAAAGTATTAGAAGAAGAGATATAAGTTGAGGATTCTATTTACACAATTCTCTGTAGAAATGGGGTCGGACAACACGAATCAGGACGCATCAAACAAGCAGCATTAAGTTTTGATGCTTCTAATTAAAGTTATTTCAAATTATTTTTGGTTATAAAATGTTTGAGAAGCTATGGTCCACAGCTGAAACCCGCAAAAGGTCATATAGGCAAGGGTAGTTTATTTGTATTCATACACAGAGAAACTGAAACTCCACAATAGGTATGTAATAAAGTATACTGTCTGTCTATCTCATAGACTATATATCATAGTTCCCACATGACGTCACTACATACGGGGATTTGCCGACCCGGCGCCATTTGTCTTGGCATGCTGTGGGCAAAACAATAGAAAAAGAAGCTGAAACGTGTTAATGTCGTGATAAAGTTGAAAATGGTCATCTCCTGCTGGGTCAATGGATGTTCAAATCGTGCCGGAGGTTCCGTTAATCTTGGATTTTACAGTATACCCATCATTAGACTTCATGAATGTGAGAAGACTAAGCTTTTGTCAGAACAACCACGGAGGTTATGGCTTGCGAAGATAAACAGGCAAGAAACTCCCTCAAAACACGCAAGAATATGCTCGGAGCACTTTGTGTCAGGTGCGTATCGTATCTTATAATGTGTTGACAGACGTAATTTACTCAGTACTAACTTGTGTATGCTGATATCTGGTAACTTGAGAGTTTCATTATTTAGATTACTTTATTATGAGGAGGATCGGTGTCGCGTCTGAGGCTCTCGAGGGCAACGTAAATGTATTAAATAGATAATAATAGTTCTATGGTGGGCTAAAACAATGTTCACAAACAGCATTGCTTCTGTAAAAAGATCTGTGTCATAAAATAAACTGCTCTTTACGCCTGGAAAAATCAGTTGCCCACCATTCACCAAAACATACGGTCAAAAACGCGGAAATAAACAATAACAGCAATCCAGAGTGTCCGTGTGGCATTAGCATTAATTAAATTAATTGTTAATATAATTTAAATAATTAAATGGAGCTCCAACTGGTATTAAATCTAAAGTTTTTGAGAAATGTTTGCATTGCTTGTTAATTTTTGCTGCATAATTTGATCAAATATGTAAAACATGTCCGTAGCACGTTAAACTGTGGTGCCATTGTATTAATATACAATTATTTGCTCAAAAGTTGCCCTTTTTTTCCAATTTGCGTTTGAATATCTACATTTATTCTCATTCTTCTGTTTAATGGAATGCACAAACACAGCAGCGTGCCATCAAAGATGGCGTCTCCGAGGAGGTCATGTGACATTCATTGGTCTGTGGGAACTATGTATATCATAGACTCAGTCAATAAAAAGTTTAGGTTGAACTTCGAAACGGTCTGAGATCAAAGATAAACAGTCATTTCAAAGGGATTGTCATCTTAACAATAATAATAATAATGATAATAATAATAATAATAATCCATTGGTTTTATATAGCGCTTTTTTGGACACTCATCTTGAATAGTCAATCATTTTAATACATGTCAAATTTAGAAATACAGTTCAAATATCTTTTATATGTTTCTGCTTCTAGGTTATCGCAGGTACTCAAGCGTTAAATCAATCAATAAAAACAATCAGAATGCGTTTATTACGTAAATCTGATGTGAACAATACATTCCGCTGCTCACCTGCAGGAGGCGCTGTTTCTGTCCTAAACTAATCGAGTGCGTTTAAAATATACGATTGGACCTAGTCTGACAAAAGCAGCCCCAGAGTCTGGTCAGGGTTTGTAGATCCACTCCCAAAACAGGAACAAGAACTGACAATATGTTCAATGTACCTTTGTTGCAAATTAATTTAAAATCCTGATTATATTTATATAGTATAATGCATATGAATATTTGATATCCATTACAAAATATCTTGAAATTACTAATCCCTCATACAGCCAAACAAGTGCGTTACCGTAGTTTTAACATATTTCTTGTATTCACCTTCCAGCGAATTCATCAGAAACAGTCATGGAAAATTTATAATGTGGCACCACCTGCAGGTGAAAGTCAGAACCTGTCAGACTTTTAAAGCTAAGTAGGGCAAGATCTGGTTATTACGGTGATGGTAGACCTCTGGGAAAACTCAGTTGGTAGAGCGTTGGCCTTTGAGCCAGAAGGTCGTGGGTTCGAGCCCACCTCAAGACTTTCACCATCGACTCCCTCTGTCTACTGTTGTTGTGTCCTTGGCAAAACACTTAACCTCTGGGAACACCATGTGCCACAGTGGGGTGGCTGTAAAGTGCCAAACTGCTGTTGTGTCCTTAGGCAAGACACTTCACCCCCATTGCCTTGAATGAGTCTGGGGTGTTGGTGGTGATCGGAGGGGCCGATGGCACAGACTGGTTGCCTTGCTTCTGTCAGTGTGCCCAGGGCAGCTGTGGTTATAGTAGTATTTTATCACCACAGTGTATGGAGTGAATGAATAATGACATGTAAAGCGTCTTTGAGGTGTCCAAAAAAGCGCGATATAAAACCGATGCATCATCATCATCATCAAATATGAGACTAGGGTGTTTGTGAGGGGCCAATGGAACAGACTGGTTGCCTTGCCTCTATCAGTATACCCCAGGACACTGATACCATGATGTATAGAGTGTATCTATGAGTGTCAAAAAAATGCTATGTATCCTACATTTATTTCGTTCCAATCCATTAGAATGTAATAAATGTGTTTTTTGTACAAAACTTGGAGAGATGTACACATTTGGTTGTTTTCCAAATACCGCAGCTGAAATTATCTAAATGTTCACCTTTTATGGAGGATTTTTTTTTTCTTCAAAGTTGTAATTCTAGGTAGGTTTAATTCACAAGTAACAGGAATCATGGACATTGGTCTTTAAAACTAATGGTTGTGAGTTCGATCCCCATACAACCCATGTCATCTGCTTCCACTGATGTCTGCTGTTGTTGTGTCCCCGGGCAAGACATGCTTTACCTGAAGCCCCTGCTGAAATAACAAGGCCATGTCTTCGATGACGGAGGATCAGCGAGGGAATGGTAATATGAGACTTGGGTGGCAACTCTGATTATATCTATAACTGGTTATTTGCAAGATGTTACTTCTTTAATGTGCTAAAGTCAGGAATTATGTACTTGCGTCTTCATAATGCTAAAGCTGGAGATTTTAAACTTTCCTCTTTATTATGCTAAAGCTAGTGATTTTGAACTTTCTTCTTTATTATGCCAAAGCTAGAAATGTCATACTTCCTTCTTTATTATGTTAACGTTAGAGATAGATGTTATACTTGCTTTTTATGCTAACATTTTATGCTTTTTTATCCTATTTTAGTTTAAACTTATTTTTCACTTATCGTGTGCTGTGTGCCACTTATTCCTATTCTGCTGAAATTGCCCCCCGAGGGACAAATAAAGATCTCCTAATTCATAACAATATTGTGACCACTTTGACCCCTCGCTTTATTTTTTCATTTGCTATTGATATTGATTTGTCAAGTGCTAGAAGTTTGTATGAGTGTGGCGTTTAAATTCTGGTAATATTACCAAAGCTACTACCGTATCTGGTATTTGAAAATGTGACTTAGAATCTGTGCTTGTCACTCACTGTAACTATTAAGATATTTTACTCGCACCTTGTTTCTTTGCTTTAATGGTTTTTCTGTATCTTTAAATACACAAGACTATTCTGTCACAAAAAAAAGAAAGAAAAAAAAATTCTGGTAATATTATAAAGTTTGGAGCGGTAGGTTGAATTTATGGGTTGAGACAAACTTGCTGGAGGGGGCGGGACTTCAGTGTTTTCATCTGGGTTGGACCAATCACAGAGCCGGGTGGGAGTTACCATAGAGACGGCCCGCCCCCCTGTGTGTGCAGGAACAGCGCTTCATACATCCATCCGCTGTTGTTAGCGGCGAGCCTCTACGGGCATCTGGATTTTGGTCTTTTCCACCGCAGCCTTCCCTGGCTTTGTGAACGCGGACGCCGCCGGAGACTGTCTGCGCCCCGGTACGCTCGTGTGTCGAGTTGTTTGCGGTGGCTATCCCACTGAGAGGTGAGTTTTAGCTAGCATGTTAGCTAAAGCTAGTCCTCCGGTGGGGGTGTTGTAGCATGTAACTCAGCTGCTCGCGATCTAACCTTGTGTTATAGGACGAACGAAAAGTTAACAGTTGCCCAGTCCTTGCTAAGACTCATTACTGCAGATACGTGTAGCTTTGGCCAGAATATGGGCTTAGAGAAGTGACTGACTCGGTGATGTTGAAATAATTTAAGCTAGCCAAACGTAAGCTAACAAGCCTTGATCATTTAGCCCCAATGCTAAAGCTAAACACACCGGATCTATGGGCATCAGCTGCATATTCTGTTTATGTGCTTTGCAGTCTTGCCAGCGGTGTGTTCGTGTGCTTAAATGACAGGGTGTTTTGAGTGACAACTATGCTTCCATTATTCGGCATAGAGACTTAGCGCTACAAGTTAGCATTAGCATCCTCTCACTCGGAACTTGCTCTAACTACTTGCTGAAACTTTTGGAGCTGTGTTAAAACAGTGTAACGCTGGCTGGCTTGAGTCACGTTTACTGAAAGAAAGCGATGGGAGTATGGTTGTAATTTTGCACAAATAAGAGCTGACTGTTTTGTTTCTTGCGCGAAATGTCACTGAAAATATTTTCCTTTAATTGTTATGGTTAGGAGCGATTTCCGGTTCGGTACGCGGTTGCTGAACATTAGATGTGTGTGAAATATGTTTTTTTTCTGATTGTAAAAATGTGTATCCTGAGAGCGTGGAGACATGAGCAGCTCAGAAGCCCTGGGTGTTTGTCAGAGAGGGGGAGGGGAGCCAGCTCAGCGCGGTCATAGCCATACAGCTCTATCCTCCTATGTCCACGTCTTTTTAGCCTCGTCTCGTATTAAAACTGGTCTAAACGTCCCGATCGCCGTTTGCCGTCGCGAGAATGGTCGGTAGTGGTCGGTACGGGCGGCTGTGAGGCAGATCGGTCGCTTCCCGGAGCGCTGGCCCGTGCTTCGTGCTGCTGCAGCGGGAGAGGGGAGCACAGAGCAGCCGTAGTGACGTCTGCAGCTTAGGGACCGTCAGCAAATGTGTTGTGCGAACATGTTCTAGTGCTGCTTTGACAAAGGCTTACATAAGTCTGTGTATGCTGCAAAAATACACACAAACGCGACAAGACCTCCCACTAATATAAAAATACCTACAACAGCCAATATGTGGTCCAGCCATTATTTTCCTTTTTAACGAGTACAAGTGTATTACACGTGTACTCTTAAGACAGCCTGCATTCACGCCCTGTGTGTATTTACTCCTTTACTATGTTCGTAACATTCATATGGTCCCTGTGCTGTCAAGATATCCTAGCAGTGTTTTTTCTGTGTAATTAACATGGATTTATAGGTAAATAAATACGACTTATAGACCAGGGCAAGGCATGTTTATTTGTATAGCACAGTTCATACACAAGGCAATTCAAAGTGCTTAACAAAACAAGATTGAAACAATCACACAAGGCATTACAATCTTAAATAATCACAATAGAAAAAAATTCTGAAGAAACAATACTCCAGTTGTATACACAACTAAACAAAATTGAACATTGTCAGAGAAGAAGCTTCCTTCACATGGTTAGTCCTGACTCTGGACACCAGCATGAGGCCAGTCCCTGTGCTCCTCAGAGTCAGAGTTTGTTCATATGGCACTAACATGTCACATATGTACTTTGGTGCGGGGCCATGGAGAGACTTGAAGGGTGAAACAAGGTGCATGTTTGAACATTCTCAATCTGTGAGAGAAAAGTCTTCGCCCAAACAGTTATTTACTCATGCAGTTAAAAAGAACAGATGTCGCCGTATGTACTGTAACCGTCACTCACTATCCACGTTTCTCCCTGACACTCACGTCTATCACTTTACATTGGTGTCTTGGCAACTGTTTGGGTTTGACATAATGGGGCCTGACATAAGTACGTTTTAACTCTGACTGTCAGTGGCACATGTACTCAATCGTAAAATGTAGCTTTGTACTTCTACTTTTACTGATAGTGTTCATTCACCCACCTCAAGGGCTTAGTATAGATTTGCCATCAAAGTACAAAAAGCACAATTAAAACCTATAATACTCCAAAACTTGTTTAACACTTTAAGTACTACTAAATATAATATTTGTATATTTTTTGTGCGGAAAAATACATTTGTTATTATAGCTAAAGAGTTTGCTATTTTATTCTTGAAGGAATTAGATAAGTATCTATTCTGCTAATGTAACGGATTCTATTTTATTGTCAAAGTCAGAACAATGCAACGACATGCTGTTTAGTGTCCAACCAGAAAAGAAAAAACGTGAATTATTTTCTCTGAACAAAATGTGCACAAACTCAAAGAAAACGGTGTGTATATATATATAATATATATATATATATATATATATATAATGTGTATATGTATGTGTTAAAGAAATAAATCAAATAGATAATTTGCCACATAAACTTGATCCTCCACAATTGGGCGGTATCCAATGTGGTCCAGAAGATAATAATTGTCCATTCCTGTTCTACGCTGATGTTCGAGGGATGCCATTAATGTTGAGTGAAATCATTAAAGTGGAGTCCTCTGCTGCAGGTGCCTCAGCCACCTCGAGTATGTTCTCACGATGAAGAAGAGTGTGGTGGACCAGGACGCAGTATTCTCCCCTCAGCAGCAGCGCAGAGCTGCCATCCAAGGCTTCACTCAAGCCTCGACTGAAACCTCCGCAGACATGCAGCCGACCAGCGGCATCCAGTACTCGCTCCCACAGGGCTACCAGGTACTGCACTCATCCGCTGGGTCTTATTTTTAACTTAGGTACAGCACATTTATTGGCTCGGTAACAATTGCAATCTTCTCCCCAGTTACAACTGTCACTATAATTATACTGATCATTTGATACCTGATGTGTGGAACAATATGTTTTCATGCTCAATATTTATAGAATGTACATTGTACATTTCTTTTTCTCTATGTATTACAATACAATTTGTGCCAAAAAAAAGTCACTTTTGGAGCAAAAAAGATTTTTTGCTCCATCTTTTGTTTTATTTGTCCTACTTTTAACCATGAAAAAAAAAAGTTCACAAGACAGTTCCAATCGTTTTGTAATTGCACCAGTGGCAGAAAGTAGTTTCAATAATTTAAAACAGACTTCTGACACTGCTTCTATTGATATGGAGACCAGCAAGCGGTGGTCTGCCTCGTTCACTGCACTTATACACAACTGTTATTTTAATTTAAAAAAAGTTATGTACTCCAGCTATAAAACCTTCAACTTCAAAACAACTCTCTGCTGTTGAGTTGTTTTGAAGCTGACATTTCCCCTGTGTGTGCGTAAGGTTCCTACAATGGCCCAGAGCAGTAGCGGACACAGCGTGAAGAGCGTGGCCCCTCTGGTCGGGCCCCACACCCACAGCCTGACAGTGCAGAGCCAGGGCCCCGCGGTGGTGCAAGGCCACGTCCATCCACCACCGGCGCTCACCTCTGCACAGGGCCAGCAGCAGTTCCAGCGCCTCAAGGTACAACACTTTCATTTCGTCTCCAGTTTAGGCTCGTGGTGTATACATCAGATAAATATATGTATGGTTCTTTTTGGTAGGTTGAAGACGCTCTCTCGTATCTGGACCAAGTGAAGTTACAGTTTGGAAATCAGCCTCAAGTTTACAATGATTTCCTGGATATAATGAAAGAGTTCAAGTCTCAGAGGTAAGTTGTTTATATTCTTGATTATGTCGTTACAAACGCATACATATAGGCTTTTGGTGAATAAAAAACGTTTGTTCAAAAACACCATGTTCTTTAGCGCACTCTAAACTAAGGTTCTGACCTCTCTTGTCTCAGTATACATGCAGACCTCTCTTGTCTCAGTATTACGGCAGTCAAACGATTAAAATGTTTCAGTTTATTAATAATAATAATAATAATATTAATACATTTTATTTAAAAGCTCCTTTCTAAACACCCAAGGACACTGTACAGAGCATAACATTAAAAACAGAAGCAACAGAATAAAACAGTAAAGTACGATATGGAATGGTGGGTGCGTGTGTGTTAGGTGGGGTAGGACAGTCTGAACAGATGGGTTTTTGTGTCTGGATTTGAAGAGTGGGAGAGAGTCGATGGTACGGAGGCCAGGGGGGAGAGAGTTCTGGCTGGGGGGGGGGGGGGGGGGGGGGGGGAGGGGAGGGGGTGTGGGGGAGTGGCAGGTGGAGGAGGTCGGAGTACGGAGGGGGGTGATGTGGTCAGTTGTAACGGGGGGTCCGGGTGGTGATGTGATGCGGTGTGAGCGAGCTGCAGAGTTTTGAAGGAGCTGCAGTTTCTGGAGGGATTTGTTGGGGAGGCCGAAAAGAAGAGAGTTGCAGTAGTCAATCCTTGAGGTGACGAGACGGCGGAGACGAGAGATATTGCGCAGGTGGAAGTAGGCAGACCGAGTGATGTTATTGATGTGGGATTAGAAGGAGAGTGAAATGTCGAGGATGACACCCAGACTCTTGACCTGGGGGGAGGGGAGGACAGATGTGTTATGGATGGAGACAGAGAAGCTGTTAGATTTGGAGAGAGTGGAAGGGGTGCCTATGAGAAAGACTTCAGTTTTAGAGCTGTTGAGTTTGAGGAAGTTGGAGGAGAACCAGGAATGAATTTCTTGTAGACAGAGGGTGAGGGAGGATGGAGGGAGAGAGGAAGAGTGTTTAGTGGAGAGGTAGAGCTGGGTGTCATCCGAGTGACAGTGGAAGTGAATGTTGTGACGACGGAGGATGTGACCGAGTGGGAGAATATAGATGATGGTGACAGGAAAAGCATAGTAATGATGAGTTAACTCACAATTAATTGCATTTTAACATTCTATTTCAAATCCACTCCAATTGAAGTTAAATGAGATAATCAAATGCAATGACACATGTCATTCATACCAAATCTGTTTGATTTGCTCACAACCTTTTACTTTTGGGCTAGAGCCCTGCACTTTAGCCCTAGGCCCGAGGGGGCCGACAGCCCGAGGACCGGGTAGTTTATTGCGGCATCTGTGTATCATACAGCTGCGGCCGTTCACTCCGTACACACAGAACTCATTGCAACACATCACTACCATGTATTACTCAGCCCTCTAGCCGGACCTATGTTCATATCAGTGCGTGACTGCGCGGCACTATATACTACACTAAAACATTGTTATTGTTTAGTTGCGTTTCAGGAGAAGACAGAACCTTCCTGAGGCTCCATAGTTCAGCTTCAGCGGTGTATTTATTGCGTGCACAGGTTACGCAAAGACACGCACACAAGATGCAGAGAATAGTTCTGTGCGTGAACTGTCTTATATGACCACGTTACCGCGGAGCCATTCGCCGTGTTGTTGTTATCGGCTCACAGCCACTGGATGTGGAAACCGCTGTCCAGAGCGGCCACAGCTGCCCCGGGTCAGAACGCTGAGGCCACGGAGGAGGCGGACTTCAGTTCATACAGCAAACCGCAAGTGCGCCGCGGTCACACTTTCTTTTAAAACTTGAATTCCCAGAGGGCCTACCTGCTCTGTTGCCATCTCACACACGCATGTGTCCGCGGCATTCTGAGTGATATTATGGGATACATGGGCAGGTAATTCGGACATGTGTCTAATGCGTACATTTTTTAAAGCGCGATTAATAAAAAAATAATTAACATGCGTTAACGCCCTACTCAGTATACTTTCAGACTCAGACCTCCTCTTGTCTCAGTAAACATGCAGACAGGATATATGCACAGGGGTGCACATATGAGGTACTCGGATGAGTACCAGGAGATGGTGTTTGGTACTCACTTGTCGCGTGGTTCTTAATCAAGATTTTTTACTTGCTTCTTTTTAATGCTAAAGTTGAGATCAGCTCAGATAATCCACTCAATCCAAGTCAAAAAATGACTCACTGGTCTCTTTCCTAAAAATGCAAAACAAAATAAAAAATCAAACAATGTTCTGTTTGAGGCGAGCTTGGAGTCCAGTGCTTAGGTGGGTTTATTTTCTATACTCCCAGACTGCAAAAAAATGGTGAAGGCAGTGCAGAGCATATTTACAACAAAATATAGCAACAACAAAAGTTCACACATACAGTTGTGTGCGAAAGTCAAGGCACCCCTTTAAAAACAGCATATTTTATATATTTAAAAATGTATATTCATATTTACTGTCTCTCTGGTATATGGGGAAAAAGACAGGAAACATTAATGCATAGTTACATTTTATTTTATAAATTGAACAAAATTACAAAAATTAAAAACAATTTTGGCATGTGCAAAAGTCGGGGCACCCTGAGAGTTTCAAAGTGTCAGATTCTTTTTACAAGCTCAGACCTCTACCAGCTCATTGGTCCTGAAGCATGTGTCAACAATTGTCATTAGGGAGTGCCAGCTGGTGCCAGTTTGAGGGTTTCTTAAATACGGCGACTCCACAAACCTTGTACAAACACTCAGCAACCATGGGTTCCTCTAAGAAGCTGTGTAAGACAGAAAAAATGAAAGTAATTGATGCCCACAATGCCGGTGAGGGCTACAAGAAGATAGCAAAGCGTTTTCAGCTTGCAGTTTCCACAGTGCGAGGCATAATTAAGAGATGGCAGGTGAGGGGAACTGTGGCGGTCAAGAAGAGATCTGGAAGACCCAGGAAACTCTTGGAGAGAACAGCTCATAGTCTGGTCAGAAAGGTAAACCAAAACCCACATTTGACTTCAAAAGACCTCCAGGAAGATTTAGCAGACTCAGGAGTGATGGTGCACCCTTCCACTGTGCGCCGATACTTGCACAAACAAGACCTTCATGGAAGAGTCTGCAGAAAAAAAACCTTATCTACAACCTCATCATAAAATACAACGTCAAAAATATGCAACAGAACATCTACAGAAGCCTGATGACTTTTGGAAACAAGTGCTGTGGACTGATGCAGTTAAAATAGAACTCTTTGGCCACAATAAGCAAAGGTATGTTTGGAGAAAAAAAGGAGCAGCATTTCATGAAAAGAACACCTTGCCAACTGTTAAATATGGGGGTGGATCCATCATGCTTTGGGGTTGTGTTGCAGCCAGTGGGACAGGAAACATTGCTCGGGTGGAGGGAAGAATGGATTCAATTAAATACCAGCAAATTCTGGAGGCAAATATCACAGCATCTGTAAAAAAGCTAAAGCTGAAAAGAGGATGGCTTCTACAACAGGATAATGATCCTAAACATACCTCCAAATCCACCATGGACTACCTCAAGAAACGCAAGCTGAAGGTTTTGGAATGGCCTTCACAGTCTCCCGACTTAAACATCATCGAAAATCTGTGGGTAGATATTAAAAGAGCTGTTCATGCAAGACGTCCTAAGAATATTGCAGAACTGGAAGCCTTTTGCAAGGAAGAATGGGGAAAAATCCCAAATAATAGAATCCAGAAACTTGTTGTTGGCTATAAAAAGCGTTTACAAGCTGTGATATCTGCCAGAGGGGGTTTTACTAAGTACTGAAGGTACTGATGCTGTAGAGTGCCCCGACTTTTGCACATGCCAAAATTATGTTTTTTATTTGTGTAATTTTGTTCAATTTGTAAAATAAAATGTAACTATGCATTAATGTTTCCTGACAATATTGTCTTTTTTCCCATATACCAGAGAGACAGTAAATATGAATATAAATTTTTAAATATATAAAATATGCTGTTTTTAAAGGGGTGCCCTGACTTTCGCAGACAACTGTAGGTCACCTTTAAGTTTCAAGTTTACTTCTCTGTAACCAGCGGCAGACTACACGACTCCTGGCCCCTTCCATTGAGGAAATTATTTTGGTAGAACTTGCATTACATTATAATACTCTCAAAACATGTACATTAAGTTACGCACATGGGCATAATTCCCATTTATGTGTGTGTAAATGTTTGCTTGAATGTATTTCTGACCCGCACAAGTGTGCACCTTTGGCGAACTAGTAACTGAGGAGAGAGACGCACGAGAGAATGGATGATGCTTGTGGATGTTACGTATGAATGGAAGGGGGGGAAAAGGTGCTTGAGTGTGGAATGGCATTTGTGTGTGCGTGCCGGTGTGTGTGCGTGCCGGTGTGTGTATGGCGCGTACGGCATGAAAGTCAGCCACTATATTCACACAGGTAACTAGAGACGGGCCGCTGCGTCACACTGGCATTGCACCGCGCCCCTCTATGAGAAGGACTGGTCTATGGTCTGTGAAGTACACAAAAGTGCTTACTAACTCAAGTGATAGTACGCATTTCTGATATTTGTCACGCATGCGTACCTGCGTATCACTTATGTGCACCCCTGTATATACAATAGTTCAATCTTACTTGATCACAGAATCCTCTCTCCCACAGCATCGACACTCCTGGCGTGATAAACCGTGTGTCGCAGCTCTTCAAGGGCCACCCCGACCTCATCATGGGCTTCAACACCTTCTTACCTCCGGGATACAAAATTGAGGTGCAGACCAACGACATGGTGAACGTGACCACGCCTGGCCAGATCCACTACATCACCCCCCATGGTGTGTCCGTCCACAACATCCCAGTGACCGGAGCTCCCAGCCAGCCCCCGAGTCAGCCGCCGCCCAGCCAGGCCCTGAGCCAGAGCCTGAACCAGGGTCTGAACCAGAGTTTGAACCAGCCCACTAGCCAGCCCCTAGCCCAGCCTCAGCCGGGCACACCCACCCCCCACGTTACGCCAAGCACCCCAGCAGTACACACACAGCCGCCGCCCAACAAGATCAACAAGGTCAGTGTTATTATCCTTTTTTTTCCCCCCCATTCACTCATCTTTGGCCCTTTTGTCCATTTCTGGGTCGGGTGGGATGGTTCATAGAGCAACACTGCCTTGGTTTTTCAGTGGGGGCTTCAGGAAAAATGGGGTTAATTATGGGGTGTAATTTCCGCACCATAAACCATGACTTTCTTCTAGTTCTCTGATCCCTGCGGCTTATACAGCGATGCGGCTATTATGTGTATTTTATTGTGGTTATTGTTGGAGCAGACTTATTTTGACTCCACCAAGTTCTAGTGCCTACAAGACACTGGTTTGTTGTCAAATTAGATGAAGTTCAGATTCAGTTTATTTTGCCATTTGCAGTAAAAAAAAACACATTGGAATACATTAGCAAAAGTCTCCAGTGTGCACAGACAAATAGACATAAAACAACATTAAAAGACAAAAATAAAACAAATAAAACAGTAAACAAATGTCACTGTGAAATCGATCGACTAAAACAATTCAAAACAAGTGCAAATCATTAAAGTGCTCTGTTCACACTGATAACAGCTTGTGGATAAAAACTGTTAGCGTAACGAGATGTCCTGCATCTCAGAGAGCGATATCTTCTGCCAGAGGGAAGAAGCTGGAACATGGCTTTCCCAGGGTGGCCAGAAGAGTCATTGACAATCCTAAAGGGGCGTTCACACCGGACTTAACTTCGGCGTCAAAAGCGTCAGGTTTCCATTGAAAGTGAATGGTGAAGCGCGTCAGGTGAAGCCGAGAGCCCCGGCGTCACTTGACGCGCGTCAAAAGCTTCAAGAGTTGCGCGTACTACGCGCTCACTTGAAGCTTTTGACGCGCGAAACGCTCGCGTATCACAACAATCCCTTTGACGCCGAAGTTGAGCAAAGCTGAGCTTTTGAAGCTTTGACGCGGGCTTCAACCAATCAGGAGACAAGGAGCAGCAGCAGCAGAGGGTCTGTCTCTGTCATGAAGAGAAGTCATGTATCTGCTGCTGCTGTTTTATTGTCATTATTGTTATTAGTAATATTATTTGTATGAGTAGTAACGTTCTGAGTAACAAAAATCATTGTACACATGCTGTGTAGTAAACCTAGTTTATTTAATATAAGAACAGGCTGACGATGAGTCTGGCTCAGAGCAAGGCAGCTCCGGGCGGGCGAGAGCCAGGGAGAGGCAGGGAGAGGCGAGCGAGAGCCAGGGAGAGGCAGGGAGAGGCGAGCGAGAGCCGGGGAGAGGCAGGGAGAGGCGAGAGCCGGGGTTTGAGAACTGGGCAAGTGACATGCGGAAGTACCGCTGAAAGCGAAACTCCTCCGTACGCAGCTCCTGGCGTAAATGACGGAACTCTGCAAACACTGCAGCCTCTCAAGTCTGTGGTGAACCCAGAACATGTTTTGTTGAAGCCCTACAACAACGTTATTTTGCTTTATATAACAGATAAAGGCTCGCTGCTCATTGAAAAATCCACCGCTCTCCTGACTACAGGCAACAGAGAAGCCCCTCCCACCGGCGCCAGGCGCGTCACTCGCGTCAAAAGCTTCAAGCACCAAAATGACAAATCTATCCCGGCGTCAGTTGAAGCGCGTCAAAAGCTTTTTGAAGCTTTTGGTCTGAACGCGCCTTAAGAGCTTTGTTTAAAAGTCTGGATTTATAAAGAACCTCCAGAACAGGAAGCTCACAGCCCACGGTCCTCTTTGCAGAGCGGAGCACCTTGTTTAAAGATCTCTTTTCTTTATCTGTGATGTTTCCAGACCACACAGACACAGAACCAACAAGTAAACTCTCGATGGTGCAGCGATAAAAGTTAAGCAGAATCTTAGAGTTAGTGGTAAATTCTCTAAGTTTACGCAGAAAGTAGAGACGCTGACGAGCTTTCTTAACGACTCGGTCAGTGTTTTTAACCCATTTCAGGTCGTTAGACAGAGTTAAACCCAGAAACTTGCACTCCTCTACGATCTGCACCTGGGAGTTGTCGATTACGACAGGCAAATGAGAACTATTGCGACTGAAGTCGTTGACCAGTTCACATGTTTTCGATGCGTTCAACTGGAGGTTGTTAGTTTCACTCCACTGAACCACATTTTGTATCTCTGCTCTATAAGAGGATTCATCAGTGTCACTGATGAGACCAATGATGGTGGTGTCATCAGCATATTTGATGATCAAGTTTGAGTCAGAGGAGGACACACAATCGTGAGTGTACAAAGTAAAGAGCAGAGGACTCAAAATACATTCCTGAGGCGAACCAGTGCTCACAGAAACAACATCAGAAAAACAGTCATTGATTTTCACTCTCCGAGATCTGTCAGTTAAAAAGCTAAAAATCCATTTACACATGGCAACACTTAAACCGAGAGACATGAGCTTTTCAATCAGTTTACCTGGGACAAGGCAGTTAAAAGCAGAGCTATAATCGATGAAAAGCATTCTCGCGACAGATTTACTAGTGTCCAAGTGACTGTAGACAGAGTTCAGAGCAAAGGAGATGGCATCCTCCACACTCCTGTTCTGTCTGTAAGCAAACTGGAGCGGGTCAACACTCACAGGGATCTGGCTCTTAATGAAGTCCAGCACAGGCCGCTCAAAAGTTTTCATAAGAACAGACGTGAGGGCCACAGGACGATAGTCATTCAGGCATGTCACAGGAGTTTTCTTAGGAACTGGAATGATGGTCGACTCTTTAAAGCTGTTCGGCACAGTACAGTTCCTTAGCGACAGGTTGAAAATGTCTGTTAGCACAGGGGCAAGTTGCTCAGAGCACATTTTCAGGACACGAGGAGGGATGCCGTCCGGGCCTGGGGCTTTCCGGACTGTGGTCCTGGACAAGACACGCCTGACTTCCTCCTGAGTCACGGTGAAAGTACCTTGATTGAAACACTCAGGGATAGGGATGTAAATCGGCGACCGTTTAACCGGTGGTTGACCGTCACAGCGTTAACCGGTCAAAGCTGTCGGTTAAAAAAGAGAAAAAGGGGAGAGGGGAGGTCTCTTAATAACGCTATTTTAAGCCCTATTTGCACGGTGTGACGAGCGGGTCTGTATCTAGCTGTGTGCGCCCATGTATTATAAACTCCGGGACGACTCTCACGCCGCACGAGCCACATATGCACACACGCGCACACACACACTCTCACAGACACACACACACTTTCCCCCTCTTCATACGTAACATCCACACGCATCATCTCTCCCCTCTGTTACCGTCAAAGTTGCACACTGGCGCGGGTCAGAACTACATTGGAGCTTACATTTACACACACGCACATACACACATACACACCGGTCTGTCGCGCTCCTCTGTGTCACGGAGCCCAAAGGATTCGCGCAAATACGCGGCTCCAGTCAAACCACATGGAACATGTTTGTGTTTATGGTCCTCGGGATCAGCTCCACACACATCACTTGTATTTAAACTTTTGTGAAGACCTGTGAGACGCGGCGCGTCACTCGCTGCTCTGACCATGTGAACGAGCCGTTGTTTGCTGCTAGAAAGTTTTGGTATTAACCCGCAGCACAGCCGAATGGGAAGATTAAAAAAGCAGTTCTCTGTGCGCAAAGGTGCCGGAGCTGTTGTGGGTTTTGGCGCCGCTGTCTTGGCTCTGATCCAGTAGAACGCAGAGCTGCACTTATGAAAAGTACGCGGCTCGAAATGGCTGTTATTTCAAAGAACGTGGACTATTTTAAACTACGCGGTTAACCGGTTTCAACCGGTTAATGAGGCTCGGTGGTCGGTCATGAAAATTCATAGTTTTTTACATCCCTACTCAGGGAATACAGTAAGACAGGCATCAGCAGATTCAAAGCGACAGTAGAACGTGTTCAGCTCGTTTGGCAGAGCTTGGCCGACAGATGCAATTTTCCCAGCGCTAGGTTTCCACGATGTGATGGCTTTAATACCGTTCCTTTGCAGATTTAATAGAACGTTTCAATGAGTAACAGGATAGCTTATAAGCAACTGTATCATTTGAATGAAACGCCAACGCACGCTCATGAAGTTTCAGTTTCACTTCCGCGTTCATCCAAGGGTTTTGACTAAAATGTTCTTTAATGACCTTCTGTGGGACACAGCCGTCAATACAGAAGCGTATGTATCCAGACACCGCGTCACAGAATTCATTGACGTCCTCTGACTGAAACACAGACCAGTCCGTAGCATCAAAACAACCTTGTAGCTTCATGCTAGCCTCCTCAGACCAACACTGCACAGTGCGAGAGGTTGGTTTATGTTCCCTGCTCCTCTGAGTATACGAAGGAAGAAGGAGAACAGAGGAGTGGTCAGACTTTCCAAAGGGAGGTCTGAGACTGGACCTGTAAGCTCCCTTCACGTTACTGTAGCAGTGATCCAGAACAAGTGCTCCTCTTGTAGCTTGAGTCACATGTTGGTAAAAGTTCGGGAGTACAGTCGAATAATAACTAATAATAATACAGTTGAATAATCACTAGCATGGAAGCTAGTTGCAAATGAGTCATTGAAGCTTACTTCGAAGGAGTCATGGAAGCTAACTGAAAAATTGACGAGGTTTTGTGTCCATTTAAAACAGTCGTCTCTTTGCTAAATTACAAAATGAAAACCTGTGGCTTATATTCCAATACAGCCTAAATGTGGACAATATTGATACTTGCCTGCGTCCACAGCCTCTGCAGTCTCCGGCTCACACTCCCAGCACGCAGCCCAATCCGTCCATCCCGTTGTACGCCTCGCCGCGCTCTCCTCCTGCCCAGTGCCACACTCCGGTGAGCAGCACGCCGTCCAGCGCCCCGCCGCAGAACAACCAGCCTGTAGAGTTCAACCACGCCATCAACTACGTCAACAAGATCAAGAACCGCTTCCAGGGACAGCCCGACATCTACAAGGCCTTCCTCGAGATCCTGCACACCTACCAGGTAAGTCCCAGGTCAAACAATGAGGACTAGCGAATACTGTGACCATAGATCTATACAATAATTTTAACGTATTTTAATGTGTCAGAAGGTGCAATATAGAACCACTTCCACTGTCACTGTACTGTATTTTGTTCCACACTGCAAAAAATGATCAAATATGACGTAATAAATGCTTGAATCGGGTAGTTTCTTAGAGAATCGAGGTAATCTTAATCTGAGCTCATTTTGACTGTGTTAAAACAAGATTCTCCAATGGGACAAAGCCATTTAGTCTTGTTTATTTTATTTACTTGATATGGACACAACAGTTACATTGGACAAACCAGATGCACTGCCTTTAGTGTTCTAACAAGACCATGCTAATTTTCAACACTGTATCTTTTCAAAACATCATTTTGCATTGTCCCATTGGTGAATCTTATTTTAAGGCAGAATGTGCAAATTAAGATACATTTGTCAAACTTTTAGCAATTTTGATTTATTTTTCATCACTTTTTGCAGTGCTAACATGATGTATACATACAACTATTTATTATTTTACTTATTAAACTAAAGTCAAATTTTATACTGGCTTCTGTTTATGCAAAAGTTAGAGGATGTTATACTTGCTCTTCTATACTAAACTAAAATATGAATCTCTGGCTTTATTGTAATAGTTATTGTTCTTGTATCTTGTGCTGTGTGCTCCTCATTCCTTTTGTTCTGTAACTGCTGATGCAACACTGACATTTCCTCACTCTGGGACGAATTAAGGTTCTCTGTATCTTAATCTTGATCTTAACCATAACTTTGTCCGCTGCCACAGAAGGAGCAGCGAAACGCCAAAGAGGCCGGAGGGAACTACACCCCTGTGCTGACGGAGCAGGAGGTCTACACTCAGGTGGCCCGTCTTTTCAAAAACCAAGAGGATCTGCTCTCGGAGTTTGGCCAATTTCTCCCTGATGCCAATAACTCTATGGTGAGTCTTTGGTCTGTTCTTTGTAACATGTATTTTAGTGTCGAGTTGTGCTAAATGTCTAAAGATTACAATCGCAAATATATTAGGTCAGGGGTCTCTAAACTTTGTTTGATTGGAGAGACGTGTTATTTTTCTGTAAATATGTTTCACTGAAAACGGTTCTATGAATCCTGGATGACCTCCAGAGGTGGTGCTTAAGCACTGGATGATCGTCCAGTGCTTAAGCACCGCCTCTGGTGGTCAGGAAGGATGAAATAGAATTGAAAACTATTTTCTTGTAAAACAATATCATTCAATCATTCTACTATACTATTTTACCAAGGGCTTGTTGATAGTCTGTCAATTATGATATATGTATTCATGTTAAGCAAACCTATTATTTTGCAGAGTCAAAACTTGCACTAGGCTTTTAACAGATGACTGACCATTGCAACGTTATACTGATAAATAAATGATTAAACACGTTTTTAGAGGCTTCCTTCTGCCACAGACAATCAAAGTGTTTCTTTTAAAATATGTAATGGCAAAATGAATATATAATGTAAACCTGGGGTATCTAACTTTAAATAATTTAGGTTTTCCCCTTGAATAGTCTTGTAAAATGTTAAACAAATCATGAATAAATAAGTGAGTGTTGTCCTCTTTTTCACCACAAAGGTCTAAGTATAGATAAAGTTGGGTACCCCAGCCCTAAGGAATACAAACAATGCATTGGACAAATCTTATCCCTTTTCTTTCTTGCATAAAATAAAAACCTATACCAGGCTTTCAAACACTTGATGACGATTGTTTTTGAGATGCATTGTTAGTGCTTTTTCTGAATCATCTCTTGTGATTGGTTACTGCAGCTGCTGGGGAAGCCGCCTTTAGACCGCGTGGATTCTGTTCGTAACGACCACGGCACCACGGTGAAGAGACCTCTGCTCAACAACAAACAGAGACTGAGCCAGAATGGTCTTCCCCTGAGGAGGCCTGCGGGTCTGCCTCTCACTCCGCCCATGAAGGTACCCCACTGTCTCCTCTTTCTGTCCATCCTCTCTGTCCATCCTCTCTGTCCAGCCTCTCTGTCCAGCCTCTCTGTCCATCCTCTCTGTCCATCCTCTCTGTCCATCCTCTCTGTCCATCCTCTCTGTCCATCCTCTCTGTCCATCCTCTCTGTCCATCCTCTCTGTCCATCCTCTCTGTCCATCCTCTCTGTCCATCCTTTCTGTCCATCCTCTCTGTCCATCCTCTCTGTCCATCCTCTCTGTCCATCCTCTCTGTCCATCCTCTCTGTCCATCCTCTCTGTCCCCTCTACTAAAATTGTTGTTCTTCCACAGAAGAAGCCAAAGATTTTGGGAAAAGACCACGGAATGGGCGATGTGGGAAAGCACAACACCAGCACCGAAACCATGTTCTTTGAGAAGGTAGGTTCCCCGTTTTGAAGTGGACAAAGTTCCCGAAATTTAAAGTGGGAAGTGGTGTCATGTGATGTTTTCAATACCACTGTTCAATTTGATTTTTTATTTGTAAAACTTACACAAAAAGGGACCTCTCAGGATGCTGCATTAGCCCCCAACACAGTACAAAGTACACAGTACTAGTAAAGCTAGTGTGACAATGTTTTCTTTTTTATACCTGTTCCTGCACATCACACATGTTGGTGTCTGTGTCTCAGGTCCAGAAGGCGCTCCGGAGCCCTGAGGCATACGATAACTTCCTGAGGTGTCTGCACATCTTCAACCAGGAGGTGATCTCGCGAGCAGAACTGGTGCAGCTGGTCATCCCGTTCCTGGGGTAAGAGTTTGGACGATCCGTACATGTGCTGCCTCTGTCTGGGCTTCAGATACTTCTAGGTGTGTCGCCATTCACTTCACAATACAGATTAGATTTAGAATATCACACACACACACACACACATACACTGACAACACACAGACCCAAACACTCTCCGACCCTACACCCCTCTCCCAATACTCAAAAGTCTCCTACAAAAAATATCTTTACTTTTGCAGGAAGTTCCCTGAGCTGTTCTCCTGGTTCAAGAACTTCCTGGGGTACCGAGAATCCATGCATAGCGAGGCCAGCCACGCCGAGAGTCTGCCCAAGGAGCGCGGCACCGAGGGCATCGCCATGGAGATCGACTACGCCTCCTGCAAGAGACTGGGCTCCAGCTACAGAGCTCTGCCCAAGTCCTACCAGCAGCCAAAGTGCACGGGCCGAACGCCGCTGTGCAGAGAGGTACCAGCCCCGCCAGTACAGCGAGCGTAACCCTGCAAACAAGACACTACTCATGGTTTCATATTACAATAATGACAACAGCCACTTGGAATAGTCTTTCATTCCATTCATGCCTGAACCGTCCACTCCCTTCAGAGGAGCTGTAACAATTCTGCTCTTCAGTGCAAAGAGTTATAAACTATGCGGTGATTGAATTGAGTGTTTTTTTCTGAGCACATTCTGACTGTATACACTATAATATTCTCCAGTGGATCAAATGCATTTAGTCTTCAAGAACTGTTGCTTTATTTTTTCATTCCAAGGGAGATATTTCTGTATCTTTTTTAAACACGATCACACAAATCTTGTTTTAACACAGTCAGAATGTATTCAAAGTAAGATGCATTTTTCCAAACTCGAGCACTGAAAACGCCGGTATCATGACTTTCAGGCCAAATTTGTATTATTTGTTAGTCACCAGAATAACAGCGACTCATAATTCCACACTGTGTCATCTATAAAGAAGCCAGAGATGTGAATATTCCTTGTCTGTCTTTTTTTAAATGCTGCTTTGATGTTGCAGGTTCTGAACGATACCTGGGTGTCCTTCCCTTCCTGGTCTGAGGACTCCACGTTCGTGTCTTCGAAGAAGACTCAGTACGAAGAGCACATTTACAGATGTGAAGACGAGCGCTTTGAGGTAATGCTCTGTCAGCTCACACATTTTCACACACCTACTTTACAATATTTGATATCTACAAGACTTTCGATTTTGGACACATTGTGTATTATTTACAGGGAGAAAAGTTAGGCTTATGTAGCGATGTGGTTGATATGTGTTAATGGAAGCTAACGGCGAAGGAGTCCTGGGAGCTAACTGCGAACGGCGAAGGAGTCCTGGATGCTAACGGCGAAGGAGTCCTGGGAGCTAACTGCGAACGGCGAAGGAGTCCTGGATGCTAACGGCGAAGGAGTCCTGGATGCTAACGGCGAAGGAGTCCTGGATGCTAACGGCGAAGGAGTCCTGGATGCTAACGGCGAATGGGCCATTTAAACTAACGACAAAGGAGTCATGGATGCTAACAGTGAAGCCGTAAAAACCTCATGATTAACTCCTGTTGTGTCCAGTTAATACAGTCGTCTCTCTGCTACATCACAACATTAAATCTGTGGCCTATATGTGGACAAAATATACTTTTAAAATATTGCTGTTGCGGCTTTTAAACAGGTGCGCCTTATAGTCCAGAAAGTATAGTTGGTGCCCCAGCTATAGTATAATCAATCTTTTTGTCCAACCCAAACTTTTGTGTGTGTGTGTTTAGCTGGACGTGGTGCTGGAGACAAACCTGTCCACCATCCGCGTCCTGGAGTCAGTGCAGCGCAGACTTTCCCGGATGCCGGCGGAGGAGCAGGTGCGCTTCAGGCTCGACAACACGCTGGGCGGCTCTTCGGACACAATCCATAGGAAAGCCATCCAGCGGATATACGGAGACAAGGCCCTGGACATCATCGACGGTCTCAAGAAGAACCCGGCAGCCTGCGTGCCCATCGTGCTCAAGAGGTACGTGACACTCCGTCTGATGCTGAGGGCGTCTGGTCTCTCTTAGTCTCTCTCTGGTCTGTCTCACTGGCCCTAGTCATCTGGTCTAGTATAGCGGGAGTCTGGTGCTGTGAGAGCGAGAGCAGACACTCTCCCCTTGGTCTCTCCCTGGTCTCTTTTGGTCCCTCTCTGGTCTCTCTAGTCTCTCTAGTCTCTTTACATCCCTCTAGGTCTTTCTAGTCCCTCTAGGTCTCTCTCTTGGTCTCTCTCTTGGTCTCTCTCTCGTCTCTCTTGGTCTCACTTAGTCTCTCTTGGTCTCTCTCTCTCGCGCTTATTTTGCACAACAGAAATGGCAAAGCTACTTGTTTTTTGCAGTCGTAATACAAACCTTAGTCTATGAAATAATGGACAACACTCATGTAAAATGTACCATAATCCTGTATCACCTACATCAGCCATTCCTAGCCTCAGTAACACCGAGGCCCCCTTAAAAATCTGACGGGTCTGCGTGGCCCCCCAAAATAATAACCAAGAAGATAACATTTAGAATAGGCTCTTCTGGTTATTTTATTTTGGGGAAATAGCCTCTGCTACAAACATTGTAATACAAAAATGAATACAGTGGATTATTCAAGTCAAATAATGAACACAAATATTTTAATATTACAAACAAAACATTATAAATTTAACATTAAATAATTATATTATTTTTTTATTTTTTTTATGACCTCCCGCAGCCCCCCTGCAGTACCCTGTGGGCCGCGGACCCCACTTTGGGAGACACTGACCTACATTAATGAACATAATGAAAAATGTATAGTTAAATTAGATGCAATGACTCAAAATGTAATCATTCAGGATCATCTGTCGAATTCCTGAATCCTTTTCTTGTCGGTAATACGGTCCTGTGTCCTGAATGTTCAAGGATAACGTCTTTTGCACTCCCCTCCTCAGTGTTGGCCTTTTTCTTCTTCCAGGTTGAAAATGAAAGAGGAGGAATGGAGAGAAGCACAGAGAGGGTTCAACAAAGTGTGGAGGGAGCAGAACGAGAAGTATTACCTCAAGTCTCTGGACCATCAGGGAATCAACTTCAAACAGAACGACACCAAAGTGCTACGCTCCAAGTCCCTGCTCAGTGAGATCGAGATGCTCTACGACGAGGTAACCATCCATGCTTTTAAAGACACTCTCAATGCTAATGTAGCTACTAAACCATCTTTGTCAGTGTTTAGACAGAATTGAAGGGTGGACGTGATTGTTCCTGAAGTTTCTCATAGTAGTTTTGATGTCAAATACTGATGTGAAATGGGTGTAAATTCCAAAGATGATTTTTTTCCATATTTATACAGCAACAAATTTGGTTTATAGCAGTGGTCTCAAAAGTTTGACTACTTGTGGTCATCAAACTTTAACGTCAGTAGTCATAGTTGCAGATTACAGCAGAAAAGGAGAAATAAGAGCACTGAATATGTACATATCAATCAGGATCTATTATTTAAGGTAATGGATAATAAAATGTTAAAATAAGAAAATCAAAGCTGTTATGGACGTTGTATGTATGTCATTTGCGTACAGACTGATAAAAGCTGAAAGAAGTTTTTAGCACGTTAGCTTATCCAGACGTCCTGCTCTGAGCCAACGACATTTTCTGATTATTATTGTCTATTTTAAGTCTGGATTCATAAAGAACATCCAGAACAGGCAACTCCTCTCTCTGGTCTCTCTCTGGTCTCTCTCTGGTCTCTCTCTGGTCTCTCTCTGGTCTCTCTCTGGTCTCTCTCTCTGGTCTCTCTCTCTGGTCTCTCTCTGGTCTCTCTCTGGTCTCTCTCTGGTCTCTCTCTCTGGTCTCTCTCTCTGGTCTCTCTCTCTGGTCTCTCTCTGGTCTCTCTCTCTGGTCTCTCTCTCTGGTCTCTCTCTCTGGTCTCTCTCTAGTCTCTCTCTGGTCTCTCTCTCTCTGGTCTCCTTTCTTTGACTATGATGTCAAACAAGCAAACCTTCAATGATGCAGCGATAAAAGTTAAGCAGAATCCTGACTTGTGTTTTTGTGCCATTTCAGGTCATTAGACAGAGTTAAACCCAGAACATGTCAAAGTCTAGATTCATAAGGAGCGCTGGTGTAATCTTGTTGCTTGTGTGTTAGCGGCAGGAGCGTGCCTCAGACGACGTCTCCACAGCGCCCCCCAGTGGCTCCCACATGAACCTGAGCTACGAGGACAGTCAGATCCTGGAGGACGCGGCCGGGCTCATCATCCACCACGTCAAGCGGCAGGTGGGCATCCACAAGGACGACAAGTTCAAGATCAAGCAGATCATGCAGCACTTCATCCCAGACCTGCTCTTCTCACCGCGAGGAGAGCTGTCGGACGCCGAGGACGAGGAGGAGGAGGAGCCGGATACGCCAGAGGTCAGACTGTCCACAGATAATAGATAATAGATTATTGTGCCCTGTAGGAGAAATGCAGGTGTCCAGCAGCAGAAACGCATCCATCCATACAAACTCATATTTAATACTATTGTTAATTATCTAAAGTGTAACATCACTTTAGGTCACAGCAGCAGAGGTGGTGAGGCCTTTGTAATGAGTTGCTTCCTCTGGTTGATTTTTGCAGAGTATGCTTGGCTCTAACCATTATCGCTGCTCTGGTTCAGGTTGAAATTCTAAATGCTTAATTAGCATTTTTCAAAAACTTCTTCCGGTGGATTTAAGCCTGGTTCACACGGCAGGATATTTAGGCCGATTTAGACCCGATTTACCCCTTACGACAATCTTAAGAAACGCTCCGATTTCCGTAACAATATCTTAGATTATCCTGCCGTGTGTGGTGTGTTAAGACTGCACTCGTCGCTCGGAAGGACATCGGGACTGCTCCCGATCTCAAATCGGGGATATCCAACATGTTGGATTGTTTTGGCCCGATTTCTCTCCGTGTGTGGTGTCCTCCGAGGACAGACGTGCGCGTTGCCATGACTGCGGCGTGTAGCCAATCAGAAGACGAGACGAGGCGGTGAGGAAACGCCTCCATATCACGATGTAGCAAGTATAGTCCATGCTCGTGTTGTCTACACTTCTGACCATTGCCTTTTCTTTTGATTACGTCTTTTCTCCGATAAAAACAAACTATCGCCAATGCATCCTCTTCGTCCGCCATGTGTGTTTACTCTGAAGTCACGCTTGATCTCGCGAGACCTGAGATTTCCGTCTAATCTGTGAATACTCGGGGGGGGATCGGTTCGTGTGTGGTTTGCGTGATTTTTGCCGTGTGGCTGCGCACCACACACTGTACGACCAAAGTGATTAGACCCGTGATTTTTTATCTCCCTGTGTGGGGTCTCACACAGAGAAAAATCGGCCGACAATTTTAAAATCGTCTTGTGTGAACCAGGCTTTACTCTTGATCTGCTTGGTTGGGACCGTGCGTCCTCTCTACTCTGGTCTGGATCAGTGTGAATCCATCACAACGTTGGATTTTAATTGTAATGACGGCATGGTTGCGCTGTGGTTAGCGTTTGTGCTTCACTCTAAGAAGGTCATCGTCCAGTTTCCCCTAGCACTAAAAACATAAAATAGTTCTGGCCTAATGTAGAGCAACGCTGATCTTTTAAAAGACCACTTTAAATTAGATGAAAAAGTGTGCTTTATTCTTACTTAAACCCAAACTGCTGCTGATTTTAGTTGTAGAACATGAAAAAGAAAAAATGTAGACTACAAAAGGCTCTAAAAAGACTTGAGATTCCTAAAACATAACATACTGTAGAAAAAATCTAATAAATGTCTTCTTTTTTTTCCCCAAATGTAGGACGCATCAAAGAAAGCCAACGGTCTCCCAGGCAGCGGCGCACCCAAGTCCAAGCTGCTGTTTAATAACTCCGCCGCACACAAACTCAAGTCCTCGGAGGACGCGTACAACCTGTTCTACGTCAACAACTACTGGTACACGTTCCTGCGGCTGCACCACCTTCTCTGCAGCCGCCTCCTGCGCATCTACAGCCAGGCCGAGAGGCAGATCCAGGAGGAGGGCCACTGGGACAAGGAGGCCGGCTCCAGGAAGGACAAGAGCGACAACCCGGCCATCCAGCTCAAGATGAAGGAGCCCAGTGAGTACAGCACTTTGTCTAGCACTTTGCATTTGCCAACAACAGAACAGAGATGAGGGATGGACGAACACTTTCTTATTGGGCTTGGGGCTAATCTAAAATGTTACCTAACTTTTCAATCCAAGTGTGAGTTGTCAGAGAAAGCAGAAACATTTGAGATGGTCCTGCTTCAGGTCTGTGTAGAGCTGTCCCCAGAGTCCGTGTGGGAGCAGGTATATACAAGTATGTGTGTGTTCTCAGTGGACGTGGACGTGGAGGACTACTACTCTGTGTTCCTGGAGATGGTGAGGAACCTTCTGGACGGCAACATGGAACCGGTGCAGTACGAGGACACTCTAAGGGAGATGTTCACCATCCACGCCTATGTGGCCTTCACTATGGACAAGCTGATCCAGAGCATCGTCCGCCAGGTCAGTCCTGCTTCTCTATTCAATGTATTTTTGTATCGCCCTAATTCACAACCGTAGTTTTCTCGGAGGACTTTACACAGTTTTCAATTCAAACACAGATCCGTAAACCGTTTAAACTCAGGGAATGCGATGATAAAAATAGGCAGAAACCAATGTCTATAAATGTTAAAAACCACAGAGTATTTGTACAATGGCAATTCTTTTGAAAGTGTTATTTGTTTGGGCCACACTTTTACATTTCAAGAGACTGGGTAGACGTTTGGGGTGACAGTGGCTCAGTTGGTAGAGCATTGGGCTTCAGGTCTAATGGTTGTGGGTTCGATCCCCCCACAAGACCTTCTTCCTCTACTCCCGCTGAAGTCTGCTGTCGTTGTGTCCCAGGGCAAGACACTTTGCCCACTAGCCCTGCTGCAAGAACTAGGCTGTGTCATCTTCCGTCAACTCCCCAACTCCCCACCTGTAGGAGGAAGCTCTGATTGCCACCCCCCACCCAGAAATGTATGAATGAATGAATGACTGAATGAATTAAAAACTGGATGGATAAGGGTTCTTGTTTTTTATTATCTTCCTCAGACTGGGCTATGATTTTCATATAGCCCAGCTCTGTTGCCCAATCTGAGGACCATAATAAATGTGATATTATTTCCCTGTTTTTGAAATGCCTTTTTAATATAATGAGGGGCATGAATGGCAATATATCGAAGAATCATATCAAAATATTTGCTGAATTGCAATATGTTAAGAATCACAGTAATATTGAATTTTGGCCCAAATGTGTCCTCAGCTGCAGCACCTGGTCAGTGAGGACGTGTCCATACGAGTCACTGACCTGTACCTGAGTGAGAGCTCCTCAAAGGCCACAGGGGGCGCTATGTGTTCCCAGGCCTCTCGCAGCGCAGCAGAGGCAGGCTACCAGCGCAAAGCAGAGCACCTCGCGGCCGACGAGAACTGCTTCAAGGTACTGGGAAAACCACTACACACACACACACGCACGCACGCACGCACACACTGCACACAGTCAGTTATTGTTTCATGTGGTTTGACCTAGAAATGAGAAAAACTGGCTAAAAACAAAGACTTGAACTGTCCTCCACTGCATTTTACAACTAAAAAGTTGTGATGTCACATGTACAAAGACTAAAGACTCTTTGTACATGTGACATCACAGAATTCTCCATGGATAGGCTCTTTTTATATTTGTATTAGTTTATGCAGAACCATGTATCAACATTGGGTTACACTTCAGTCTAACCACTAATTAACAAGAGATTAGTAGATTATTGTTTAATTTATGGTTAATCAATCTTAATTGGTATTTATAAAGCAATTATTAGTTATTTCCCTACATGGCCTTATTCAACATCTAACTACTGACAGACACTTTCCCGTGTTGCTTAGGGTTAAGATACACTTATTAGCCCTTAATTAGCTGTTATAAGTGACGGCTAAAGTAAAGTCTTACCTAACAACACTGTTGTGTGTCTGTGTGTTGCAGCTGATGTTTGTGAAGGGGTCTGGAGCAGTGAGTCTGGGCATCGAGCTGCTGGACACAGAGGAGGAGAACTCTGACGAGCCAGTGGAAGCAGAGGTATCTCTCAATACTTCTGATCTGTGCACTTCCTTCTGCCAATTATCATTATGCCTCAAAAGACCATTCACCGTGTCTTTGTGTCATGTCCGTCTCGATTCAGATTGCAATACAAAAGTCATACCACAGTTATTCGTGGGGGAAAACAGCAAAGTCCCTCTGTTTGTTAAATTGACACTTGTAAATTGTGCATTTATGTTTCATGCAAACATGACCAGTGCATTTAGAAGTAAACAATAGCTGCGTTTCCACCGCAGGAACTTTGGGGTGATTTTCCCCCTGCAGGAACCTCCCCCACAGGGCCATTTACAGGAACTTTTAACCGCCCTGAACAGCTCCTGGTGGGGCTTGAAGTTATCCTAGTTCTGATTGGCTAAAGCTAGAGCAGGCACTAACGCCATCAGAAAGCACCAAAACAATTGGCATTTTCAGCAGCATTAGCCTAGCAGACACTTCTGGAAATGGCAAACGACAACTGCAAGATGTACGATAAATGGACGGATGATGAGGTGAAAGCATCGATTGCCTTCTACGACACAGACAAAGTTCAGATGGGGTTTTAGGCATCGAAATGAAAAAGATCAGGACATATCGGCTTCACCTTGACGTACTGGGGACTATCACACTCAGAAACAATGCAGTTAAAAGTATAAAAACATAAACCAGAGCGGTTCCGACTTGTGCAAAATTGTCGCATAAAGATTACAAGTGGTGTAATCTTGTAATCAAGTGGTAGTTGATACGGTGTGTGTGTGTGTGTGTGTGTGTGTCTCTCTCTAATGCATGTGTGTGAGTGTGTGTCTCTCTCTCTACTGCGTGTATGTGTCTCTCTCTAATGTGTGTGTGTGAGAGCGTGTGTGTGTGTGTGTCTCTCTCTCTCTCATGTGTGTGTCTCTAATGTGTGTCTCTCTCTCTCATGTGTGTGTCTCTAATGTGTATGTGTGTGTGTGTCTGCAGAGGTGGTCGGACTACGTGGACCGGTACCTGAACACGGACTCGGCCTCTCCGGAGCTCCGAGAACACTTGGCCCACAAGCCGGTCTTCCTCCCCAGGTGAGGAGTGCTGCCCCCTGCCTGCACCTCCATACAAGCACACCTTACAAGCACACACCAGAACCAGAACCAGCGGGGCCAAAGCTGCCAGCTGCCCTCCAGTGCACTTTACACCACTCACCTTTTTATACAGACGCCTTTACGTACCTCCCCAGACTTTATTTATTGGAGCTCTCCACATTTTAAAAAAGAACTTTGAATCATGTGTGTTCGCGTTTCTGTTGGAGCCGAGAGAAATGGACCGGACTCACGCGAGCGAATCATCGATGCGAAATGTTTCCTTTATACGCACATTTTTAAAGCCTCTACTTTGCTTCGAAAAGCCCCTGGAGTTCTATTCAATCCCATTTTTTATAAAGACGAATAAGTTGTTGCATTTGATATTGACATTTTTAATTGTCTCATAAACTTGTCGGTCGGTGGAACACGGCGTGAGGCGTTGGCAAAGTGGCTGCAGAGGATATATAAACAAATATATAATATATGTAAATTATTTTATTAGTTTTTGAATTGCATTTTAGTTCACAATGCACACGTGTTAATATTTGCAAGGAGTATGAACTGCTACTGTCTGCAGCGGCCTGGACTAGCATTGGTAACTTTGCAGTGGATATCGTATGACCTTAAATCGTTGTTTCCATATTTAAATGAGGCATCACCTGAGACACCATTGCTCCCATCTGAAGTTTGTTTATTTTACATTTCAGATGGGAGCATTGGTAACTTTGCAGTGGATATCGTATGACCTTAAATCGTTGTTTCCATATTTAAATGAGGCATCACCTGAGACACCATTGCTCCCATCTGAAGTTTGTTTATTTTACATTTCAGCCACATTTATACACATCACTAGAGTGAGAAGTTGGAGGCTAAAGCTAATGCTAATTTAGCCTCCCCTTTTTACGTCATATGTATAATTAGTCTGGCTCCTCTCACTATTTTTGCTCTTTTCTATGGTGGTCCAAAGTATTGAAAATCTAACCATTTCTGCCATTACTGTAGGTAGATATCAAAAGTAGATCCTTATTTGAACAAGTATAGATACTAGGTCAAATTACATGAGAATATGTTTTAATATAGTTTAAGTTATGGCAAGAACTTTTGACCCCCTGGAAAAGTAGTAGTAGTAGTTGGGAGTAGGAGTAGTAGGAGTGAGCTCAAAATGAGTTGACTTGACCAAATCAGCATTCATAAATATTCGCTGTTGTGTCAAATATAGAGTAATATTTCTAGTGTGACAATCTAATTTGAAATGTATGAGCACACCACTCTGTTGCTGTTGTCCAGGCATTTCTGCTCCCATTAATAAAATCTCTAAATCTCAGGGCCGTTCTGCGTGACCATGTGTGTTACAGCCAGCCAACTAGTATATATGTGAATACCACAATCATCCACAGGTGTCATGGAGTATCTCCTTAATCTACGCTAATTTTAATCTATAACATGCACAGCAACAATTATGGCTCATTTAAAGATTGATTACAACACGATTTACTGACACTAAAATATGAAATTGAGGTCTTTGCAAATACCAGCACTAGTTTTGGCCACTTCAGTGAATTCTTCGGAAAATCAACATCAATTATCCCAGGGCCACTTTTTTATTTATTAGCCATTAAAGCTGGGGTACCTAACTTTGAAACTCTAACAAAATCCCTTGAGTGCTTCGCTCTCAAAACATTTATCGCTAGTTCTCCTGTGTTCAGTCTGTATTTTGGGATTTATCAGGGGGAAAAGTGAGAAAGGGAGGACCTCACTCTCTCGGCCAATCAGCTCTCAGCCCATAGTTAGAAAAAATAAAAATAAGGTAAAAATGAAAACGTGTGTGTGGATTTTGCTCACAATTCTTGTTTGTTACACGTATCTTTCTAGACAAAAAAAATATTATGAAAAACGTTAAAAAAAGTGAGGTACCCCATTTTTAATCGTTCTAAATCAAACACGTTTCAATGTTGGAAGGTCCTCGCTTCAATCAATCTGATAGAAACGCCAGAATAGAAGCTTGTTTGTTTCTTTAAAAAGAATCTCCCTAAACATAACGGCTTGTAAAAAAAGAGAACAAGTCTCTGAATAGATGTAAAACAAGTAAAAACTCAGACATTAGCAGCAGTTGTTTAACCAGCAAAGTAGAGAAAGCCCTATAGTCCAATCTCGTCTCATTATTTTTGCCTGAAAGTTGCAGAAATCTGGAATATTCCCCATGTTATTTCTCTTACAATTGAATAAAGGTAAGATGTATTAGTCTCATTGACCTCAGACTGGAAGTGATGGACCTTCCACCTGAAATCTTGAACTAAATCATGTACACAGATGTTTTGAGAATGAGAAAAAGATTCTGTTTAGTATAAAAAGTGTGTTTTTTTTGTTTGTTTTCCGCTCTTAAAGGACACACATTATGCAAACCTCGTATTTTTTGAAGTTACCATTGTATTCGTTCGACTCCCGCCCCTTCTGTCCACACGCTCCCGTCTCAAACTGAGATTCAAAAGCAAATATTGTCCAAACGAGCAGAAAGGATGCATAATATTTGTTCTTTAATTGCGAAATCGGTTTGAATCATGTGACCTGTTTAACGTGCACCTCCTCATGTGTCCAGACCTCGCGCTCCTCTGACAAAATATTTGATCTAGTTTTAAAACCGTTACTTGTACGCAGACATACGTAGGTTTGGTAAATAAAATTCTTTGTCTGATTGTACATGTGGTGGCTTGTTTTCTTCACTATTTTGTCGTTTTCTTTGAGATGGCTGTCCATGATTTCACAGTGCCACCAAATGTTTGACTTCCTGGAGGCTTTTTCCCCACGTTTTTCAACCCATGGCATAAATCTGGTTTGAAAGCTCACCCACTCTTTATTCACCACATGATTTTTCTATATTTTTTGTCATATATTATTTAAACTGAGATGGGTGGAGAAGCTAGAAGAGTCTGCAAGAGTCAGAAAACGTGTCAATACATGTTAAATGCATTGTGGTGTGTTGCTTATTTGACTCATTCATTGTAGAATTGATCTAATTTCACTTAAATTGTTGTATTTTGTGTCAAATATTTGGTGAAAACCGTGAAAAGCTTTTTGAATTTTCTATTGAAATCATCTCACATCCCCAAGCTCAATGTCTCCTACCATTTTAATATTTCTATCAATGATCAAATCTGTTGTTTATGTAGACTTAGTGTATTTCTTCAGCATTTCCACTAGAGGGCAGTGTGTGTCTGTGGCAAGACTTATATAGAAGACTATGATATTAAATGGTCTTGTTTTTTAACCAGGTTTCAACATTGTTTCTATACAAGAAACAGAATCGCAATATTTTTTATTGCCAGTGTAAGCAACAGGAAGTCATAAACAATTTGTTTTGCTCATGGCTTAATATGTAATGAAAGTTAATGTTATGTAAAAAATACACACAAACTTTACCTGGAGTTATAGTTTAGCTCCTGTCAGGAACTTCTGGTACAAAATGTCAGATGATTGTTGAGGTCTAGAAGAAAAATGCCTTAAATTTGGGTCTAAAGGTGTAAATGATCCAAATTGGTTTATTGTATTATTCCTAATGATCTCTTAATCTAATCTTAATTAGCATCTACTTCATTGGTTCATTATATTTTCTGCCTTCTAAAACATGGTCGATATTCTCAAGATCATGTTTACATGTTTCTTATTAGCTCTACATATATATTTTGTTGTTCAGAGCGCACGGAAATGATAAGATTCAGTTTATTTGCCATTTGCAGTAAAACCACATTGGAGTAACTATACGAGACCTCCCCAGTGTGCCCCAGGCAGCCCACACCAGAGCTCCCCCGATTTACATTGGATTTAGATTTTTAAACATGACCTCTAAATCGATATAAAGCCAAATAGTTGTGACCTTAGTGATCACCCATGAACCCAACACCAGGTCCATCCCACCTTCATCAATCTGACTGTTTCACAATTGGCCTGTTCTGTGTTGTGCCTAAATGATGCTTGATGCTTTCAGTCCCCGATCGCCTCAGAGCTGCGGGGTAAGTAGCCTGCTCCTCACATTCTCATGACGCTGGGGTGATGTTCAGCTTTAGACTCAGACAAATACAGTTTCCTCTTTGCACATGATGTCGCTGCAAACGTTAGCGCACTCTACAAGCGCCGTCACTTTAAGTCTGTTACGTGGTGAGTTCAATGCATGGGGTTGACTTATGTACAAAGGGACAGCCTCTCAAACCGCTTTGTGTTGGTTGTGCGTGTGTGTGTGTGTGTGTGTGTGTGTGTGTGTGTGTGTGCGTGCGGCTGGTGTACTGATGTGTTGTTGTGTTGGCGTTTTGCAGGAACTTGCGTCAGATCCGTAAGTGTCAGAGGGAGCAGCTGCAGAGGGACCGCTCCCCGCGAGAGGACGGCGCTCTGAAGCGACAGTGTATGTTCAAACTCAACTCCTACAAGATGGTGTACGTGTGCAAGTCCGAGGACTACATGTACAGGCACACGGCGCTCACGCGGGCGCATCAGGTACGTACACGCGCACAGGTACGCACACGCAAATGCTCAATATTGTAGGCATCATTGCAGTTGTTAAAGGACACTTTGTATAGCATAGTTCAGTGCTTCTCAAACTTTATTAACAGATTTAACAGAAAATACTTGCCTCTCCAAGTACCACCACAAATGACCAACACTATACAGTAGCGTAGTATGCCTAATTATTCATCAAAAACAAGGCAGAGGTTTCATTCCTAAAGAAGCTTTTGTATATGCTGCTCCTTCTGCATGGAATGTGTTGCAAAAAGACTGGAAATGATCTGACTGTATTTCATTGAATGCGTTCAGATCCAGATTGAGAGCACTTGAGACATCTTCAGTGAAATGTATCTGTTTTTATAATCAGTAATTTTATGAAATTGTATATGACTGTTTTCGGTAATCGGACTCCCTTGAAAAAGTGGTTCTTAATCTCAATGGGACTTTCCTGGTTAAATTAAAAAAATATATATATATTATTTCAGTGAATTTTTGGCGTACCTCTAGAGGGAGCCCCGCGTAGGCCACACTTTGAGAACCACTGACATAGTTCATACACAGGCAGCACAGTGGTCTTTCTGTGTACAGTACCTGTGGAAAGACCAGGCCTCACTGTATTGATACTGAGAGTTCATCACACACTGGAGGCCTGTTTAATCATCAGGGCAAGTGAACGTTCTGCAGTCATTATGACTGTTTTAAAGACACTTAAATGCACTCAGGAAAGTTCTGTTTGATACTTGTGCAGGACTACTTTTCACTTCTCTTTATTTTCTAAAATAACAGAATCATGTTTCATTTTGCTTTCACTTGACAGTTGTCTGTGTGTGAACTTTCAGTAAATAATATTTTAACCTGACAAAATGTGGAAAAGTTAGAGCTGTATAAATACTTTTGTGAGGCACTGTACACCTTCAAACACAATACACATACATATATTTGTACATGTGTGAATGGTTTAGAAAGACAAATATTTGTGTATATATACAGTGCCTTGTGAAAGTATTCGGCCCCCTTGAACCTTTCAACATTTCGCCACATTTAAGGCTTCAAACATAAAGAAATAAAATTTAAATTTTTTGTCAAGAATCAACAAGTGGGACACAATTGTGTAGTGGAACAAAATTTATTGGATCATCTAAACTTTTTCAACAAATAAAAAACTGAAAAGTGGGGCGTGCAATATTATTCGGCCCCTTTACTTTCAGTGCAGCAAACTCAGTCCAGAAGTTCAGTGAGGATCTTTGAATGATCCAATGTTGTCCTAAATGACTGATGATGATAAATAGAATGCACCTGTGTGTAATCAAGTCTCCGTATAAATGCACCTGCTCTTTGATAGTCTCAGGGTTCTGTTTAAAGCACAGAGAGAACAATGAAGACAAAGGAACACACCAGACAGGTCCGAGATACTGTTGTGGAGAAGTTTAAAGCCGGATTTGGATACAAAAAGATTTCCCAAGCTTTAAACATCTCAAGGAGCACTGTGCAAGTAATTATATTGAAATGGAAGGAGTATCAGACCACTGCAAATCTACCAAGACCCGGCCGTCCCTCCAAACTTTCATCTCAAACAAGGAGAAGACTGATCAGAGATGCAGCCAAGAGGCCCATGATCACTCTGGATGAACTGCAGATAACTACAGCTGAGGTGGGAGAGTCTGTCCATAGGACAACAATCAGTCGTGCACTGCACAAATCTGGCCTTTATGGAAGAGTGGCAAGAAGAAAGACATTTCTCAAAGATATCCATAAAAAGTCTCGTTTAAAGTTTGCCACAAGCCACCTGGGAGACACACCAAACATGTGGAAGAAGGTGCTCTGGTCAGATGAAACCAAAATCGAACTTTTTGGCCACAATGCAAAACGATATGTTTGGCGTAAAAGCAACACAGCTCATCACCCTGAACACACCATCCCCACTGTCAAACATGGTGGTGGCAGCATCATGCTTTGGGCCTGCTTTTCTTCAGCAGGGACAGGGAAGATGGCTAAAATTGATGGGAAGATGGATGGAGCCAAATACAGGACCATTCTGGAAGAAAACCTGTTGGAGTCTGCAAAAGAGCTGAGACTGGGACGGAGATTTATCTTCCAACAGGACAATGATCCAAAACATAAAGCCAAATCTACAATGGAATGGTTCACAAATAGACGTATCCAGGTGTTAGAATGGCCAAGTCAAAGTCCAGACCTGAATCCAATCGAGAATCTGTGGAAAGAGCTGAAGACTGCTGTTCACGAATGCTCTCCATCCAACCTCACTGAGCTCGAGCTGTTTTGCAAGGAAGAATGGACAAGAATTCCAGTCTCTCGATGTGCAAAACTGATAGACATACCCCAAGCGACTTGCAGCTGTAATTGCAGCAAAAGGTGGCGCTACAAAGTATTAGCGCAAGGGGGTCGAATAATATTGCACGGCCCACTTTTCAGTTTTTTAATAGTTAAAAAAGTTTTAATCATCCAATACATTTCGTTCCACTTCACGATTGTGTCCCACTTGTTGTTGATTCTTGACAAAAAACATATTTTTTATATCTTTATGTTTGAAGCCTGAAATGTGGCGAAATGTTGACGGTTCAAGGGGGACGAATACTTTCGCAAGGCACTGTATATATTCCGCTGTAGTAAAGATCTCTGACCTCTGCTCCGTCTTCTCCTGCCGCAGTCTCACCAGCGCGTCCACACTCGCCTCCACCGCCGCTTCCACTCGTGGCTGGACGGTTGGGCGCGGGAGCACGTGAGCACGGACATGGCCTCGCACACGCAGCGCTGGCTCATGGGAGAAGGCCAGGACTCGGACCTGATCCCCTGCTCCACCGCCCTGTGCCCTCAGGTCCTGCACTACATCAACGTCAACAAGTACCGCGTCACCTACAGAACGCTATAGTCCTCGCCGCCGCCGCCGCCACGGTTTGAACCTGCCACAGACTCTGACACACGCCGCGGTCGTATGAACTGCCAGTCTCTCCTCCAACTGTTTTAAAACCACGCGACTCAAGGCTCGGCTTCTCTAGGAAACTGATTAATTTGGTCAAACCCAGAACTGAAGAACGGTTCTGGACTGAGGAATGCACTTGTTGAAGCTGTTGTTACAAAATGATGAAGATGAATGAATGAAGATGTAAACGTTAAATACGAACGCAGTCGTCTGAGAAAGTCCAATATCGTGCAAAATGTTCCATCGTTTCCCACTGGAGTCCACACGACAAACTAAAGCTGGGGGCCTCAACCTAAACCCTGAGAGCTAACAGTAGCTCACTCCCCCCGTTGTAAGGAGCTCCCCAGGATTTAGAAACGACTGAAATATTACAAAATGAATTATTCTTATGCGCAAAACTCAAGTAAACACAAACAAAAGCTGTGACAAATGATATAGATCGATACAGTAACCAGCTGCAAGTAATAATTTGATAGCTTTAAAACAACACAAAAGTGAATGCTTGAAAATTACGAATTCAGAAGGTGAGCTATAACCCAAACTTCCGCAAACAAAACGTATTGATATTTAAATTTTCATCTCCTCTTTAAACTAAACCTCTTCCCGACCGTATTCACTAACCTTAAAAAATCTCCACATTTCTCCAGTTAGCATAATAGCGTTAGCATAATAACATTATACCCTTATCCCATTTTAATCTACACCCGTAAGAAGTCTGCATTTTGGTCAAACTTTGAATATGAATTTGCCTCAGAAACGGATCAATCTGTTTTCTGATGAGGGAAGAATAAATGTCTTGCCTCTTTGGCTAATGCTCGCTTTTGTTCTTGTATCGAGAGGGGAAAGTCTTCGAACCGAGTAATATCTGCGAGCTCACATAAGCAAAAACCATTTCATTGTAAATGTGGCACCAGCTGTTTTAAATTCTCTCTAATTTTCACAGAATTTTGGGACATATATGATAATTGCCTTTTCCAAAGCCATACAAACTTGGGAACATTCCAGGCAAAGCAATGGGAAAAGTTGTACATTTTGCAAAATATTGGAACTTATGAATTTCTTACGATTCACTCTTGGATGAAAAAAAGAAGCAAAAACTGGCAACCGTGTCACCTGCGAATGTTGTTTTTCTATCTGCACTGTAAATCCCCCATTGAACCGAAGCGTATTCTCCCATAACTTATGACTGCGTACATGTAAATATGTTTATAACTAGATTTTTTTATCAACTCGTGTCTCGTGTTAACAGATTTAGACTTTAGCTAGTGTATTGAATATTTTAACTGTTTTTTTTTTCCCCCCTTTTGTTTACCAAAGGTTGTTATCTATGTCCCGCCCCCACATACTCAACATTTCCACCGAATGTAGCAAGTTTTGGTCAATTTTTTGCTGGAGTTTTTACCGTCAAAAAGCAATACATTTGGATTTGACTACACACTAAAAAACCTGGATTTAACATTTTAAAATTTGGATTTTTAATTGGCGATTTGTAATTATGCAATGTGACAAGTGTGGGGAGAACGAGGCCTAAATGTATTCCAGGTCTTCAGCAGCAGCAGATCCAGCTACAGACAATCCACAGGAGCAGTTTCATACTTTTATTTTTGTACCGCGTGTAGTTCCCCAGAGCGACCTGCAGGGGGCGACTGTACATAGGTTTGTATGTGTTCACGTGGCCGTAGTTTTGACTCTCCAGCTGTTGTACATGATTGTAGTCTGGTGTTTGGCATTAAACTCTACTTTGAATAGAACCGAGAGAACCGACTCCTTCTTTACAACAAAAAACAATGTTTAAAATGATGTTGAGTTGAATTTAAGTTTATGTTTAAGGCAGAGAAGAGAAGGTTCTTTTATTAAGACACCAGTTGCTTCGTTACTTTGGTCTAGAAACTTCTAAGCCACCTGGTAGTGCTGGGGTACCAAACTTTAAAACCACAAAAGCTTGGGTTTGATATAGCACTTTTCTGGACACTGGTTTCCTGGCCCACTCTCTCCTCTCTCTGGATACTAGTCCTCTCGTCTCTCCTGGGTCGTGGTCCTCTCTACCCTCTCCCCTCTCTGGATCCCGGTCCTCTTCCCTCTCCTGGGTCCTTGTCCTCTCTGAGTCCTGGTCCTCTCTCCTCTTTCTCTCTGGGTCTTGGTCCCCTCAGTGCAGCGTGTGCAATGCAGTCACTAGTAGTGAAGAGGGAGCAGTGTCTGCAGTCAGAGCTCTATCAGACAGTTGTGATGCAGAGAGTAAGATGGAAAGATGAAAAATCTAATTCATCCACAGACTTGATCAGATATTGTAGATCAATAGCAGAAAAATAAAAAGAAACTTTTAACTTTGAATAAAATAATTTAATATAAAAAGGAGTGGTGTGCAGCAGCGTCTCAAACACGGAACACACTGAAGGTAAAATGAAAACATGAATCAACACTTTTGAACAGTTTTACTTTGTCCTTTCTCTGCATAAAGTGCATTCTGTGAATCTACTGCCCTCTAGTGGAAATACACATGTTTACAGTGTTGAAGAATCCACAACATTTTATCTTTAAATTCTCAAAATAAAAACAATAGACCGACCACCAAGAATTCTGAAATCATACAATAAGGTTCCAAAACTCTGGGAAATTTAAGGAAATAAACCGATATCTGTTTAAAACATTTTGCATGGAGCTTTTATTATGGCTATTAAATTATGCCAATTAGTTCCCATTATTCCCATGGAAATGCTCAGAGCAAAACATTATTAGGAAACTTAAGAAACGTACAGTAATTCGTCCGCCCGTTTGCAACACTAGATACAGTCAAAATATTTCTAATGATATTTTTGCTTGATCCGTTTTAAAACATTGTTCACACGTTCTATGGCCCCAAAGTAAAGCTGCAATAGGACCACAACGACACAAGGATCTTTAAAATGAAATAATCATTTAGAATCTGCAACAAGTCCAAACTCTGCAATAGACCATGTTCAAGTTGTGGATTTGCATTTCAGTTAAAGGGCGGAAAAGCTCATTTTCAAAAAGGAAAAGTCCAAATGTTTTCCCCCAATCTTTGATAATTATTACAATCAAAAACTTATTTCTCGCAGTGCTTTTTACTAGCCATTGTCTTGCAAACGTTTTCACCACTTATGGACGACACCTTTGCAAACAAATATGGTTGAACTGTACTGACAGAAGTGGAATCAGAAAATTAGAGAAATTGGAGAGAAATTTGACTTCAACTGCCACAACTGTCTGGTGATGTTGTGATGTCTCATGAACGCAACCATCAAAGAAATTAGGAATTGACTAAAAGCTTATTGCAAGGTTCAGGAGTTTCACATTGGTAACTTGCGTCTAATATTATTTGGGCATTTTTTACAAGATCATTTCCTCGTCACAGCAGACCGTGTGCATTTTAAAATATCGAACTGTTTTCAAATCGTTTTCAGCATTGTAAAAACCAAATTATTCTCTTGTGAGTTTTAAAAAGCAGCAATTTCATCAACGTTTAACCTCTACTTCATCCAATTAACATATGTATCCTTATAATTTACATTAAAACAAATCTCCAGCAGCAGCAAACTTTGTGTCCGGCTCCAGCTCGGTCTCAGCCCTGATTCGGTGTGATCCTGGTTCTGATATGGTCCCTGTACCTTAGTTCAGCAGCTCTGAACCAGTCTCAGTCCTGGCTCGGTGTGGTCCTGATGTGATCCCTCTTCGTCCCCTGGTCCTGGTGTAGTCATGGTCCCTGATCTCTGTATGTTACCGACGTCTGGAGTCCAGCAACTCAGTCTCAGTCCTAGTGTAGTCCAGGTCTTGGTGTGGTCCCTCTTCGGCCCCTGCTCTGGCCCTGGTCCCGGTCCCTGTATGTTACCAGTGCCTGGAGTCCAGCAGCTCTGGCCTCAGACTCATCTTCTTGAGCGTCTCGTAGCCGACCACCATGACGAAGGCGGTGGGACCAGAGGAGAGGATGCGAGCCGACAGTCCTTTGGTCAGACCCCAGACCCCCTCTTCAGAGACCAGCTGCTTGAAAGTCTCCACCACCGAGCTCCTGCCCTCCACCTGCCACACACACGCCAACTCGATTCAGTTTTGCATAGCCTTAAAGCACAACAGGACTTCACAAAGCTGTCGATTCACCAACACAGATCAGAGAATCAAACCGTTCAAATACAGGAAGTGCAATGATAAGTACATAGAGACCAATGTTGATAAATGTGGAGTGTCCTGGATCAGCCTCACTGTCCTTAGACCCTCCTGCATCAGCAAAGAACAACTCTAAAAACCCAATGGGAGATTGTATAATTCCATCAGACAGAAGTACCATATACCATCGAAACATGTCAAGGTAATAACATTGCTAACTAGAACAAAATGCCTTTAAATTATCTATCCATGTCGACAGGACAGAATTACATGTTCCATAAGCTTCTTAAAACATACTCAATGACAACTATTTTCCGATAAAAGTGAAGTAGGTTCAAACCCAAAGTGTGTGTGTACCTGGGTGTGTGTCTGTGAGTTTACCTGGACTCTGGCGCGCACCACGTCCATGGGGTTGGTGACGGTGGAGGCAGTGACCGCAGCCAGAGGTCCAGCCACCGCCTGCAGTACCAGGTGAGGACAGTCAGAGGGCGCTATCCGCGACAACTGCTCTGTGGGGAGACACACAAACACGCACTTTAGAAACATCATTACACGATTACATGTTTTTAATTTATTTTATATAAAGAGTTTGACAGATAGAGAAATTTTTATTTGAGTCAGAAAATGTTTGTATAAAAGTCTGTTTTTGATTAGCTGGAAAAAAGACCAGAGAGAGAGAGAGAAAGAGACAGACCAGAAAGAGAGGCACCAGAGAGAAAGAGAGACCAAGGCGAGAGACACCAGAGAGAGCAACAGACTTTATTGTTGGATGTGATTCCTGGTCCTGATCCCATCCTGATCCACTGACCTGCGTAGAAATGGTAGAAGGGCCACCACACTGCACTGTTGGGAATGTACGTGAGCAGAGAGGCCACGTATCCTCTGTAAAAGCCCCGCACGCCGTCCACCGCCAGGATCTGAGCCATGATGTCTCTGGTCGGACCGAAGAACACCCTGCGGCTCTTCGCCCCCGCTGCAGGGTCAGACCTGTTGCAAGGAAATACTACTAAGTGACGGGCTTCAACATGGACTGTGTGCACACTGGATATTAATGACAACTTTGGATATATTCTGGACTAATGGATACTTCTATAATATCAGTTCATCTATAAACCAACCCTGCTGGACACAGTGTGGCGAACAAGATATATAGCCATCTATCTAGAGCATGGTGTCAAAGTCCAGGCCCCGGGGCCAGATCCGGCACATGAATGAATTATCTGTTCACGGGATGATAGTAACCGGCTACACAGAGCCATACTAAAATATTGGATTATTCATTTAATCATTAGATAAAATAAAGTACACCGTTTTTCTTGGTTTATTAGTTTAGATGCATAATTTTAATATGTTTTAATAAACACTGAACCAGTCCAGCCCTCAGCTTGAAGCAAAATAGTTTTTTGGCATCTTTGACATCCCTGATCTAGATAAACATATTTCTGTTTTGACACAAGGGCGACAGTAGCTCAGTTGGTAGAGCACTGGCCTTTGAGCCTGAAGGTTGTGGGTTCAAGCCCACCACGGGACCTTCTCCACCGACTCCCATTGATGGTTGCTGTCGTTGTGTCCTTGGGCAAGACACTTAACCCTGCATTGCCTGAACCCCCCGCTGAAAAATCAAGGCTGTATTGTCACTGACAGAGCAGCCGTCCTCCTGTGGACTCACCACCTGCAGAGGATCAGTGAGGGGCTGGTGCTATGAGACTTGGGTGCAGCTCTGACTGCCACCCCCCGACCCAGAAATGGATTAAGGGGAAGAAGATGGATGGATGGATGGATGTTTTGACACACGATCCGGACCCTCGGCGTCGTTTTTCCGTCACTAAATGTATGTAAATGACAACTGACCCCAATTATCTTTAATAAAAACTACATATTAAAATAAAAAAATAAAATCAATGGATGGATATTAATGACAAAAATAGTGGTGATAATAAAATAATAATAATAGGAATAGTATCCAGGTGTGGCTTATATGTGGCCAAAGTGGATTTTATTTTCAAAGGTAAGTAGTGCGGCTTATACACAGTGCAAAAAGTGTTCAAATTTGGCAACATTAATCTTAATTTGAGTATATTTTCACTGCCTTAAAACAAGATTTCCAAATGACACAAAGCAAAAGGATCTTGTTTTGAAAAGATACAACTGTCTGTACTGGAATGAGAAGACAAATCTTGTTAGAATGTGCGATTATTTCCTCATATTTTATCATTTTTAGTAGTGCTTAGTTACTTCCATGGTGGTCTTACTTGTTGAGTGAGAAGCGGGTGGGGTGTCCTTCCTGCCCCTGCATCATCAGCTGCTGCGACACCACGTCGATGGGGACCGTGATGCTCTGAGCCACCAGCGACGCCGAGCCGCCCGCCACCAGCGACTTGAGCGTGTTGTCCTGGGAGTATCGCGACACGTACTTCCTGGCCAGCTCGTACGTGGTGATGTAGGCCTGACCCGAGATCAGCGTGAAGGAGTTGACCATGAAGCCGCGGTACAGGCCTCGCGGACCCTCTCGCTGCAGGATCTTCACGAAGGCGTCTAACGTGCCGCCGTACAGAGAGCGCCCCCTTTGCACCTGAGGAGACGTGCAGGTGATGTGGGAGACTTATGAAAGACATGTGTTGAAGTGAACTTTTGAGGACACTTTACATTTGTAATTCAGCATCTATCATGTTCAGTATTTATTACACTAGAATATACACCATTTTATACTTTTTTATGATGATAGAGTTTGGTTTTATACTAGCTTCTTTATTATGCTAAAGTTAAAGATGTTATATTTTTTTCTTTATTATGCTAAAGCTAGAGATTTAAACTTGCTTCTTTATTGTGCTAAAGATTACAGTGCCTTGCGAAAGTATTCGGCCCCCTTGAACCTTTCAACATTTCGCCTCATTTCAGGCTTCAAACATAAAGATATAAAATTTAAATTTTTTGTCATGAATCAACAACAAGTGGGACACAATAGTGAAGTGGAACGAAATTTATTGGATAATTTAAACTTTTTTAACAAATAAAAAACTGAAAAGTGGGGCGTGCAATATTATTCGGCCCCTGTACTTTCAGTGCAGCAAACTCAGTCCAGAAGTTCAGTGAGGATCTTTGAATGATCCAATGTTGTCCTAAATGACTGATGATGATAAATAGAATGCACCTGTGTGTGATCAAGTCTCCGTATAAATGCACCTGCTCTTTGATAGTCTCAGGGTTCTGTTTAAAGCGCAGAGAGAACCATGAAGACAAAGGAACACACCAGGCAGGTCCGAGATACTGTTGTGGAGAAGTTTAAAGCCGGATTTGGATACAAAAAGATTTCCCAAGCTTTAAACATCTCAAGGAGCACTGTGCAAGCAATTATATTGAAATGGAAGGAGTATCAGACCACTGCAAATCTACCAAGACCCGGCCGTCCCTCCAAACTTTCATCTCAAACAAGGAGAAGACTGATCAGAGATGCAGCCAAGAGGCCCATGATCACTCTGGATGAACTGCAGATAACTACAGCTGAGGTGGGAGAGTCTGTCCATAGGACAACAATCAGTCGTGCACTGCACAAATCTGGCCTTTATGGAAGAGTGGCAAGAAGAAAGCCATTTCTCAAAGATATCCATAAAAAGTCTCGTTTAAAGTTTGCCACAGGCCACCTGGGAGACACACCAAACATGTGGAAGAAGGTGCTCTGGTCAGATGAAACCAAAATCAAACTTTTTGGCCACAACGCAAAACGATATGTTTGGCGTAAAAGAAACACAGCTCATCACCCTGAATACACCATCCCCACTGTCAAACATGGTGGTGGCAGCATCATGCTTTGGGCCTGCTTTTCTTCAGCAGGGACAAGGAAGATGGCTAAAATTGATGGGAAGATGGATGGAGCCAAATACAGGACCATTCTGGAAGAAAACCTGTTGGAGTCTGCAAAAGACCTGAGACTGGGACGGAGATTTATCTTCCAACATGACAATGATCCAAAACATAAAGCCAAATCTTCAATGGAATGGTTCACAAATAGACGTATCCAGGTGTTAGAATGGCCAAGTCAAAGTCCAGACCTGAATCCAATCGAGAATCTGTGGAAAGAGCTGAAGACTGCTGTTCACAAACGCTCTCCATCCAACCTCACTGAGCTCGAGCTGTTTTGCAAGGAAGAATGGGAAAGAATTCCAGTCTCTCAATGTGCAAAACTGATAGACATACCCCAAGCGACTTGCAGCTGTAATTGCATCAAAAGGTGGCGCTACAAAGTATTAGCACAAGGGGGCCGAATAATATTGCACGCCCCACTTTTCAGTTTATTTGTTAAAAAAGTTTAAATTATCCAATAAATTTCGTTCCACTTGTGTCCCACTTGTTGTTGATTCTTGACAAAAAATATATTTTTTATATCTTTATGTTTGAAGCCTGAAATGTGGCGAAATGTTGAAAGGTTCAAGGGGGCCGAATACTTTCGCAAGGCACTGTATATATGTTCTACTCGCTTTTTTATTTTGTAAAGCTATAGATTATATACTTTCTTTTTATGACGCTAAAGTTAGAGATTCGATTGCATTTTCATTATTGTTATTGTTCATTTATCTTGTGCAGTGTGCGCCTCATTTCTACTGCTCTGTAACTGGTGATACAACACTGACATTTCCCCACAGTGGGACAAATCACTTTTGAAGGTGCTGGAAACGTCAGTGAGTCCCAACCAAGAGGAGCAGGAGGAAATCCACTGGAGGAAGCAGCTCATCACCAGCGGCTACACCACCTGCTGCCGCTGTGGCCTAAAATACTTTATTACTATTGTTAGTAACTTTTAGAATTATGTATTTATTTGTTTGTACGGATCGATGTGTTTCTGCTGCTATCTAAAAAGCCAAAACTTTTAATCCTGTGAGCTAGTTCTTTCATATCGGACATAAATGGTCTCATATTCAGCGCTCTGGTCTGACTAAACTCTTAATATTATTGTTTATTATGAATGTTGTTAGCGTTAGCATTAGCATTAGCGTTAGCCTGCGCACCTGTAGGCGAGTGCGTATGAGCGTGGCGGGGTACACGGCGGCGCGGATCGACATGGTCATGAAGACACCGAACGAGTAGAACTTCCTCTTGTCCAGGTCTTCCCATTCTATGATCTGTATGTTCCGCTTCTGGTGCATCCTGACCACCGCCCTCAAGGACCACCACCTCACTCAAGGACCACCACCTCACTCAAGGACCACCACCTCACTCAAGGACCACCACCGCCCCAAGGACCACCACCTCACTCAAGGACCACCGCCTTCAAGAACCACAGCCCTCAAGAACCACCACCTTCAAGAACCACAGCCCTCAAGAACCACCACCTTCAAGAACCACAGCCCTCAAGAACCACCACCTTCAAGAACCACAGCCCTCAAGAACCACCACCTTCAAGAACCACAGCCCTCAAGAACCACCACCTTCAAGAACCACAGCCCTCAAGAACCACCACCTTCAAGAACCACAGCCCTCAAGAACCACCACCTTCAAGGACCACTGCCTTCAAGGACCACTGCCTTCAAGGACCTGAAGAGAAGGAAACAATGTTATTAATATTAAAATGAAAAAGCAAGGCTGAATTTTCAGTGAGATGTAATGTGAGAGTAGCGACACTGACACTACTGCTGCAAGATCGCAATTGGATCAAAACTTAATTTTAATCATTACAAATATCAAAGAAACACAGCAGTTATTGAGATTCATTACAGACATTTTTTTTTACAATGTCTTGAATTAAGGAAAATGTATCTGGATTTGAGTTGGATTGTCTGAATTTGATTTCCAATGAAGTAAGCAGACTCTTTACCTCATCATGCCACACTTGGTCTTTTTCTTTCTATTTCTAAATAAAACAAGACATTGGCAAAAACTGTAAACATGTTAAAAAGATGTGTGTTTTGAGTGTGAGGATCAAACGCCGTGGATCTAATAACACAGTTCCATCTTTGTCAATGAAAGAAGTATTGGAAAAGAGCATGGTTTATTAATGCCTTTGGACATGTTAGGGCCCTATAATAATGACATAAAAATCTTATATATTAATACTACTAAAGAAATAATGTGAGGTATATAATCAACAGGAGTTTGTTTACTGCTTGTTCATGTTAATGGTGATAATTGTGGTTAATGATGTAGATCTATTCATTTTATTTGGAATGGTATGTGATATTTTTGACTGTATAATAAGTCAAGGTGTTAAAATATGTTATAACAAGCAAAACGCGATTCAAACTGAGAAAAACCAATACCTTGTGTATATTTTGCATATTACACATGACTTGGGGGTTATGGTCCTGAAGGCTCAAAGGGCATTAATGACATACTGAGAAAGTAGAAAAGTCATGCCAGAGGAGAAAATGCAACTAACAGATACACAAGCCACTCTAGAGTCGTGTTAAATAATCCATAACTTTTTAATACAGTAGCTGAAATATGAATATATATTTATTTTTTTTGCATTACAGCGTTAATGTATTAAATATATTCTTACATAAATTGATGTCATGGGTTGGTTGTGGTTAGCCTGGGCAGCATTAGCCTCATCCTTCTTACCTTTTATACACTGTAGTTAGTTATATCGCCGTGTCATTGTCTGTAAGTGTTATAAGAACACCCACAGGGATAAACGGGGTCCTCAAACAGCAGGAGAAAGAGAAGGCGCTGAAAAAAGATCGTAAATCCAGTGTTTACTGTGAGTGAGAGGGAGCTAAAGCTAATGTCAGCGGAAGGAGCCCAAGCCCCGGCGATCCAAGATGGCGCCCTATTCAAATGAATGGTTGTGCTCAGTGGCGCTTTGTGACAGCACGGGGGCTGAAAAGATTAGCGGAAGTTGCCTGAAACTCGCAAAGAACTTTGGGAAACTCGCCTGTATTTGGGCATCGTCTGGTCCTCCCGGTTCTGCGCAGTGGATGATCTCCCATAATGCGTTGCGTCAAACACGCGTGTGTGGGTCTCACGCACGTGCACAGAGGGGCTCGGCCGCGCTCTGACCAATCAGAGCAGTTCATCAGAGCGGGAGTTAGAGCGAGAGCCAGAGGAGTAGAGTTTGTGGCACTAAAGTGTGGATTTAAACAAAACCGAAGGATTTAAGAAGAAAAAAAGTTCAGGATGACAAGGGACACTAAAATCCCCACAAAATCCTATCTTTATTAAAGCTGTAGGTTCTCTGTCAGCTGAGGTTGAGCTGTTTTAATATGCATTGAGTCCTATGGGGAAAATTTCTGGGTGGCCCACGTGAATTTAGTCTGGTTCAGTCTGCAGTACCGCGAGAATCCCCTGAGCACATGAGTTATTCAGCTACAAGCTAGTAATACCCTATCCAGTTAATATAATACATCCATGAAGGAGCCCCATTCAAATGCATGCTCCGCCAGCAGCCAATCAGAGAGAGCGACGCACCCTATGCTTCCGGGTGTACTCCAGAGCAAATACATAACTTCAAAAAACAATTAATTAGTGAAGAGAAATACAAATATATGGAAGGGAATGGTTGTCTCACACATAAAAACAAATAATAAAAAAAAAATCATAATTATTTTTACATTTCTCTTTTGGACAAATAGATACAGATAACTAAATAGACAGAGATATATGAAATATGAAAGGTGTAGATGAATAAATACATAAAACCATTAATTGATTAATCTATTAGAACACAGAGAAGATCATAATATATATAACATAGTATATGTTTCACATGTAGTTTGAATCCATCCATAGCACATAGCACCAGCCCCTCACTGATCCTTCTGCAGGTGGTGAGTCCACAGGAGATGAGATCTTTCAGTGGGGGCTTCAGGCAAAGTGGGATTAAGTGTTCTTGCCCACACAACGACAGCAGTCATCAGTGGGAGTCGGTGGAGAAGGTCTCACGGTAGGCTCAAACCCACGACCTTCAGGCTCACAGGCCAATGCTCTACCAACTGAGCCACTGTTGCCCAATGTAGTTTCAATGTTATTGTTTAATTCATATTGTTAAAAGAGTGGGGAAGAGATGTCCTTGCTGCACATATGGATCAGGGCTGGTACAAGGTGGATTGAGGGGCGAACATTTGGGGAACCACAGCATAAATCTGCAAAAAGACTGTCTTGAAGAAATGCACTTGTCCTTGAAAACAAGTCTAATATCGTATGTTTGCACTTTCTCCTGGTAAACTTTTGCAGATACAGCCGTCCACTTTTAACATAAGATACACTTTTTTGTCCCACAGTTTGGAAATTACATGTCAATGTCAATTATGTCATCTATGCACACATAACAGCAGAATAAATGGAGGAAATAAGAGCACTCAGGTTGCACACATCAAACAGCATCTATTATGTAAGATAATCATAAAATAATAAGATAGTAAAATAAAACCAGAGGGATGTATTTGCACTCAGTTCAAGGATAAGTTACTTACTGGAGCGATTCACAGATGTTTGTTTATTGTACTTTAGCCACAGAAAATAACACCAGAAGAAACAATAATAGTAACAGCACCAGGTAAAGTCACTAGAGAAGGATCAGAACAGAATGATCAGATAAATGGAATATGTAGTAGTGTAAAGATAAAGCAGGTACAGTGACTTGCAACTAGTAAAGTGACTAGTGGATAATCAGAACAGGTGAATGGCACGTGTAGAATCACACATAATGATTTCTTTAAAAGACTATGGACATAGAGCCATTGCCCTGACAAGTCTCTATTTTGGTAACACAGAGGAACCTTTTCCAACATGTTGAAAAGCACTTCAGACCCATTTGAACATATGGAACAAGATTGATTGTTACAGCTCTAAAATACAGAGAGAAAATATCCTGAACATTTCTTAATGTTTTCAACAGCTTTAATACAGTTGAATTGATGTAATTGTATGCATTTGTGCACTCATATTGGGCAGTTAATTTCTGCCCTCCTCCAGGGCGTCCCATTGGGGCACAAACAAATGTATTATGGTCCATGTCTGTTGACCATTTCATTAAATTACGTAAATGACTATTCATTCATGATTTCTACACTCGTTCTAAAAGTTCTGTCGCTTGGCCCGTCTCGGTCCCACACCAACACAGCGTCCTGAAGCCATGGAAGTGTCCAGGGGGGTCCTCACTTTAAGATAAGATAAGATATACTTTATTAATCTCACACAGGAGAAATTTACATGTCACATTGGCAAGGATAGGAACACTCAGGATTGTGCAAAAAGTAAGAAATGTGCAACGTGTTAATACAAGACATATGTACAAAAAAGTGGCAATCAAGAAAGAAGTGTCAATAGTAGTGCAGGTTTTTCAGTCTTAATGCAGTGACTTAAAGTGACTTGTTGTACAGTCTGACAGTGGTAGGGATAAAGGCCCTGCGTTTGCGCTCCTTCTTACACTGAGGGTGCCTCAGTCTTCCACTGAAGAAGCTCCTCAACTCCTCTACAGTCCTGTGCAGTGGGTGGGAGGTGTTGTCCATAATGGAGGTGACGACTCCGTGAGGCTGATCAAGTTCGCGGACGACACCACCCTCATTGGACTCATCTCCAACAATATTGCCTAGTAAAAGTGCGTGTGTGCGTGTGTGTGCGTGTGTGTGCGTGCGCACATGCCTGTAGGGGCCAATGGCACAGCCTAGTTGCCTCGCTTCTTTCAGACTACCCCAGGCCATAAACTAGTATTGTGGCTCTGGCCAAAAACCTAGTTTATCAACTCTGTAAGGAGTGAAAGAATAATGTGAAACGACCCTGAGTGTCGCTAGATAAAAACCTTATTCCTCAGTCCAAGGTAAGTCCATTTGATTAGACTGAAGACAAGACAAACAGTGAAGACACTGTCAGCAGCTTTGACATCACTGAGAAAGGCACACAGATATCATCACACAGATATCATCACATGACAGAGTTCTTATTAAAGTCATAGTATATTCATCATGTCATGAGCACATAAGAAACACTCTGTGACAGCTTTAACTGAACCTGTGTCATCATGAAATATGTTACAAGTATGTTTCTAGATTTGTGTTCCAGTTGGATACAGGAGTCTTCTGCACCCACCATGTCCCAGTGAGTATCTTTGAAACAAGTAGTGAACTCATGAATGAAAGTCTCAGTCTTTTCCAGGATTAGGTGTGTTTTCACAGATAGATGTGTCCCTGATGGAGCTATCCATGGCATCATCCACACTGTACTGCAGTGAAGCACCACTAGAGGGAGCCCTGATCCTCACTCTACACAGTGAGAGGCCAATCATACCCCGCCAAATGACATGGACCATGAGGAACTGGTGAGCAGGACTTTTATATTTTGTTTTATTGTGTTTATTTTGTGTTTGAATACAGAAGAATGTGGGACTTAAGGCATGGTATACTTTATTGCCCCCCATAGGGACAAGTGACAAGTGACCTCTGTGTTTGGGCCACAGTGGTTGCTGCAGTGAAGCGTCCAGGGACCCATCTCCAGATGTCGATGTTCAGCTACAGCTGCTGGAGCATTTTTACCAATAGCACCCGGATGAAACCCTTCCAGACACAGAGAGGCCTGTCTCGACAACCTTCTTGCTGTGATGCTTGAGTGCTACCCACTCACCCACTGTGCTGTCATGAACATATCATAGGCTGAATTAATGTGTTTTCATCTCTGCCACCTTTTCTACTTTTGTCCTTCCAGCTCAAGCCACTGGTAGTCCAAGGAAACAGATGACACACATTCGTAAGTCAACGCCTGGAGATAATGAACGTTCAGGCGCTTTTTGCACATTAGAACATCGAGACACACAAAATTTCTAGTCGTCCAATTGTAGGATGTATCCTCGTGAGTGTGAGCGGTGGATGCGGCTGAAAATCCGAGCAAGAGATGAACAAATCCTGCTCTACAAAGAGTTTTGAACTGGTCCCAAGTGAGAAGGTCTTCAGTCTGTGTCCTCTGCTGCGGAGAAAGATGCCTTGTCCTCTTTAGGTAGTGGACAGGTCCTTCCTCAATGTGGATGTGAAGCTATTTAAAGATCACATGTGACAATTGTCTGGGTCTGGTTCACAGTTGACCTGCAGTGATGCTGTCGCTGTATCGGACTGTTGTGGTGAAGAGGGAGCAGCGTCTGCAGTCAAAGTTCTGGACTCAACCTTAGTTCCCAACCTCACGTATGCTCATCATGAGCTTTGATGAATAACCCACAGGACAAGCAGTCGAAATGTGTTTCCTTCAGAGTAGAGCCGCTGCTCCTCCATGTCAAGAAGAGCCGTTTGAGGGGGTGAGGGAGGGCACATCTTCAAAATAGATTTTATGTGGATTTTGCACAATATGTGCCAGACACAAATGATCATGTAATGAGCTGAATTTAATTTGTTTTCATTACAGGAACCCGAGACCAGTGTTGGAAAAGTGACCTTCATCCTCTCTGCCACGACTGAACTCGTCCCAAGTGAAAAGACCTCCTGAAGGCCTGGGACCAACGGTGAGCTGTGTGTGAGAGGTGTCAGAGACACAGGGAGAGGAGGGGAGGGCCTCACACTTTGTTGCTTATACGAGCGGTTTCATTGTGGGTAATTTGGGATTAGGAGGAACAATGTCAGAGCTGAGAATGGAGTTTATGGATAGTTGTGATGAGTGAGCAGGCTTTCAGGAGTGGAGTCCATGTGACGAGTGCTGGGTTTCATACTGCAAAGGAGGCAGTGTTTTAGAGAGCAGAGAGAGGGGAGGTAGATGATGGCTACAATGTATCTAATATGATGTTATTATTTCTGTTGTAGAACCACACGTCATGAAGAAATACCACTGTCCCGGCATGTGCCTTCAACAAATCAGCCACAACCAACCATGTGACTCCCCACAGTGACTCACATACACAAACCAGCAATTATACAACAACAGCCAATGCTGGTCCTTGGCTCGCGGATGGCAGAAGGCTGTTAAAGGAGCGAAACCCAGAGACAGGAGCCATTGCCTTTGGACCTGCAAGATGAACTTTAGTGCCTTCTCCGCCTGGCAGAGTGTAGTTTAAGAAGACACCTGGAACATTGGGGCCTCAACCCCATTATCTTGCTGTACACTGAAATGCTAATGGGGATCCAAAAATCTGCAGTGATGATCAAAGCAGTGTAGCAGCCAGGGCAAGTAGGCCAAATAGAGTTGATATGAGGCTGCCACACGTCAAGGCTCCTCAGTAAACTCCTCTATGATCTCAGTGCTCATCTTCATACCCTCAGAGTCACAATTCCCACTCTCTTGGATTCTGCTGATTGGCTAGAGGACAATCTGGAAGTGCAGGGAGACAGTGTTATGCCCTCAAAGAGAGAGAAGTGGTTTCATGATATGATTGAAGCCCTTGTAGACTCCTGAACCATTCCATACGTCTGCATCCATTCTCCTGAGCACCAAGGAAGCTTCAGCCCCACAGAGCCACACCCCCTCACCTGACCACAGCCCACAGTGCACTGGTGTAGAACACGAGGATGGGGAAAGCGCAACAGAAGACGTCACCAAAGAATTCTGTTATATTAAAAAGCAAAGAAATCAGCTTCCACTTCGGTTGTTGTTGACCTTTATTTCTTATTAAAGTTATAGTATGTTGGTGTTGAAGAGTAGCGTTAGTTCTTAGCAGTAGAGAGAAGCCACTGTTAATAATTGTTCCTCTGGGGTCAAGAAGAGTTCATTTGAAGGGACCCAGACTTTGTTTTGGAGTGTGTAGCACTTAGAAGGGTTGGGATGGAGACAAGTAAAGCCCTATAATACACCTAACCCTTACACAATTCAATTCAAATAACTTTATTTCTCTCGTGTGAGGATTCGATAGTGTAGCAATATTTGGGCCAGTATTTTATATTATTGCGATTTTTAACATTCTTAATTTAAAAGACTTCAAAAAACGTTACAAACATTGAGGAAAATAAGACCCTTGTCTCTGTGACATTTATCATGGTCTGTCACAACAAGCACAACAAAGTTTGGAATAATATATTTGTATTAAATGTCAAAATTTCTAGCTTTATATTTAAAATAATTTGCAAATTGTGACATATATTCACTTATTTATTATTATGACAGTTTTGGTCCATCCTAGCATTGTTTTTCTATTAAATCGCACCAGTAATTTTGTTGGACCTTTCTATAATAAGATTGGACATTGTAAGAATGACTTTATTATAAATGTATTTAATTCCATTTCATTATATATATTTGTAATTATTTAAAATGAATGCTATTTGTTTATTGTTATATGATCTTATGTATTTCCTTATCTTCGCTGCACTGTCGCTCTCCGGTCGGACGGGGGCGCTGCAGAGCTCGTACTTCAGGCACAAACTGAAAGTGCTGCGCTAGTGTGGAGCTAAGCTAACTCTGCTTTTTGAAACAGGTACTGTGTTCAGTGTGTGCATTTATTTACTCTACTTTAATACGACAGGATTATGTACACTGTTTACGGGTCTCAGTGTTGATTTGTAGTAATTTGGAGTCTTTTAAAGCGGCTACAGAGCTAAGCTAATATGCTAGCTGTTAGCATCTCCATATAATGCAGATTCATTCTGCCGGTCTGCTCCTGTCCCACTGGCTGAATGTGTTTGATCTATGACACAGATACTTACAGTGGAATAATCACCGTTTTTACTGACAACAGAGCTGCAAAGATACTTGTGAAGTGTTAAAAGTGTATGATATTGTTTCTGACAGCTTTTGTTTTGATCCCACAGCACAAGACGTACAGAAAAAATGGTAAGGATCTTCTTATACATATTATTTTGTTTATGTTGTTTCACTGTTCAAACTGTTTATCGTCCTTTTCTTTTTAGTCTCGAAGATATGATTCCAGAACAACGATATTTTCCCCTGAAGGTAATCCGTGATCTTACACGTAACAAAATAATAATAATACATCAAACTTTGTTGGACACTCAGACGCTTCACATGTTGTTTTATTTGTAAGATTGTTGCGTATGAAAGGTAAGGTTAGTTTATCTATGATCGTACACGCAACATGGTCACATGTTTATTTGTAAGAATGTATTGTCTGCCACTGATCAGTCTCCAGCTCATGGGAAACACAGATCTGGATCTGAATCTCTCTTTTTCTCTCAAAGCTCAGAACATATTTTAGACAATCAAGCTTCTCCTTTAGGGGGGTTAAACTGTGGAACTCTCTCCTCACTGGGATGAAACTACAGACTAACATGACCATATTCAGTTGAGTGGTTCTCACTTGTAAATTGTGTTGTAAAAGCCCCCTGTGGACAAGTGTTGAAAATTAGCACCTGAGCTATAACACAACTCTATGTGTCTCTCTTGCTTTCTTTCTCTCTCTGCATGTGTGTATATCTCTCTCCTGTCTCCCAGGGCGGCTGTACCAGGTGGAGTATGCCATGGAGGCCATTGGACACGCAGGCACGTGTCTGGGGATCCTGGCCAACGACGGCGTCCTGTTAGCAGCCGAGAGACGCAACATCCACAAGCTCCTGGACGAGGTCTTCTTCTCAGAGAAGATCTACAAGCTCAACGAGTGAGTGGCACCTCTGCTCATTGTAGTGTATATCCACTGGCTTTTGGTTTATCTGTCTATAATATTGGATCACTGGTCTAAACGCGAGGCCCAGGCAAGAGAGAGGCTCACATCCTCATCTTGATTTCAGAATTTAGACATTTTTCACATTTTCAAAGAAGCAGGTTATCGACTTCTTCTTTCTTTGGTCAAATTTTAAATTAGCCCTCACTAATTAACAGCTGTATAATTTACAACATTACATCTAACTACAAACACTGGATAGCGTTTGTTCCTCACAGCCAAAAGATCCTGTGTTCGATTCCCACCTCCAGACCTCTCTGTGTGGAGTTGGCATGTTTCCCGGTGTCTGCGTAGGGTTCCTCCAGGTGCTACAGTTTCCCTTACAACTTACAAACATGTACAATAGGTCTGGCTTGTGCCTCCTGTAGGTGACCCCATCTCTGTGTGGAGTCAGTGACAAATGCAAAACTTGTAAAGCGCTTTGTGACTGCTTAGTAGAAGGCTAATGTAAAGTGTTATCCTTTCTTTGTCTTGCTTTGATCCTTTGGAAGTGTCCTTTTAGTTCATGTGTGTGTTGTGTCGTGACAGGGACATGGCCTGCAGTGTGGCTGGGATCACGTCAGATGCTAACGTCCTCACCAACGAACTGCGGCTCATAGCACAGAGGTAAAGTCTTAGCATCTACTAAGAGGAGGGTGGACAACTAATCACTGGGTTATTGTTTATTGGGGATTCCCATTAGATTCCACCAATGTGTTTAAGCTTACTGATACGGTATGGTATGATTTATTTTGTTACAAGGAAATTGTAGAATAAAGTTTAGCCAAGAGGACAGATAAATTGTACTAGGTTGTAGCAGCAGCGCTTATTTACACCTGTAGTCCCTGAGCAGGTTGTTTTTAAAACGGTAAAACAAAAGTAATAGGAATAGGATACATGACCGTACATTTATCACTCTCTCTTCTCTTTCTTGCTCTCCTTCTCTCTTTCTCTTCTTTCTTTCGCTTTCTTTCTCTTTTGTTCACCTTTCTTTTTCGTTCTTTCTCTTTCATTCTTTCTCTTCTCTCCTCTCTCTTTCTCCCCATATTAAATACAGAGACTGGTTCTTGACTGGTGAGATGTAGGACCAGCCTTTCGAATCTTCACTGCAAAAATATCTGAGAAAAACGTATAGTCTATAATACTATAACATTTTCATACTTACAGCTGGGGAAGATTTCTTGTAAATAATTAATTTTGTTAGTCCCAATGGAAAGAGTCTTGTTCAAATCACTCAATGCTGTCTTAATGTCAGATGTTAATTATTATCTTTTGCATACTTGTAAGATCCCTGTGAGTCACTATTTGACAAAGTGAGGGTGGTCTTCTGTTTTTCACTTTTCTGTTTGAAATAGTTGACCTAAAGATGTGACTGAGACCAAAAACACATGCAGTTTTTATGAATCTTCCTAGAGTTGCTTGTTGTTCTGTAGTTTGAAAGTATGGTACCTATACTCCTGCTGTCTGTTGTCAGGTACCTGCTGCAGTACCAGGAGCCCATCCCCTGTGAGCAGCTGGTCACGGCTCTGTGCGACATCAAACAGGCCTACACGCAGTTCGGAGGTGACGTCCTTTCTCACGCCTTTCATTGTCACAAGCACAGAAATTCAACTCAATATAAATCACAACAGTAGTTTTCAAGGACTTAACAAAGCTGTGGATTCACCATCGCAGATCAGAGAATCAACAGTTTAAACACAGGAAATGCAATGATTAAAAACTCCTGTCTTTTGCCATACGTCTTAGCAGTCCATATAACGCCAAGCAAATAGTTGATATAGTAATAGTTTGATCTCCATCTTTCCAAATGCTGCTTGCGTCTGTTAAATTCACCTGTATAATTTGTCTTGACAGGGAAGCGTCCCTTTGGCGTCTCTCTGCTCTACATGGGCTGGGACAAACACTACGGCTTCCAGTTGTACCAGAGCGATCCCAGCGGGAACTATGGAGGCTGGAAGGCGACCTGCATCGGCAACAACAGTGCGGTAAGCTCCAAAATACACACGTGGAGTAAAGAGAACCACCTCCAACTGAACACATGTAAAACATGTGAACTTGTCTTTGATTTTAGCTGTAATGGGTCTCGCATGTTATTGATAATTCACAAAGAAAGGAGAGCTCTAAAAGAGGGGAATCTTAAACCCAGATCTTAAAATAATCAGTGACTCTTCTGGACCCCGGAAAAGTAATGTTCCAGCTTCTTCCCTCTGGCAGAAGATCTTGTTGGCTAAGATGCAGAACATCTGGATATGATAACGGCTTCTTTCCACAAGCTGTTATCAGTTTAACCCTGTGCTACCCTGGGGTCAAAATGACCCACCACAGATGATTCAAAGTGGAAGAAACATACCCCAAATTAGGGTCTAAATGACCTAGAGCTGGTTAAGAAAGGAAAATTCCCAAAAATTCAGCTCAAAAGAATAATTTAGAGTTTTTTTTAATCACTGGCAGCACAAGGGTTAAACAAAGCACTTTAATGATCTTTACTTTTATTGAAGCAGTTTTTGTTGATTGTTTTCACAGTGACAATTGTTTTGAACTTTTTAGCAAGTATTTATGTACTTGTCTGGTGCACACTGGGGACTTTTGCACATGTATTCCAATGTGGTTTTACTGAAAATGACAAATAATCTGATCTTGCTGCTGCAGGCTGCGGTGTCGATGCTGAAGCAGGATTTCAAAGAGGGAGAGATGAGTCTGTCCTCAGCTCTGGCTCTGGCCGTCAAAGTCCTCAACAAGACCATGGACGTCAGCAAACTGTCTGCAGAAAAAGGTAGCGCCGTCTTTTTACACTTGACTTGTCTTTGAAGCACAAAAGTCTCCTTATGCTCTGTGTAAATTGGATTACTTACTACACTGACTGTTAACTCGTCCGTATCAATAAGTATATCCATGTAAACATGATTTTCATGGTTCAAGTTAGCCTGGCTAACAGAGCCCTAATTATCACTGCTGAATACAGTGGTTTGCTTAACAATTGTTCATAGCTGTTATTGTCTCCAGCTGTCGATCATATGCGTCTACACATATGTGCCAATCGCCTAAAGTCACCCCCATCACACGTGTTGCGTGACAGAAATGGAAAGGGAAGAAGCAAATAATATTAATGTTTGATGATTTTTCAATGAGGCTGGACAATTTCTGATGTTTTTTGCAAACATGAGGGAAGATGGATTGCCACTTTTTATTGTACATAATATATCCTCCATTTAACATGTTTGCACATTTCTTTCTTTTGGCACAATCTTGAGTCATTCTATCAATAAATCAATCTATTGAGATCAATAAAGTCGATCTTATCTTATGGAGTACTATCTGCTGGATCTGTAAATTTGTCGTCCCCAAATCCATGCCAACGTTTCGGTCTGAGTTCCCAGACTGTTGTGCAGTTTGAGATGATTTGAGCTCACACAGCGACATGACAATTCCTAGTTCCAAAAAAATCATAATATTGATTCATTTTAGTTTATTGGTCAAATAGTTGAACACTGTTCTGAAAGGTTAGATCCCAGCTCACACGAGGCCTCCAGAACGCCGTTCCGTTCTCACAAATCCGTCCAACGTTGTGTGTTTTCAGTGGAGATCGCCACTCTGACACGGGAGGACGGCAAGACCAAGATCAAAGTGCTGAAGCAGAAGGAGGTGGAGGAGCTCATCAAGCGTCATGAGGTGGAGGAGGCCAAAGCAGAGAAGGACAAAAAGGACAAGGAGCAGAAGGAGAAGGACAAATGAGCTGATCGTACTTTACACTGTGTTTGTTTTGTCTTTTACATTAAAAGTTCCACTTGTAACAGCCGCGTGTCACTGCTTCATCACTCTCATAATAATGTTTTATTTATATGGCGCCTGTATGGGCACTCGAGGTCTTCTTACAAAAGGTACATACGGTTAGAAATGGGCTAGGTCACAGTGAAGAGTCTGAAGAGATGGAGGAGGAGCTCAAAGAAATACGGAGGTGGTGAGGTTGTTAAAAAATGTAGAATTAATTAAAAGTGGTAGTTTTGCGGTGAATATTGACGTATATAAAATGCCTTGGTCGCCTATTGCCAGAAACTATTAATAATAATAAATGAGAATCACTTAGGCAGCCTTTAAAATAGTCTTGCGGGTCAAATATGGCCCACTAGCCGGAGTTTGACATGCCTGCATTAAGGTATTCAACATGATGAAAAACGTAAGAAAAAAAAGAAAGGTGTGTGACAGTGGAATTACATGTTGGCCTTCAAGAGGCTGATTGAAACATGAATGTTAGTATTTACCTGTTTTATACCACTTTCCAGGCTTGGAAGTTTTAAAAATGTTGACGGTTGCTCTCGCCAATTATGTTTTTTCTCAAACTAATTAAAACGTATGGTACAGGCACAAATGTCAGTGTTTTCAACTTGATGAAACCTGGAGCTGCTGTTTCAGAATCCCATTTAGTGTTCGAGAGAGGAGGTATTTGCAGTCAATCAATGTAATGGGAAACTGAATTTGTAAGCTGTGATTGTTGAAACGTTATAGATCATAATAAGTGTCTTCATTGATAAAGACATGTCTGAGTAATGGTTACGCAGATGGAACTATACTGCAAATATGAATGGATGGAACCATGGTCTACACCGTTCTGTAGTACCAGTATCTGACCCCTAGATGGCGCTAGTGCTCAGTGAAAAGTTTCATGATGGAAAACTGGGCCCGTAGAATTCCTGCTAAATAAGAATATTGTACTCATTTACAGTTAATCACCATGAGACAATCCAAGAGCAGACTTTGAAGGGTATTATTTAAAGTTACTCAGACAGAACTGGACAGAACTAGTCTGATGCAGGGTTGGGACTGGGAGAATAGTTACAGTATTAAATTAGGTTCTGTATTTCCTTACAAACACGAACATTTAAACTCTACTACAAGTACTTAGGTCAATAAGAAACAAAATGTTTTTATTTTTTATTTTTTAATGTCAGGGCTTCCTCTTTGTTGTTAAAAATACAATTGGACACTGAGGAGTTTATATTTTCAACCTGGTCTGTAAAAGTGCTTCAAAATAACTGCCACTCATGAAGACTTACAGATCCAAATGTTGGAAACTAGCTGAATCAATGTGTGACAAAAGAATAACATTGTTTTATCTTTTATGTACAAATGTGAACTTAAGGTCCTCCCCATTTGGCAAAACATTTCATTCATAAATGCCATTTCTTTCAAAACTATTCTGAGCTTTGTCCATTGGAATAATAAGTTCAAATTATTTAATAAAATCCTCCTGTATACCTTTTTTACATCAACAATGTTAGACTTTATTTCAGACACATGGTCCATGGATAAATCTGGATCGGCTTTTTGGTCGTCTACTGCTTTCTGCAGCCAATGCAGAGGTTCTTTTAATTGTTAATTTAAATACAGATGGGCTTGGGGCTCATGTTAATGGAGAAGTTAGCAATTAGCAATGTTATAGCCTGAACAAGTTTCTTCAAAAATAATCAGAAGAAAACACAAAATATAATTTACTTTAGAGGGTTTTCTGGACATGGGGCAACAGTAGCTCAGTTGGTAGAGCACTGTCCTTTGAGCCTGAAGGTCGTGGGGTCAAGCCCACCATGGAACTGAAGAAGATGACATAGTCTGGGATCGCGTCTTAAATTCAGACAGAAGACATGTTTTATTGTCGATGGTAGAGACAGCACGAACAACAGAAACAACAGAATGCAAGTGTATTATACAGAGCGGAGGCATGGAGACCTCCAATCAGCAGCTTCCACGGTGCCATGTAGCTTGGCCTTCAGATCGACAAAACAAGGGAAAAGTACAGGCTTCTGCACATTGATAGAATGATGAGTTTAACTATAACAAAAGTTGCTTAAAAGTGTTATGAAATCTCACAGAACCTTCTCCACCGACTCCCACTGATGTCTGCTGTCGTTATGTCCTTGGGCAAGACACGTTGCCTGAAGCCCCCGCTGAACAATCAAGGCTGTATCGTCCCTTAGGAGCAGCCATCCTCCTGTGGACTCACTCCCTGCAGCAGGATCAGTGAGCGGCTGGTACTCAGTGAATCGGTTGCAGCTTTGACTGCCACCCCCTCAACCCAGAAATGGATTTAGGGGAAGAAAATGGATAGATGGATGGTTTCTGGACACTGTTGATGAGGATTAATTTTATTTACAAATAAATATGTTGTGTTTGTACTTTGGGTTGATTGTTTGAGTATTTGTTTGTTTGAAAACTAGCTTAAACTTTGGTATAAAATGACATATTAGCACACAAGAAGTTAAGGCTGCAATAAATGTTTTAAATAGGGTTTGCTTTATTAGACATAAGGCAAGAGCACACAACAGGTAAACCTCTACCTTTGACAACAGGACTTCTCTGTGCCCGGGTTTAATAATAACATTCGAACAAAGACTATGTAAATGTGTGTAATCTGTTTTGAATAACAAGGCCCTCAGAGCAGCATCGATACAGACATGCTACAGCTCATTATAAATCTCAAAACCTCCTCTGGCATTGATTTTGTTTTACTCAAGCAGCACTGAGATAGTCACAGTGCAGCTACAAAATACAAGCTGTAGCCATTAGCTGTAAACTAGTGTCCCAATCTGATCTCATAGATAAGCAACACTATTATTATGTACAGTAATACCTCTGACGACATCTAGAAACAGAAAAACACATAGGCAGAACGTTAAGTTTACAGCTGGTCTTTTATGGCTCCATCGTAACCGCCTCCAAAAGCCAACACTAATGAAAACCTCTCAGTGCATACATTACACACAGGCCTCTTATGTCTGCATATCTCCCACTTACAGAGGGACGCAGGCCTCGCTCTGATTGGTGCAAACACAGAATGGCCTGATTTCAGCACTGGGATTAAACACTTCAGCCGGAGGGTCTTCTGGCTGCCAAAAATCTGAACACCCAATAAGGCTTTGTGAGGCCCGGATTATCCTGCTTACCAGCCACTTTTCTGACACAACAGCAGGTAGCAACTACACAAGACACGCACTAGAGGCTGGACCCTGATGCAGAGTAGGCTGGATCCTGATTTACAGTAGGTTATGGACTGGTGGCTAATGTATCCCACGGATCTATCATAATGTTTTACCCTCACAACAGCCGATCCCGGTCAGAATGGGTCCTTTCTGAGTGGAGTTTACATCTACTACCACTAAAATATGTACAATAGTCCTGGGTGAATGAGTGTGTGGTTGTGAGTGAGACTGTGGGACGATGGATGGAAATCAGCCCAAGGATATAATCCGGAGTGGTGTGTTCAATAACATGCACTGTCCCAACCAAATAAATTAAAATATAACACATCTGGATCTGCTTTTACATTTATTCTATGTAATTGTACCCCCCTCTACTGTTGTGATTTTCTGCCTAAATCACAGTGGCTCACAGTTGATAGAGCATTGGTCTTTGAGCCTGAAGGCCGTGGGTTCGATCCCACCACGAGACCTCCTCCACCGACTCCCACTGATGTCTGCTGTCGTTGTGTCCTTGGGCAAGACACTTAACCCCACTTTGCCTGAAGCCCCCACTGAAAGATCAAGTCTCCTGTGGACTCCCCACCTGCAGGAGGATCAGTGAGGGGCTGGTGCTATGTGTGCTGGGTGCAGCTCTGACTGCCACTCCCCTGACCCAGCAATGGATTAAGGGATAGAAAATGGATGGATGGAAATTACAACAAAGTACGTGCATGAAGCCACTGGGCTTTTCCTCTGCATTTAATCCATCCTTCATTGTCATTAGGTCCTCTGTCAGGAGAAGTGGTCGCCGTGTGAGTGTGTCCTATTGTAAAATCTCCTGATGTTGATTCTTTGCATGGTTAGGAGCAGAGCTGGATGATTTTGCCTATTGTACATGTTTTATGTGGTAGGAGACACTGGAGCACCCAGAGGGAAACTATGCAGACACTGGGAGAACATGCAAACCCCATTCAGAGTGTACTGTAGTGCAAAGCTCTGAGGGGTCAAATATCCACAGTGATGACACTTTAGGGTGTGGGCTAAAAGTGAGAATGGACACACAGGGAAGTTTCAAGATTCTTTGACGTAATGAGGTTTTCTCTGGGAACTCCCTGAATACTTGGATACTCCAGTACAACACAGAGACTGAGGACATTATGTGTCAGGCAGAATGGTTCAGTTCATGTAAGATGGACTGGATGGTCATTTGTTGGTCGAGCCGTGTCTCTGCGTGGTGCTTAGTGGGGCATCTGTCGGAGTGTGTGTGCATTTGGCTGCTGCTTTGTGGCGGTGAGCTCCATGCCCCAGATCTGAGGCCTGTGACGGGACAATAGTGACGTGAACGGGTCGTCCCACTGCGTCCTCTGGCTGTCTGACCTGAGAGGCACTCACACTGGACTAACATGCATTGGAGATCTGTGGGAATGTGTTTGCAATGCATAAATATTACAAGATGATAAACAAGATTTTTAAAAAAAAGACGTAATCCATCCATCCATTTTTCTTCAATTTTGTCTGTCACCGTTCGTAGGAGTAACAGTCTAAACAGACCTCAGACTTCCCCAAGACAGACCTGGCAAAGTGCGGCCCCATCCTGCCTGATTCACATTTCAATACTCAATGAAAGCTTGAAAGTTATAATGTGCTCCCACGGCATGTTATCTATTCTGTTCTAATTTTATGAACGCAAAATATTATTAGTAATAACTTGCTCTAAACAAAATGTGCAGGACTTCTTTAATGTTTGTTAAATCAATAAAAAATATATAATCAGATCTGGCCCTCGACAATAGGGCAATATCCCAATGGGGCCCCTCAAAGAAAACAACAAAGTCAAACAAAGACATAGTCCCTCCAGTGTGTCCTAGGTCTTCTACTGGGTGTCCCCCGGTGGGACATGCCCAGAACACCTCCCAGGGGCGCAAAGTAGACATTCGAGACAGATGCCCAAACCACCTCGACTGGCTCCATGCACATGGAGAAGCAGCAGCAGCTCTACTCCAAGCTCCTCTCATGTGATTGAGTGAGACTGCTTGAATCAGCAATCTCGTCCATTCGGTCTGTTCCCAAAGCTCATGACCAGGGGTGAGGGAACATAGAGTGTAGATAGAGCTTTAACAGCAGAGACCTGAGAGACTGGACCGCCCCCTGAGAGACTGGACCGCCCCCTGAGAGACTGGACCGCCCTCTGAGAGACTGGACCTCCCCCTGAGAGACTGGACCTCCCCCTGAGAGACTGGACCTCCTCCTGAGAGACTGGACCGCCCCCTGAGAGACTGGACCGCCCTCTGAGAGACTGGACCTCCCCCTGAGAGACTGGACCGCCCCCTGAGAGACTGGACCGCCCCCTGAGAGACTGGACCGCCCCCTGAGAGACTGGACCGCCCTCTGAGAGACTGGACCTCCCCCTGAGAGACTGGACCTCCCCCTGAGAGACTGGACCTCCTCCTGAGAGACTGGACCTCCTCCTGACAGACTGGACCTCCTCCTGACAGACTGGACCTCCCCCTGAGAGACTGGACCTCCTCCTGAGAGACTGGACCTCCTCCTGAGAGACTGGACCGCCCCCTGAGAGACAGGACCTAGACAGGACCTCCTCCTGAGAAAGGACTTCTCCTCAGAGTTCATTATGTCCATTTGTAAAATTTGAGATACCGCAGTGAATATTCAAAACACTTTTTAAGGGTCAAAATGAATTGCGCCCTTGATAATGGGACTGTCTGTCCGTGTCCGGACTCATAGGCTGGGCCCCTCCCCAGCCTGGGAGCCTCCTCAGACCTCCTTCTACAGCCTGAGTCCTGGCAGTAGAGTCCAAGGAAGTTTTTGTTAATAAAGCATTTTCTGTGTTCAAACTGTTGTTGGTGAATCAACAACTTTATAAAGTCCTCAGAGACGACTGCTGTTATTATTTTGGGCGATACACAAATACATTATATTGAATTATTACCACACTATTGCTGTATCGATCATAAACCCCTCTAACACACTGTAAAATAAAGCAAAAGAAAACACGAGTTCCAGTTAAACTTTAATTCATTTTCTTTTAAAGCCATCAGCATACAATAGGACACACTCATACTGTGTGTGTGTGCGGTGGGACACACACTCACATACTGTGTGTGTATGTCCTGGGACTCAAAAATCATTCAGTGCGTGCCTTCACGACCAGGATGGAAGTATTTGCTGATGTTATCTACAATATTTCACTGGTTTGAAAAAATGTCTCATGAGTTTCAAGTGAAAGGTGCTGGAATCTTCTCCTGCACAGATATGGCTCGTCACCATGTTATATACAGTGCGTTAAAGTACTGTAAATATTTATGATTTCAAAGCCCTGTATTTTTTCTATCTTGGTTTGTAAAGCCCTTTTAGTAGCTTGGTGAATGAACTGTGCTATACAAATACATTTGCCTTGCCTACAAGAAGTCATTTTTTGCTGTGTGTTTTTTTTGCAGGGGCACAACTCATTGGCAAGATATTCGTGCTCATAAGTTAGACATTTCTTCAAACCAGTGTCAAATTGTAATTCACTTCTATCCTCGTCATTAATGGTCCATATGATAACAACAGGACATCATGAACCTGACTGGACCTCAAGAGCCTGACTGAACCTCAAGAGCCCGACTGGAACTCCCATTAGAGCCTCCATTAGAGGTGAAGTCAGTGGAAGGCGAGGCTGTGGACGATCCTGCACCACTCGGCCCTCTTCTCTGTGATGTGCGCGGGGGTGAGGTGGGTGAGGCGGGCGCGGCGTGGGCTGTGCTCCCCCCTGGCGGCCTCACACAGAGCCTCGCACACACACACCACGTACATGCCGCAGTCGTAGCTGTTCTGCTGCGACGGACACTGCTCCTCCGCGAAGACACTCTCCCCGCCGCAGCCCACGAACGCCTCCAGCTGGTGCGCGATGCGGCGGGCGTGCGGCGAGTTACTGCCGCGCTGCAGACACACATGGGGAGACAGCGGGAGACAGTGAGGGCTCGAGAGAAGAGAGAGAGAGAGTTCAGGGTGTGATAGAATGTGATAGAAGCCTGAACCCTGAAAATATTCCCAAATGATTGAAGACTGTGCCATCAGTTTTTGTCAAACTTGAAATGTCCATAAACTCTGGGATCACTGCTAATCAAGCACATATTTAGCTCAGACCCATATCTGTCTGGGGCGAAAAAAAGGAAAGGGACTGGCCTCCTGCTGGGACTCTGAGGAGCACAGGGACTGGCCTCCTGCTGGGACTCTGAGGAGCACAGGGACTGGCCTCCTGCTGGGACTCTGAGGAGCACAGGGACTGGCCTCCTGCTGGGACTCTGAGGAGCACAGGGACTGGCCTCCTGCTGGGACTCTGAGGAGCACAGGGACTGGCCTCCTGCTGGGACTCTGAGGAGCACAGGGACTGGCCTCCTGCTGGGACTCTGAGGAGCACAGGGACTGGCCTCCTGCTGGGACTCTGAGGAGCACAGGGACTGGCCTCCTGCTGGGACTCTGAGGAGCACAGGGACTGGCCTCCTGCTGGGACCCCGAGGAGCACAGTGAATGGCCTCCTGATGGTCCCAGAGCCAGGGCTGAACTTGGGGAAGCACCGTTTCAGTTTCATGCAGCTGAACAATCTGGAACAGTCTTCCTGGAAATGTGAGACAGGCTTCTACTCTGAAAATACTCAAATCCAGTTTAAAAACAGTTCTGTTCAGCCGCATGATTGAAGGATAGAATCTTCACTCTCTATAATGTACTGTGATTATTTATTATTTTTTCTTGTTTGGTTTAGCACGTTGAGTCACTTTGCATATGAACTGTGCTGTAAAAATAAGTTTACCTTGGTCTGTCTCTACTCTAACCAATGTTATTATTTATGAGCACTTGAGCATTGTCCATCTATATAATGTTATTATTTATGAGCGGGAGTGCATTGTCCATCTATATACTGTCTACGGCCCGCAGGCAGTGTTGGTGACCCCTCATCTATTCTTAATGGATAAACAAGAATATTGTTAAGACATTTTGACTTTCTTGAAATCTACTTTTTCTGCGTGATCCATACAAAATATAAAATCAGGACAACTTAAGAAGCAACATTATTCTGCCATAAAAAGGTAAAGATTTGATTGATCTTCAAGACAATTTCACTTCAAATTTCCTCAAATCAAATCAAGACAAATCCAAATGTAATCTCATCTGTGTCACTTAAAACCACAGTGTCTAAGTTTCACCTGCGAGTCGTAGTGGGAGAACAGGTTGGAGGCCCGGTGGTAGACCAGCAGGCTCCAGTGTGTCCCTCCGGCGGTCTGGTTGGAGTTATCGTTGACGGGGAGGAAGAGCCATGTCCTGGAGGGAAGATCCAGCGGCTCCAAGAACAGGGCCAGCTCCTCCGCACACGAGGCACATTTGATGAACTGCGTCACCTCGGGGCTCACCAAAACCACGCGCTCTTTCAAGTCCCTGAAGCGCTCGGCGGAAAAGTACTCAAAGGCAAACCCGATGACCTGCAGGGACCGACAGAGAGGCTGACCATTCCATTTTGTCCAAAACTATTGCAATATGAGGTATTCTTTGATTACTGCGGTGCGTGAGAGTTTATACACCCTGCTGCCTTGTTCATCATTCATATTTATTTTATTTTATTTTTATCTAAAAGGAGCAGAATGTCAAAATCTGGCCAAAAGTGGTACTGAAACGGTCGGTACTAGATCATATACGGAATCGGGACGAAACCGGAAGTAACAATCCTACTTTCGAATTAGTTTTAGACTAAAAAGCTCTTAAGTGGTGACTGGTTAAGTTTTAGGCGTCTGATTAAGATGGTTATGGTTAGGGTTAAGGTGGTCTGAGTAAGATGGTTAAGGTTAGGGTTAAGGTGGTCTGAGTAAGATGGTTAAGGTTAGGGTTAAGGTGGTCTGAGTAAGATGGTTAAGGTTAGGGTTAAGGTGGTCTGAGTAAGATGGTTAAGGTTAGGGTTAAGGTGGTCTGAGTAAGATGGTTAAGGTTAGGGTTAAGGTGGTCTGAGTAAGATGGTTAAGGTTAGGGTTAAGGTGGTCTGAGTAAGATGGTTAAGGTTAGGGTAAGGTGGTGTCTGAGTAAGATGGTTAAGGTTAGGGTTAAGGTGGTCTGAGTAAGATGGTTAAGGTTAGGGTTAAGGTGGTCTGAGTAAGATGGTTAAGGTTAGGGTTAAGGTGGTCTGAGTAAGATGGTTAAGGTTAGGGTTAAGGTGGTCTGATTAAGATGGTTAAGGTTAGGGTTAAGGTGGTCTGAGTAAGATGGTTAAGGTTAGGGTTAAGGGTGGGTTGGGGTTATTTTATGGGAATGGCTGGTTAAGTTTAGGCATGAATAGGTAGTTTGCTATACTTTCTTCCGCTTCCGTCTCGATTCCGTATATGATCTAGTGCTGACCGTACTGAAACCTCTCCCACTCTCCCTGACTTGGGTTGCCAGATATGCAGACAAATCCAGCTGGGACCATAATATCTGAATAGACAAGAGTTTTGTCAACAACAAATCTATAACCAACACCTTTTTCACAATGACCACAATAGAAATCCTTCTTTAATTCCTTGATTTGACGTTAGTGATTTGAGAATCATAACGATACCTTTTTTAGTTCTGCGGCCACATGTGACTTTCCCAGTGAGATTAACTCAACGTGATGAGTTCTGGCAACCCGGATCACGGACCATTATTGGTAAAACAGTGGAAGGCGGGACATCGAAATGAAAAGAATAAAAAGATTTAGGGGCTGTAAAACTCATTTTGAAATTAAATTATCTCAGCTGACCTACTGTTATCAGTTAGAGAAGTATTGGAAAAGAGCATGTTTTATTAATGCCTTTTGACAGATTAGAGCCCTTTAATGATGACTTGACATGAAAATCTTACATAAGGCTACTTTAACTTTATATGTATTATTTATTTTTGCCTATTTTATTTATTTTTTTGCTTGTTGATGTTCATTCATTAATGTATGACTGCAAAAGAAAACTAATAAAATACATATTCCAAAACACAGTGGGTTTATACACCTGGGAAGTAATATGAATGATTTACAAAAACTACCACAAATAAACAAAATACAGCAGTTCAGAATACAGCAGCTAGGATCTTAACAGGTACCAAAAGGAGGGAGCACATAACTCCGGTGTTAAAATCACTCCACTGGCTCCCTGTGGAGTACAGAATAAAGTTTAAAATCCTACTCTTAACATATAAAGCCATAAATGGCTTGGCTCCCTCTTATCTCCAAGACACGTTAGTGTCGTATCAACCAGGTCGAGCGTTGCGCTCACAAAACGCCAGACGTCTGGTGGTCCCTAAGGTCTCAAAGGTCACTGTTGGTGGCAGAGCATTTAGCTTCCAAGCTCCTTTACTGTGGAATCAGCTTCCCATTTATGTTAAGGAAGCAGATACGGTCTCCACATTCAAGGCCAGGCTTAAAGCACTTTACTTTAATTTAGCATATAATTAGGTAATATATAATATATGGTGTATATATTATATATGTATGCTGTATTATGTTATATTTTATGTTATGTATTATACAATAATGTATTGTGTTATGTTGTATATTATGTTATATATTATGCTGTATGTTATTCTTTATTCAAGGCTAGGTTTAAAACAGTCCTCTTTAGTTTAGCATATGGCTAGGAAGGTAAGACTCGGAGAAGGTTAAACTCCTCAGAGTGTTAGTCAAGCTGCATAGGGAGTCAGTTTGCTGGGAGAAGTATGGTAACTTGAGCACTATCCTCTCCTCCTTCCTACTTTATCTGTTTAGCACTTTTAGGATTCTGACTGTAGTTTGTTCATTGCTATTCACCCGTTGTCCCATTGTCTGTTTCATGGTACGATGACGGGATCTCTGAGCCTGGCCTCTTCCATCTACACCTGCGGACTGCCCCGCCCGACCCGCCTGGGAGTGCTTCAGTCCTGCACCGGACCTGTCCACGTTCAGCGGCCACTGGTCCACGTTCTTTAGCTAGCTTAGGTCCTAGATCATTAGCCTGTCCGTCCGGAGGAGCGGATCCCTTTCTCATATGGGTCTCCCTCCCTGTGGGTTTCCCTAGTTCTCCTCCAAGGTTTCTCACTTTTTCCCACTGGGTTTTTTAAGAGTTTTTCCTTGTCGATGCAGGAGGGTCTTGTTGGACAGTTAGTGTCCAACAGAAAGGATTGGTGATGATCAGGACACTTTAACATTCTACAACATGTATGGACATTTTCTTCTGTGTGTGCTTTATATTCTTCATGTGTTTTAACTGTTGATTCTCTGATCTGTGTTGGTGATTTCAATGGTTTTGTTAAGTCCTCTGAGATGACTTCTGTTGTGACCTAGGGCTATACAAGAATAAATTGTATTGTATTGTATTGTATTGTAAAAACAAGTTGCCATAGGACTCCCAGAATTGCGAAACTTCTGCCAGAACGTCAAATCTGTCATTTTGACTGCTCCTATTCAAACCAATAAAATTTGGAGAAATCCCCCCAAATTTGTTTCTGTTTTTCTAAAGATATATCTATAGATATTTATAGAAAATAAGTAATTCACACTTCTTATTTCTAATACCTTTATTCACTTTTGCAGAATGCTAAAACTGAGGTACTTTAGCACATGTATTCCACTGTGGTTTTACTGTAAATGGCAAATAATATTAAAATAAATGAATTTGAATCTTATACAACTTTAAATACATCAAAAACAGTTTGTTGAACGGCTAATGCTAAAGACAGTGTGTTACAATGGTTATTAGCAGTTGCTCTTCTCTAGTGGAAAACCAAGCTGACTCAGAACCAGGATCAGTCCATAGAAAGGATTCAAGGCCTACAGTGTTTGACTTTATTCAGTTTATTCAGTTTTTGGTGCTTTATGGTGTAGTTCTGTGGAAAGTGGAAATTGCCTTTGGAACATAGTGTATCTATAAATCACTATAAACCATATCTGTGTCAATGACAACCTAACACCCAGGCTGCAAAAGTGACTATAGTTTTTATCTTATGTAATTACAACTACTATGGGGCACTATTGGACAGAGGAAGCTTGCAGTGCGTTTACTAATCCTGCAGATGGCAGCAAAATTTCTTCCTCATGTCTCACTTCAACAAATGGCAGTAATCTTTTAACTCCATTGTGGAAACATGATGCATTTTTTGCTTCTTTCCTTAATGTTGTATTTGAAAAAATAGACACAATTGCAGGAAACAGATGCCATGAGAGAGGTTTGTTGCTACTGAACTCCTGCTCATACGAGAAAATGAATGGACGGTTCCCAGAGTGCATATCATTTGTGATGGCTAAACTCCGGTCAATTATCATTTCCCTAAATGAACTTGGTACAATGGTGTGGTAAGACCAGGCTAAGCCAGGCTAGGTCAGAAGAGGAAAATGTCTGTGGTCATTCACACAACTGCTAACAATGAGTTAAGACAGTTCTTTGTGTGATCGTTCATACTCTCTGATGTGTGTGTGTGTGTCTGATTTGTGTGGGTCTGATGTGAATGTGTATTTGATGTGTGTATGTAACTGATGTGTGTGTATCTATCTGATGTGTGTGTGTATCTGATGGGTATGTGTATCTGAAGTGTGTGTGTATCTGATGGGTATGTGTATCTGAAGTGTGTGTGTATCTGATGTGTGCGCGTATTCATGTGTGTCCGATGTGTGTGTGTGTGTGTGTGTGTGTGTCTGTAACTGATGTGTGTGTGTAACTCATATGTGTGTGTGTGTTTACCTGGTCATTGAGCCAGTGCGGGCCTTGGAGCAGAGCAAGGTCTGAGCGCCGCAGCAGACTGTCCTGAAAGCTCACAACCACAGGGTCCATGTTGCCTCTTCAGTCTGACTGTACCTGGAAGATAGACACACACACACACACACACACACACACACACACACACACACACACACACACACACACACACACACACACACACACACACACACACACACACACACACACACACACACACAAATAGATACACATGCATACAGAAAGACAAACAGACAAAGAGACACACACAGACACACAAATAGACACACACGCATACAGACAGACAGATAGGCACACACCACACACAAATAGACACACATGCACACACACAGACAGACAGACACACACTTGGTTAAAGTTGAAACCAAAATACAGACTGCAGCAGGTTCACATTTTCCAAACAGGGACCACTGCTTTAACTCCGCACAGAGGTTTACTTACATACTGTAGCGATCACGCATGCGCAGATCAGCCAGGCGTTGCAGTGTAACGAAGGCTGAGTAACAGAATAACAGAGTAACAGAGTAATAGAGTAATAAATGACTTGAGTAAGAATGCCTCCGAGACACTTGTTTACGTTCGGCTTTGACCAGTTCCGGTGTTGAGCTGCAAGGTTGCCAGATCTTCAGACGGGAACAAGTGGGCAGGGCTGTGAAAATAGTATTTCGATAAAATAAAATACAATTTATTCTTTTATAGCCCTAAATCACAACAACAGTCATCTCAGAGGACTTAATAAAACCATTCCAGGAATACTGCTCCAGACTTTAGCCGCATACATCTGAAACGCTCACTCTCCATGTCTAGTCCTGGCTCTGGGACCAGCAAGAGGTCTCTTGCTGGTCCCTGTGCTCCTTGAGTCGATGTTGGTCTTCTTGCACAATCTGAGTAATTCTATCAAATGTGACATGTACATTTCTCTATTGTGAGATCAATAAAATAAAGGAAAAAAGTCAAACGAGAAGCAAAGAAAAACAGCTAATTGAAGAATATATTCATTGCCAGTGTTTGTGTGCTGTATTCTTTAAAATCGCATTGAAAGAAATGATAAACGTTATGTTTTATTGTGGCGCCACTTGCGGCGAAGTATTTGTGGAGTGAATGAATGATGACGTGTCCAAAAAACATATTATTAGTTCCAAATCCACAACACATGGCCGATTGTACTTGTGCTTCAAAGCAAGAAGGTCCTGGGTTTCATTTTAACTTTCTGTGTGGAGTTTGTTTTCCCCGTGTCTGCGAAGGTTTCCTCTACCACTGAAAACATAGATGAGGGTTGAATTAGTTCGTTTGTGGGAGTGGAACCACAGATAGAAATTAGATTATAAAAAAATAAAAATAAAAATAAATATAAAAAAGTATATACATTTTTGTCAATCTTCTGTCTTGGCAACCCCCTGTCACGTTGTCACCTCCGTGCGTGCGTAAAAAAAGTGCCCCGCCCGTCCCGCCTCGTGAATGCGCACGCACGGTCGCTGAATGCGCGCTCCCGACCCCGCTGTAGCCACATCGCGGATCAGCGAAGCAGAGAGGAGTCACTGTGATTACGTTACACTACGATACACACCACAGAACCGGGACCACCGGGGGCGAGCGGACACCGGGGACTCTGCGGACTCGGCACACGGACGAGGACGCGTTATAATGGGGATTGCACACGCAGGGACCCGCTAGCATGGAGCGTAGTGGAATATACAGACTGTGACTGCGCTTACTGCTGCTGCTGCTGCTGCTGCTGCAAAAAGACCATCCTGCTGCGAACACGCCTCTACCATTACACTCTACCCTCTGCGTCTGCAGGTAAGCCCTACACGTTGCTTATAATGATATTTTTATTATTTCAAATGCGCTCAACACTGCCTGGTTGAAGGGTCTATAATTTGGCGAGAGAGCTATGGGCTTTGGAGCAGGCAGCAGTCAGCCTCTATCAAAGGCTGGGACTCACTGGGCTGTTCTGCCTTAACCCTCGGATTGCACGTAGGGGTGACAAACAATGACTATAGCTATATTTTTGGACGAGTATTTTTAGTGGATTGCCATATTTAGACACGGATCGTGCAGAATTATAGGGAAGTAATTGGGTATACACCAGAAAATGCCTGTGCCTGTTTGAGTCACTGCTTATGCTTTCATTTGGCAGCAGAATGTCATATGAATAGTGGATTCTATTACTACAGTATAACTATTAGCTCATTAAGCATAACATCCTTCATCTTCATTTTGCTGGCGGATAAATGTAAGAAGACAGACCTGAATAGAGCAAAACTGACTTATTTGAAAGCTTGTAATGATTCTGTCCAATTATAACTATGTATTTGTAAATACAGTGAGTTGCCTGTGCCTTGTGAGTTGTGTTTGTCCTAGCTAAACATATGCAACACCTCTACCTTTATATGAGCAATACCATGTATGATTTCATTTCAATAAGTACAAACGTTATTGTTGATTATGAAGCATATCATCTGGATTATGATTTATTCGATTGTCCATATTTTACACATGTTTTGCCCCTTTTTATTTGGCATTGGCCCTCATAACAGGTTCCCTCTACATCACAAACGGTGCACTGTCAATCTTATCTATCCACCTATCTCTTATTTATCTATATATGTCTGGTTAGGCTATTTGATTATTTGCTTATAGAAGAGCTAAGTGTGAGCTTGCTTGTTGACCACAAAACTCTCTGCATTCCCAGCCTTGTGCATCATTTTGAAGTGGGAAAACAAATCTAAATTGTACTATTGTGACGTAGAAATTGAAAAGGTGAGCTTGCTGCTGGTGTGTGGCCTCGATTTGAATCCAGCCCTTGTTTAGCTCCTGTTCACACTGTGGGATCTGCGTTTAGCTCGCTCTTAAATGTTGAATGGATTGCATAAGTTGTGCTGAGTTGGGCTGCAGTGGGGCCATGTATTATTCAGTGTGGAGGTCAGACAGTACAGCTGAGGAGAGCAGCTCTGCATCGGCCCAGGACTCTCATGGCAGGGGAGGGATGCTGAATCATGCTCCTGGATGTCTTTGGGAAGGGTGCGCTTCTTTGCCGCACTAGGATCGCTGTGTGATTTCAATAATGTAAGAGACCGTCACATTGTAACCTCAAGACAGAATTGTTTCATTTTCCTGACTTCATGCAGAATTTGTTTAGTTTGTTTTGATGAATAAACTGATGGCATCAAGTTATATTCAAAATTACAAGGTATGAAAGAAATTTGCTAACTTTGTTGTACAGTTGACAACCTTTGTATTACGAGCGTACAGAACCTGCTGCCCATAGATACCTGTTTTAACTGGACACAACATAATTTTGATCAGGGGTGTCAAACATGCGGCCCCCGGGTCATTTGCGGTCCGTAAATATGTATAGTGTGGCCCCCTACTGGACATCGATGTGTCATGAGCCCCACTGATAGTGGGCAGATAGTTGCACTAAGTGATAAGTGTGCTGTATTTTATTGTATCGTGTTTGTCGTTATCGCGTCACTGATTGGTTAGTTTTATGTCTTCCAGGTCATTGATTGGCTCACTGCACTAGCTCCTTGTTGTCACTTGGGTTGTCAAACTATTTCAGTCCTACAAATGACCGATACCAATAGGAAAAAATACCAATTTTGATTCTAACATTTTAACTCCAAAGAATGTTATTTTGTATGAGGTCATAAAGGTTTTCCCAAGTTCTTCTGATAAAGTTTAAAATGTAACAAGAAAGAAACCCATTTTATTGTGTTTGAGTGATTGTGTGATGATTAGTATTTTTAATATCTATACTTCTGCTCAGTTTTTTTAACTTCTGCTCAGTTTTTTTCAATTCCCCAAATTGTCGTATGGCATAAATATTTATAGAAAAACTTGTGGCTGAAACATTTAATGATGACAATATGCAGTAATTGCAAGAAAGTGAATAGATTACACCAATTATTATATCCAATCAATTCATCTTTTTTTATAGAGTAATTTTGATACAAATAGTATCAGTGCTTCACAGTTGATAACAGGAAAAGAATCATTCAAATTATACAAGGCAGTAGATCATAGGGCTGGGCGATATGGGTGAAAACTATATCACAATATAAGTAATACATATCGGTCAATAACGATATATGTTGGTTGATTTTCTAATTTCATTTTTTAAACCAAAATAAATACATTTTTGTGTCTGCTAAAACACGTTAGCAGCCCTTGTTTATAGTCACAGGGGAATGAGGCTGGAGGAATATGTTCACAAGCAGTCTCCCCCATAGTTAGTCCTGGTTTAATCCTGGTTTAGTCCTGGTTTAGCTCCTGTTTTGGCTGTTTTCGAGTGTCTTGTGTCCCCGTGACGGCTCCGTGCAGCTCTCTGATAGCCGCACGTGCTTCCTGTTTCGACTTGGAGTAGAAGCCTGTCTCACATTTTCAAGAAGACGGGAAGAAGTCCAGATTTCAGCTGCATAAATCTGAAACGCGGGGTGACAGTCGCTCAGTTTGTTATGTTAAGGGGTAGAAATTGGATGGATGGATGAAAATCGGAAGCGCTGCCTCCCCATGTATGGTCCTGACTCTGGGACCAGCAGGAGGCCAGTCCCTGTTCTCCTCAGAGTCCGAGTTGGTTCATATGGCACTAACATGTCACAGATGTACTTTGAGACCATAGAGAGACACAAACAGAGCTTCTTTAAAGTCTACTCTCTGAGCCACATGCAGAGACCTGAAGACTGGACTGATATGATTGTACTTGCTATTTTCCAATGCATAGAAATTCTTGTTGGCATCGACTGCTGCAGACGTAATTGTGGAGGAGAGATTGAATATTATATTGCACATTATTACATTATATAAATTATAGCGGACAATGACACTAACCAGAGTATTTTAAATCTGACTTACGTTTTTTCATATTCTAATCTATTTAAATTGGACTCGTCGTGCTCTCTAAAAAGGGTTGAAAATGAATGAATGGATGAATGAATGTGCTCTCCCAGTTAAACGCGCTGCGGACGTGCTGCTCATCCTCTGGTCCATGTCTCCCGCTGAGGTGAGCAGAAGCCAGACCTCCTCCTCCTGGTCCCACAGCGCTGGGCTTCCTGGATGTGCACAGGTGATGAGGGTGAAGTGGGCCTGTCCCGTTGGAATGTGGGCCCAGAGAAGACACAGCTGCAACAGACATCCGACACCCGGCCCCTTCCTCCCCCTTCCTCCCCCTCCTCAGGCTGCTATACTCCACAAGATGCAAGGCCCTTTGAGATACACACACACACACTCTCTGGTTCCAGGACTATTGTATTTATTTGCTTACTATCATAAAGCCTAGCGTACATCGACAGAGAAACTGGGGACAACTAGTTGCAAGGCGGCTTTTGGCAACTGAGAGGAGATGGTGGGAGATGATCAGTTGCCAAAATCGGTCGATGTGCGCGCTCTTACAACTGGAGATGATCAGTCGGTCTCCAGTTCCAGTCAGTTGCCCGTGTTCTACTTTTCGGCAACTAGTTGTCCTCAGTTGCCCCGATGTGCGCGCTCCATGCGCCGCTCCAACAACGTGTGTGTATTGCGTGTATTGCGAGCCCGCAACAGTTTATGTCAGAAAACACACTGTAGTTGAGGCCAGTTGCTGTCGATGTACGCGCTGTTATTCAAGAGACTGGCCTGCGACTCAGAGTTGCCCGTTTTCGCCAGATTGTCGATGTGTGCGGGGCAGCAACTCAGAGGCGACGGATATAATCAGTTGCCAGTCCGATGTACGCTAGGCTTTAGTCTGCATATGCGCCCTGATCTGAGGAATATTGAAAATGAGGTCCACTTTTGGTTCTGTGAAGTCTGGTACTTCTGAACGTCTCTGTCTTCCATGCCGTATGTACTCAGACTGGGGATATTTGTTGAATGTAATGTGTTTAAGTTGGCTCAGTTCTCAGTTTGAGTTTGAGAATACTTGGCATCTGCAATAAGGAAACCCTCTGTTTGAAGTAGGACTGTAAAAACCTATCTATTGGCTTGTTGTCTGTCTTGTTGGTCTTATGCCCGTGTGGAACGGGCAAATGTCGTATGCCACCAAATAAGAAACCAAAGGCGTTTTCATACTACAGACCCGGTATTTAAGCCCAGGACCTGAGGGAGTATCACCACAGGGGAAGAGAGGAATGTGTCAAAATAAAGGCTCCAAACAAACTTCTGACTTTCAAAATAATTCTTAACCGACAGGAAATACTTAATTCACCCAAAAGCTCCACAGATTTTTACACTATACAAATGATTGTCCAGTCCAGTGTGTGTCGTTTTAAATCTTTTTTTTACTCTGTGTACAGCAATATTAAGCTGAAAGACGGAAATGTTCTGCACCAGATTATAGCTGCATATTCATCTGCAGTCCCTAACATGCCCTAACAATACAATAACATAAAATCTAATTACACCCCACACACACATACACACACATACAGCATCATGCCAGAACCGCACACTTACACATTGTTATTATTGTTAATAGTTTTACTTTGTCTCGCTCCAAATATTCAATTTTAGCAAAGGGGGAGGAGTAGGGTGCAAAGGTGCATATGTTTTTGTTTACATTTTCTTGTATGTTTTATGGTAATTATTTTTTCTTATTCTTAATTCTCTCTAAATTATTTTGTATGTACGTTTTAGGACCCCCTCAAAAATGAGTCGATTCATCTCAAGGCTTTCCTTAATAAACTTCAACTTGAACTTAAAGGCATCATTGTTGCACGCTCCTTGTTGTCCTCAGAGCCTCCTAAAGCGCTCGGTGTGGAATCGGCCTCAGTCACGTGTCGCCCTCACATGATCCAGACGTGTGGCCCCCGTGATGGGATTGTGCGGTGTGATTGATAGGCGTTCACATGAAGTCAAAGGGACCAGGCCGGTTGTGTAGTGGCGAACAAAGCGACCCTCTCTTCACTGCGTTAAGTCTTCAGGAGGCCTCAAAGACTTTGCATTTCCTCTCATTAACCCTGCAACTACACAATGTGCTTTTACTGTTCGGTTTGTATGAGCAAAAAACTCCCTCACTGTCACTCGTGGAGGAAAGATGAGGAGTTTGAAATGGTCTCTTTGTAGCAGGATTCTAGCTGCGGCACCTAGATTCATAATAATAGTAATGCATTTTTTGTATAGCCCTAAATCACAACAGTAGTCTTCTCGGAGGACAAAGTTGCCAACAGCAGATCAAAGACTAAATAACAAAGGTGTATTAAGGGCCATTGGTCCATAGGGAGCGGGATGACTACTCCATAAATGTTAATAAATGTCCTGGCTCGCCGCTGTCCTTAGACCCTCAAGAACAGACTACTGCTGAATCCATAATGATAGTCGATTGAACATATACTTTTTACCCGATACTAGTTTCTAATTTTATACTTCTTTATTATGTTCAAGATAGCGATTTTATACTTGTTTCTTTGATGCTAGAGTTAGTTTTATTTTAACTAGTATAGAATTGTTCACCTAATTGTGCTGTGTGCTCCTCAGTCCTACCTTTCTGTTATTTATGATGCAACCTTGAAATTTCCCCGCTGTGCGACCAATCTCTTAATCTTAATCTATATCACAGCGATGAGTTTGACTAATCTCATAACAGTACTACTCTTTTTGGGCCCACAAAGCTTTAGAATAGTTCATCAGGAAAATAAATGAATGTATCCACAATTCTCAAATCTTGTACTGTTTATGTGGCAGCCTTCAGTATCTAAATAAATGTCATAGTAAGTGCACAAATGTAGTATCTAGTTTCCCGTTCCCTTTGGACCAATGTGTTTGTTGTTATTGCATTTCCTGTTTTCAAACCGTTTTCAACTTTAGCCCCCTGAGACGACTGTTGTTGTGATTTAGGGCTATACACAAATACATTTGAATTGACTTTCAGTTCTAGTTCAATATCCATCCATGTTCTTCCCCTTAATCCATTTCTGGGTCTGGGGGTGGCTACACAAGTACACAGAGCACCAGCCCCTCACTGATCCTCCTGCAGGTGGTGAGTCCACAGGAGCTGAGATCTTTCAGTGGGAGCTTCAGGCAAAGTTGGGTTAAGTGTCTTGCGCAAGGACACAACGACAGCAGTCATCAGTGGGAGTCGTGAAGTAGGTCTTATGGTGGACTCAAATTCACAACCTTCAGGCTCAAAGGCCAATGCTCTACCATCTGAGCCACTGCCATCCCCTCTAGTTCTATATAATATCTGATTTTTGCGTGTTTGGAAAAACAACATTGTTCGGAAATGGGGAAAAAACTATCCATTATAGTCCCTGCTCGCCCAGCCCTAATGTACACAAGGCTTTCACGATCGAGTCTGTGGTGGTGATGGGGTATTGTCAGCAGCGGCTCTTTGTGCCCAGCTCCATTTGTGTGTGCCTGTGAACGTGGCCACACAGCTGGGACAACAGCCAGGGTGGCCCCCCCGCGAAGTTTGCTGCTGACAGGACCGGCCCGTCACGGCTCATCCCCAGCCATGTGCTCAAGTAGAACCATAGACTGCCAGCGGAATATCAGCAGAAAATCTCATAAATCCATAACTAGCACAGAAGTCGTGGAGGGATAATACAAGATGACTCCTTCATCGCTCATCGCTGATCCCTGCCCTTTATGACCGTCACTTGATGCTACTGTCACTTTAACTGCGCTGCTAAAGGTCTATTGATGTGTGTACTTAGCACTTGTATATTGAAGCAATTTGAAGACATTTTCTGAAGATTTTTTGGTCCATGCCTTTACCTAGTTTTACTTACTTACCGAAGCATTACTTACTTACTCTTAAAACTTGTTTGCGCCTTGAGCCAAAGGAAATTCCTAGATTTTGACTTCCTTTTACTTTGAAAGGCAATACATAAAAAAATCTGATTCTGATTCATTGTATTGACTGCTTTTTGTATTTGATGACGTCACAGGCAGACGGCTTCTATTGAACTCGGCAAACAGAGATATTGCTACATCTCATTTATCAGAAAGGGCACTCATCTTTTCCCACTGTTTTTTGTTGTTACTTGCTGATGCAGAAGGGCCTAAGGTGAGATCAGATCTGTCACAACACAATATTTCACCTCCCTTTTGATAACATGTGCTGAATTTACAAGAAGTCTCAGTGCATCATTGTCGTTCATGCCTGAGAACAAACCAGCTTAGTCCACTTTTGAAACAATACAGCGTTGTTGGCCTGAGTAGGTCTCAGCTCTCTTGAACCCCCTAAAGCCGAATAATGAGGCTTGAGAAACCACATCTTTAGGCATTTTTAGGGTTCAGCCTGTGACATGTGAGGATAAAGTTTACCACAGTCAAGTGATGGCCCTGAGGCAGCATGAGGACAACAAGTGCACTCAAATCACAGGCTGGATCTGACCACGTCTGCCCAGCCACACTGCAGCGGTCACTGCAGCGTCCAGTCACAAGACACAAGAAGGACGACACAGAAACAACATGAGACAAGGAACTGATGAGGGAGCAAGCCTTGGTCGGCTGCTCACGCTAAGTTCAGCAGATCATGTAGATGTGGGCAGTATGTCCGACAATAGATAATGTCACAGTAGATGTTTGGAAGATGCTCTCATCAAATCAGTGCATTGTTTTAATAGTTGGTTTCCTTCAACTTGAGTTTTAAGTGTACAAGGACAGGGCATGATCTGAGGCATTTATGGACTATAGTTCCCCTGGTATCTAGGGATTCAGTACAAGTACCTTAATTTGAGTTCTTGCCTATACCGAATGCCGAATTGTTAAGCTGCAATCATAATCAATTGTTTTAAGTGTTCCTTGAAGTGTTCAGGTGACGTTTTAGAACACATCTAAATGATATGGTTGTTTTCTTGAAAAAAGCAAAACACTGTTGCTGAGTATAATATTTTTATAGTTTTTCTATAGTCCTTTTTAAACATGGGGAGACAACATTAGTTTTATGATTTGTCAGTTTTCTTGAAAATGTTAGACAGGCTTCTACTCTGACAATCATGTTTTAATCATGGTCAAATACAGGTTCTGTTTAGCTGTGTATAAGTTACACCTGAAGGATTCTATCTTCACTCATTTTAATATACTGTGATTTTTTTTATAACTTGTTTTTTTATTCTTGTTTTGTTCCGTACAAGTTGGCTTGTGTATGAACTGTGCTGTACAAATAAGCTTGCCGTGCCTTACAATCAACGCTGCAATCATTATAATTGCCGTGTGCTTGACAGCCATAGAAAATACATTGCTTTGATCTGGACTTTACCAATACTGACTGCGGCTGTGAATTAAGATGTAGATCCATGGTTAGATCTAGAGTTTATGAAAAGAAGCCGATTGACTGATTGGGCTTTTTATTTGAAAAGCCAGCGCTGCTACATCAGTGTGGCTGTGCTTGCATGCTAAAGAGAGACCTCTGGGAACACCAGGTGTGACAGTGGGGCGGCTGCGGCTGTAAAGTGCCAAACTGTGGTTGTGTCCTTGGGCAAGACACTTCACCCACATTAGAATTAGTCTGGTGTGTGAATGGTTGGCGGTGGTGCGAGGGGTTGATGGCGCAGACTGGTTGCTTTGCTTCTGTCAGTGTGCCCCAGGGCAGCTGTGGCTACTGTAGTAGTTTCTCACCACCGTGTATGGAGTGAAAGAATATTGACACATGTGAAGCGTCTTTGCGTGTCCATAAAAAAGGGGCTATATAAAACCGATGCGTTATTATTATTATCCATCTACAGTATATACAGTCTATGGACAGAACGCTCTGTGAATAAACGAGGTCAAACCTATGAACTGTCCATAGGTTCGACTCGAAGCCAGCCGCGACATATCCCCCAAGAACTGAGCCAAAAACAGATAACAAAATAATCTCTGAGCTCCTATACATCATCTGGGCAATTACAGCATTGATAAGGCGGATGCAGATTAGGCCGGGGCATTCCTGCTGCCAGTGGGGCATGTTGGAGGGCGGCCTTATCGCGAGCTGTTTGTTGTCAGTTACACGCAGTTATCTGGACTCTTCCTCCCCTCTTGCCTCATTCTGACAGTGCACAGACTACTGTAAACTGCAGAATTCCTCACAGATAAGAGCAACGCTTCACTGTATGGACGGAGCAAACACAAACACTTACACTACAGAAAGGGAAAGACCGTGTGGATCTACAGCCGGTCTGTCTGTGAGAGCGGATCCCTCTCAATGTGGGCCTCCTCAAGGTTTCTCACTTTTGTCCCACTGTTTTTTTTTGTTTTTTGAATCTTTCCTTGCTGATGCAGCCAAGGACAATGATTGTCCTTTAGACACATTTATTAACATGGTCATTTCGCTCCCAACAGACTAGTGGCTCTGTACCAATGGCAATGGAACAGTTTGATTCGCTAATCTGTTGTTTATAACGTTGTAAAGACTTTTGAGACTACTGCTGTTGTGATTAAGAGCTATAAATAAATGAATTGAAATGGAATATTATCCGTATTGTCAGTCATTTCTCATGAATCGCACAGTATTGTAAGGAACCCAGTGATTCCCAGCCCCATCTATGCCACATCAGTTGCACCTTTAGATAGATGGATAGATAGATAAATACTTTATTGAACCCCATTAGAGGAATTCAGGTGTCCTTTAGCAGCAGAAACGCACCCATCCATACAAACAAAACAACTATTTTTAAATAATTCTAAAAGTAGCTAACAGTTGTATTAAAATACAACAGCACTTAAGGTCCCAGCAGCAGAGGTGGATCAGCCGCTTGGTTTGAACAATTTTCTTTGCTCTAGTCCAAGGGAAAGTTTACAACCAGGCAGTCCCATTACAAACAAAACTAAAGGGAAAACTGCAATAATAATCCATCTGTTTATTCCGCGTTCTGTTGGCGGACAGCAGCAGCCTGAGCAGAGACACCCAGATTCCCTCTTATTTTTCCCACACAGACAAACTGTAAAGCGACTTCCATGTTCTAGTACCATTTCTAGCCATGACAGATCACGTTGTATTTTCTCGACACTCTCATAAAGCCCCTTCACATCTCGCCGCAAAGCAAAGCAAGGCGTGGTTTCTTTTAAATTTGTACAATGCAATAACTGTGAGCGTTATCGTTGTGAAGCCTTTCATTTATGCGCACGGCTCTTCTCCCATGAAACTTTCTCAAGTGTAATTGAAAAAGACTTTTGCATGTTGTCTGTGGTCGGAGCTGCCCCGGGATATTCTGGGATAAGTAGTAAAAGATGGAGCAGAGAAAAGCGGCGAGGCTTTGTGAAGGAGCCCGCGGTGCTGTCACTGGATCCACAAGTGTTACGCGTTGAAGGGAGATGGCTTCATGTTGTCGGCTCTTTGGGTGTGCTCTGCAGAATGAGGTCATAGCCACGGAGCGTGTTTGGCTAGCAGAGGAGGAAAGGGACTCGCTACAAATGCTCATGTTGCTTTTTCAGAGACTATGTTTAAACTTGTACACTGTAAATTGTGATTAGTCAACCATAACGAAACAAATGCAGACACAAATGACCACAATTTAACTGAGTAACATTGGCCTCAGTCAAATCTTTAGGTTACACAATTGTATGAGGTTATATTTGAGTTATAGTCAGTCATTCTCTTTGAGTGAGGTTTATATTTTCAGGACATTTTGTTTTATTTCTGTACTTTGGACCTTGTTATGTTTATGTGCTTGTCTTGTGCATACTGGGGACTCGCAAACGTATTTCAATGTTGTTTTACCGCAATTGGCAAATCTGAATCTGACATGTTTTGTTCAGTTATGAAGGTCACAACCTGAATAGTTGTTTTGTCTTATTTCCTAAGGTTTCAATTGTGATTTACAGCTGCTACTATCACTGCTCTTTTCTCGGATTACATTTGCAATGAAATTTCACTTGTAGAACATTGAGCAGAGTTAAAAAATAATAATAATCTAACAATAATGAGTGTGTCCCACATTGTGAAATTTGTGTGTATCCATGTATTCTGCCATTTTAATAAAAAGATGAAGTCTTTATTTTGCTGGTAAATTACTTCACTAGCAGAATTCGCAATCATAAAAAAGCAGCCGTCATTAGTATTGAAGGAAAACACTTTTTATTTTATAGAAAAGTATCTCATCAATTTTGGAGGAATTGATGTTTTCTAAAAGGCATTAAAATGTGTTAAAATGGCTGGTACATAACAGGACATTTTTGGACAGTGATCATTGCCTCTTATGTATTTGTTATTTCTTGCAAATCAACAACTTAGTAGTCACATGGGACTGAGGACTTTACTAACAATGAGACCTAAGAAGTGATACACGGTGTGGATCTACTTCCTCTAGTCTCATTTGAAGGTCCGTTTCTCCTCCGTGTGACTGCACTCGTGGTGGAGAGCGGAGCAGAGTTGAGCCGAGCTCACATTTCAAAGGCTGCTCTGTGGAGAAGACAGTGCGACAGCAGCCGGTCCCCATCTTCACCCAGCCTCTCTGCACGGCCCTGTAATTACGCCCGGTGTTTTTCCTAATACGCTAAACAGATGTTACTAAAATCATGCTCAGGGCTCACCACTCTCTGTCTGACTGATGAGCTGTCAATGTTATCAGCTGCTGACAGTTTCCCCTGGACACGCCGGGGGATTGTGCAGCCTCCCACTTTGTTCAATGGCTCTATGCATTCTTGTCCTGATTTACAGATATCCAAATCTCACAGTTTGATATGGATATTGACATTGAGCTCATGGAAGGATATATATGATATTCAGCTTTGTTTACTTTTGAATAGGAAATAGCAGCAAGTCCTAAGTCGCTCTGAAACAGTTGTTTTATGTTTTACAATTGTTATTTTTATTGTTTTTTTCTGCCTGAGCTGTTGCAGCAGTACAGTCTTCATGGATTTGCACTGGTCCAGACTGGAGCAAAGAGGATTTGTGGTCCGAACCAAGCGGATCAGGCTAAAATCTACTGGAGGAATGCAAACTTTTTGGCAAATTCTAACAAAGCATTCAGCATCTCACATTGAACTATAGCAGAGGAAATTGTCCAAACCAAGCGTCTGCTCCACCTCTGCTTCTATGTCCTGAAGTGCTTTCTTTTTAAAATGATCTATCAATATATTTGTTCTGCTGCTACTCGACACCTGAATTTCTCCTATTTCTCCTACTCTCTATCTATCTAGTATGTTTATGAGGGTGGGAGTCTACAAGTTTTCGCTTCTTTCCCACTCCATTTTGAGCTGACAAATTGTAAATGTAAATGCATTTGTAGACACATTAATATTGTAAATACTGTATGTACAAAAGGTCCTGTAAACTAAGGAAAGTAAATATTGTAAATACTGATTGTAAAATGTTCTGCTCGAACTAATACAATCCATCAAAGCTTCTTTTTTTCAGCTGTTATCAGTTCAAACAAATCTTGCACTTGTTTTGAGACGGTGACAATTGTTTCCTGTTCTCTTCAGCTTGTTTTATGGATGTACTTTCAGCTTGTTTTAGGGCGGCACAGTGGAGCAGTGGTTAGTGCTTTCTGTGTAGAGTTTTTATGTTCTGCCCGTGTTTGCGTAGGTTTCCTCTGGGTGCTACGGTTTCCCCTACCACTAAAAACAATAGGTCTGGCACGCTCCTCCTTTATGGCGACCTTGCTCCCATATCTGTGTGGAGCGACAGACAAAATGCCATTTATTTGTTGTTTGGATCATGGGTAGTGTAGTTTACAAAGCTTTGTTCCACTTGAGCTTCTTTTTATTTATTTTTTTACAGATACCCTAGTGTACCCTAGCTAAAGCTTCATCAAAGTCTGAGTTTGTTTTCATTTCAAGCCTGACTAAAGATTCTTGATCTTGGCAGCGATTAGTAATTCGCAGCTGCATTTGATTCGTTAATGTGCAAATTTAGTAAGCTCTGGGGTTGTGTCCCTGGGAGCTCATGTCTTGTCCCTGGGAGATGGTGTTAGTACCTGTGAGTTGGTGTTATGTCCCGTGGAGCTGGTGTTTGTACCGGTGAGCTGGTGTCCTGTCCTTGGGAGCTGGTGTCGTGTCCCTGTGAACTGGTGTCGTGTCCCTGGGAGCTGGTGTCAGTACCTGTGAGCTGGTGAGTCCCTGGGGTGAGCTGGTGAGTCCCTGGGGTGAGCTGGTGAGTCCCTGGGGTGAGCTGGTGAGTCCCTGGGGTGAGCTGGTGAGTCCCTGGGGTGAGGTGGTGAGTCCCTGGGGTGAGGTGGTGAGTCCCTGGGGTGAGGTGGTGAGTCCCTGGGGTGAGGTGGTGAGTCCCTGGGGTGAGGTGGTGAGTCCCTGGGGTGAGGTGGTGAGTCCCTGGGGTGAGGTGGTGAGTCCCTGGGGTGAGGTGGTGAGTCCCTGGGGTGAGGTGGTGAGTCCCTGGGGTGAGGTGGTGAGTCCCTGGGGTGAGCTGGTGAGTCTCTGGGGTGAGCTGGTGTTGTGTCCCTGTGAGCTGGTCTTGTGTGTCTGGGAGCTGGTGTCAGTACCTGGGAGCTGGTGAGTCCCTGGGGTGAGCTGGTGAGTCCCTGGGGTGAGCTGGTGAGTCCCTGTGAGCTGGTGTTGTGTCCCTGGGAGCTTGGTCACTGTATTTTTTAACATTTTTTTAGCTATGGCAGAAAGTACATAGTCATCTGGAAGTTATTAGCATCGTTTTCAGATTTGAAAACATATTCCAGATGACTTCTCTTGAAAGGTTTTTGTATCGGAGCGAGAGGAAAAGCACTTTGTTTTAGCTAATGTCACTCTATTTCGCAATGCTACGTACACATACATTCCTCAAGCGCTCTTCCAGTGAATTCCTCTGTATTTAAGTTTGGTTTCCTTGAAGTGCTCTCCATAACATGCAAATTTGACTTTTCTCAGCATTCCGGTTTTCCCCATTTCCCCATTGATGTTGCAGTCGTTTCTATTCTCTTACTCACTCCTACTGCTCCTACTTGCTCCCCTAAACCCGCCGCAAAATAAGCAATCTTTTAACATACTTTGTCCTTTTCTGATTTTGTGATACCTGGACGATTCGGCAGTGTTGTGCAGGCAACACACAGAAACACAGAGCAGAATGGTAAAGCAGAACTTAATACAGAATGTGGGCCTCTCCAAGCGTTCTCAGTTTTTATCACTGGGTTTTTTTAGTTGTTCTGTGCCTGTCCAAACTCAGGCTCGCGGGCCAATTGCGGCCCTTTGTGTTAGCAGCAGAGGGCCACATAAAATGGCACAAAGTCGCCATTGAGGCAGTTTGACAGTGTCATCCAACCAACTTCAGCTCCACCAATACAGTCATGCTATATGTTTTTGTTAATCTCAGAGACTCAGACCCTCTGGAATCTACTTGTCGACTCTATTGTTATTTACCGACATTTGTTTTATGATTGTGTCACAACATTCCATATAAAATGCAGCTGTGGTGGAAATCTATAAGGACGTATCATAACCCATTTTAAATTCCAGAATCCAGTCAATTCAGCTCGATTCTAGGTTTTTAATCCGGGTTTTCGGGCCCAGGTCAAGTCAGATGAACTAAAGTGACCCTCTTGCTTAAAAGTTTGGACACCCCTGGTCTAAGGACAGTGGTGAAGATCCAGGACATTTATAAACCTTTATTTACACTTATGGACATTTGTGATCTGTTATTTTTGCATTTTGTGTGTTTGAACTGAAAACTCCCATTTTCTTTTCAGTGTACCAACTAATTTTTTGACATCGTTTTTAGATCTATTTTGAGATTTAAGATTATGATAAAGATATCCTTTATTTGTCCCACAGTGGGGAAATTACAGTGTTGCATCACCCGTTACAGAAGAGTAAGTATAAGGAGCATACAGCACAGGATAAAAGAACAATAGCTCTATACTTAAAATAATGTAAAATCTCTAACTTTAGCATAATAAATCGGCAAATGTATAAAATATCTAGTTTTAACCTAATACACAAGCAAGTATGACATCTCTAACTTAAACACAATAAAGAAGCAAGAAAAAATACTTTACATTCTATTGCAAGAAACATATTTGTATGTACTGTATACATCTGCTCCAAGCCCTGGCGATCCAAGATGACGCCGTATTCAAAAGAAAGGTTTTTGCTCAGTGGCACATTGTGCCGGCACGGGCGCCGAAAGATTAGCAGAACTAGCCTGGAACTCGCAAAGATCCATGGGTACTCGCCTGTATTTGGGCATCATCACTGGGCAAATACGCGTGTGTGTCTCATGCACGTGCACAGAGGGGCTCGGCCGCACTCTGACCAATCAGAACTGCTCATCAGAGCGGGAGTTAGAGCGGGAGCCAGACGGGCAGAGTTTGTGGCACTAAAGTGTGGATTTAAAGGCACACCGTGTAACTCTTGGCCACTAGGGGCGCTAGACCTGCAACTTTCACGTTTAGCGCCCCTAGTGGCCACAAGCAACTCAGCACTGTCGCAAAAGTCAACAGTCAGCCGGTGTCTTTTGAGTGTGTATTCAGACAGCATGCACTGGTGTGTGTGTTCAAACTGTAGAGACATGCCTACAGATATTGAGAGACTCTGCTGTGGTCAGCCTCCAGACCGCTGCATTAGTAATCTACCACACATGGACTTCTATATCCTGGATGAGGGAGTTCTGCGTCTAGCTCGTGCTGCGTGGAATGACATCTTTGCAGTCGATGACATCCAGGAACCAGGTGAAGAGCAGCGCTCATACAGACATGCAGCTTACAGCACGATCCCTTTCGCGTTTCCTCTTTTTAGCCTCCTCCGAAGGTTTAAAATTTTTCCTTGCCTCAGCCATGACCAGGAGTCGAGCAGGTGAAAAATGAGTAGCAAAAGCCTTAGCTCCATGAGTATATCAGCGCCTGTAGCCGTAAAGCAAGTCTTTCTTCCAAGTCACGTGACCTGGTGGCAGACGGTCCGTCTGCTCGAAAGTTACATGGGCGGTATTTCAAGAGGGCAGCCCCGCTCGGAGCATTGCAAGTGTCAAGCGCTGTATATTGGCCCAAGTATTCATATAAAATAACTCATGTGTCAACTCTTTAGGTCACAAAGTCCGCGGTGTGCCTTTAAAGAAAACCGAAGGATTTACGAAGAAAAAAAGTTCAGGATGACAAGGGACACTAAAATCCCCATAAAATCCGATCTCTATGAAAGCTGTAGGTTCTCTGTCAACTGTGGTCGAGTTGTTTTAGTTTACATTGAGTTCTATGGAGACAATTTCTGGGTAGCCCACGTGAATTTTGTCTGGTTTAGTCTGCAGTACCGCGAGAATCCCCTGAGCACATGAGTTCTTCAGCTCCAAGCTAGTAATACCCTATCCAGTTATTATAATAGATCCATGATCTGTACATGTTAGCAGCACAATGGTGTAGTAGTGGACACATGTGGTTCTATGTTGCACATTCTTATTATTTCAACGTAAATATAGTAAATGGTGATCCACGTGTGATCAAGGAGATGTTGTTTGTGTCTCTGTTAAGAGTGCACTGGCGGCTAATTTGACAGAATTCATCCGAGCTAATCAGCCGTGAGACATCTTTCTCCAGGTTGAAAGGAACTGTTTAATTTGGAGCGTTCTGCTTGATGTGGCTGCAGGTATCTGAAATAGGAAACAGTGTTGAGGAGCGGTGCACATTACAGCACAGGCGTGTTCACGTGAGCGCGGCCTCTGCTACTGTCGCCACGGCTAATGGCAAGTCAGCCGGAAAAGCACACGAGTCCGCTGCCAACCGCCGCTGTTTACTCCCTCTCTCTGCCTTTCACATATAGACAGTCCTCAACTAGAACTACAGGCAGATGACCCCTTGATCCCGTCCACAGCAGGTCACATTGATTGGTCTGGACAGCGGTTTTGTACATTCTACCACATAAGTGCCTCACGTCACTGTTTTTCTATTATATATATATTATCTATTTTTGTTTCATTTCATTTAATTTCGTTGCGTTTCATTTAGTTTATTTTTGCTTATTTTCTCCTTTTATTTTTTTTGAAGAACTGTGGTTGTACTGTCTGAAGAATGCTTATTGATTAATGTATGACTGCAAAAGAAAACTAATGAAGTAATAATGACAAAATAAGTGCCTCAAGTGTAAAAGTAAAACCTTCGATTGCAGAACAGAGTGTGCTGGACTGGGCCTGCATCTGATTTGATAAGTTTCTCCTTTCTTGTTGGTCCTTCATTTTTTTAATCTAAAACTTTTAACTTGATTTAGAATTTAGATCTTTATTTATTGCCGATTGTAGACCTACTGTCAATTCTGATGTCACAAACAGTCATAAAAATGGACCAAACCTGGAACTGCCCTGTCTCATTAAAGGTCACAAGGAAGGACAAGGAAGTATTCTTTCTGAATTGGGATGCAGCCTCAGTTGGCACAAAAAGTCAAGATGGCGGCCACTGCCTGTTGTTTTTCAAGTACAGATTATACAGTTACAATACCTGGACTCACTGTGGGTGGAGAAGAATGCATCTGGGCACTTCTGTTAGTTGTTTTCTCTGTTTGCATCTTTAGATGTACAACTTTAGATGTACAACCTAATCTGACATATCCCCTAATCATAAATCAGCAGATCCTCACAAATCTGAAAAATATATATTTCAAAATTGTGTGACTCTTCAGAGATGTCTAAATCATATTAATGGGCCATGGGTGATAGATATAAAGCCGACAGAGGCATATCCATATTCTTTCAAAATAAGGTCCTTGTAGTCAACAATGGAGATTGGAAAACAAATCGGCACACAAGGCTTTTACATGTATGTAAGTAAGTGAGTAATATATATTTATATAGGGCATTTTACAAACCAAGGTCACCCAAAGTGCTTTACAATGTTCACAAATCCATTCACACACGGTGATGACTAGGGGTGTGACAATATATTGCGATATCGATACATCGCGATATCCATATATGGCGATACTTTCTCCTGCGATTCGATTATCGATATGCATTTGCCAAGTATCAAAATCGATTATTATTTTATTTTTAGTACTTTTTTTTTTTTTTTTACAATTAGTATCAATACATAATATATGACTACATTACACATCTCCATTCCATTTATCATGAAATAAAGTGTATTTTTTCACTTAACATTTTTCTTTTATTTATGCCATAAATTGGCACATGGTATATTTCTGACCAATATATCGATAATCGTCATATTGTGATAAAATCGTTATTGTGATATTATCGTTATTGTGAGCTTTGTATCGTATCGTATCGTGAGGTACCCTTAGGTTCCCACCCCTAGTGATGACAAAAGCGAGACCTGAACAAACTGGAGCATCAAAGCCCCAAACAACACCATCCATTCCCTCACTCATTACATTCAGACGTATTGTACATATTTTGAGTGGTAGGGGAAACCGAAGCACCCGGAGGAAACCTACGCAGGCACGGGGAGAACATGTTAACTCTACTCTCAAAGGCCCTGTTCTGACCAGGATTCGAACCCAGGACCTTCTTGCTGACAAGTGGGAGAGCTAACCACTCAGCCACCGTGCTACCCATGGTCTCTCTCTCTCTCTCATGTCTTTGTGATCTCCCGTAAACTTGAGCAGTGATATCAGGGCAGTGAGCAGTTTAGTCAATGCTTTGTGGCCAACATGTGATGTGAACATGGTCA